GCGCAGTGAAATAGGTTCGCGCAGCTTGGAAGCGGGTTGTCTGGTGAATACTCGGTGAAGGCTTTGGTGTGAGCTATTTTTCTAATGTTTTGTTGATATTTCACAGGTGCGAGCTTTTTATATGTTATGACAGTAGATTAACTGTTTATATAATTTCATTTGTCTATTTCACCACACGTTCTTCTTACCGAGTCACTTTCTCAGTTCGATATTTAAAAGCAATGTCATTATTTAGCGTTGACAGAACTTCTAACTGTGATATAGATATGTCGTTGTCACAGACAAAACTCAATGTCTGTTTTATTGACACCTATGTGTCTGCCTGTCTGCTAATGACCATATTCAATATACACACGCATGCACGTCGTCATATGAGCGAAATTTTCTCAAGTACGACGTAAAACCCAATTTCACCTCATGCAATTTGAACTTAACACCAATCAGGCTATACACCATAAACAAAATGCATTGATTTATGGCCCGAGTTCGGTCTCTGTCACATTATGTAATTACAGACAGGCAGGTGTGATACTTGTACACATGACATGTTATGATGTCTGTTGATTGCAAAATTTTAGACACAAAAAATGAGCATGTATTTACAAAACCTAACATCTCTATATGTACACACACAATGAGCCGTGATGGCTATGCAAATGAACCAGCCGTTACACTTGAGTGCACACCCACCCGCTCTGACTGGGTTCGGTATCCCGGCTGCTTCGTTTCTTGGGAAGTAAACCCAAGTTCACAATATTGCACTTTTGATTTGCGATTGTACGCTTATAATTTTGTTTATATGTTTTTTCATAACCAGCAATGTATATTATATGTCATGAATAAGTGATAACTGTGTTTTAATTATGTTTGATTTGGTTGCATTCGACCTTTAAAGAATTATTTTGTGCAGTTTCAGAGAATCGTCATTTCATCGTTGGAATTATTTGGCATATGTTGTTTGGTCATTTTCCATATATTGTGGTATGTAAAGAATTTTAGAGTTCCCATGAACAGAAAAGTTATGTATCATGTCTTCGAGTGAAAGAAATAATATTTTGCATACAATTAAGAAGATAGATGTTCATTTTTAATCCATGATACAATTTGAATTTTTTCGAAAACATGTAAAGATTGAAAGAACAATTAGTTGTTATCTTTCGGTTGAAGCTTAAAACAAATTCTTCCAATTTGTCAGAATTAATTTGTAAAAAGACACTTTTTTTGGTTTCCAGTCAGTCACATATATATTTTTCAAGGAAGCATTTTTCAGCTTCCCTTGAAAATAGCTTGGTGCCACTGATAGATCAGAAATGTACAGTCATGTCAAAAAGCATCAACCAAAAATAAGTTTTCTTCTTGTTTACTGGTATATTAAAAAACATAAAGGTACAAAGGTACTCGAACAACTCATGTGACAAAAGCATGTTAAATTTTTTTTAAATATACCCATGTCATTTCTTGAACCCATCAAAATCATAAATAAACAGACCCATGACAACTTCACTGTTTAACAGGTCTGGGTGATATGTGTTCACATGGAACATATTCATAAATGATGTGTTACTTGCTCAGGTGCCACACCTCCAGCAAGCTAAATCTACTGGCAATAGCTATTGGTAATACATGCATGATTGACCTCCCTGAACATTGACAACCAGTGATGCCATTTTTCTCCATGGTAATACCTGCAATATTAGGAGAATTGAAGAAAAATATTTTTCACTTTTAGAAGTATAGAAAAGACAAGATTACCTCTGCCATGTAAGCAATTATATTCAGCAAACATGAAAGTTGAGATCAAGAAATTGACTGTGGTTACCTTTGCTAGTGATTGAGATCTGAGAAACAAGAGTAACCTCTTTCCATTGATGGATGCAGAGCCAGAATAGTGTCAGTACAACATGGTTTGCTTGAGATGTCTATGTTTCAAACACCACTACAAATGGGTTCTTATGCCACCCTTGCTGACTAAAGAGGAAATGAGACAAAACATTATCGATGTAAATACTTCAAGTTTTATATCAGAAAGAATTTAACATGGTTATATCAAGGAAATCAACAAATCAAACTTACAAATATATTATAATGCCATCCGTGTTCAATGACCATGTCATGAATGCATGGATATAATTATCTAATCTGCTCACTTATGATGATGCAGTTACAAGCAGATTAGCACAAAGAACTCCACCAGTCATGAACATTACTGGACTTGCAAATAATATACAGATTGTTGACTAGTTCAATACCAAGTATGCCAAGTGGTAAATTCCACCTGTACAAGTCCCTTTCCTTAATGCCTTGATTGGTAATTAGTTACATTTACTGGTACACAAAATATACAGCTTTAGTATCAAAAACCTACACATGAACTCACTTTCGAGACAATATCCATGAAAGGATATACATGTGACAAGCACCCATCGCCATGACACACAATGCAAATCTGTACAGGAAGTTAGTCAGGAAGACATTATTCCGCATTTCAGAGTTAAATTGGAATTTAATCCTCCATTTGATTCTATCGTAAAGCTGTTGGAAAAGCTGGTCTCTGGGATGTAGAGTACGCCAGCAGGTGACACTGGATTCCATGTGGTTCCAGGGAAGGAGGTAGGTTGTCCTCTAAGTAACACACAGAGCCTCTCGCTATCAGTTACTGTAGTACCTCTTCTTGAGCGTTCTGTACTTCCTCAGCATATATAGAGCCTCAAGTTCTTTCACTACATAGTTCCCTCTGGCCAATAACATATCAATTTGTTTCGGGTCAGTCACATCTTTATTTTTCAAGAAGGCATTTTTCAGCTTCCCTCGAAAATAGTCGTAACCTTTCGGATAATCTCGTCCCAGGTGCAGCAACTGAAACAGGTGAATGATAAGGTTTACAACCCCATGTTAGAGACAGACACTGTCATCCACATGACAACATCAGCTTCCAGACATACCACAGCAAAGAGATTGTTTAATCATACACAATGTAATAAACAGGGCAAAAAGCTTCTACTAAACAAAATGACATTATGATGAAGTGGCTGGGTTAGTAAATGGTTGATTGAAAGGTGAACAGACTTAACAGCTCTAACTTGTGTCCTATGACTAGCTATAGCAAAAGAGCATCTTCAATGTGATGACTGAACACAGTATGATGGTAGGATAAAACACAAACAAGATCAACTCAAAAAGATATCCACAGCTCTTAAATCCCTGTTCTGCAACTCTTCTAACAACATGAAAGTGGCATTCGTAAAAACGTTTGTTTACACACCAGAATATTTTCTTTCAGTTTCTGTTTTACAGCTTTCCTCATGATTACTATTACTTACATTCTTGTACAACTGTATGACCTGTGGACGTAGACTTGAGCTGGCCATTTTACAAGGTTGAGATGGTTCAACTCATCAACTGAAAAATATTCAAAATATCAAAGTATTAAACATTCAACATTATCATAATCTCGGACAACAAACAACTTATCTACTGAAGATTTTTTTAAAAAAATTTCAAACACCCAAAGCTCAAACTAAAAATATTCCTACTCATTACATTTTACTAACGAGAAATTTCATCTCCATTTCAAAGTGTATCTAATGTATTTTAGAATTGCAGTCATTATAAGCTAGATCTATATACATGTATGTTAGTAGTGCATAGGGCAAAATCCTTGCAAATGGAACTGTGACACGTAAGTACTCATATTACTATTATTGTTAACATATACTGTAAAGATGAATATATTTTCCTAAAGAAGAAATCAACCAGTGAGTTAGTACAGGCTTTCTCTGAATATTGTTCTTCAGCATTTTGAGGACTCACCTAATATTGGACCAATGAACTGACATGTTCTTTCAGTATATGTAGCAAGATACAATTCATTAACATGTTGCAGTATTCCTGCTATATTCATTTTGCCTTCTGATACACTACACAGCAATGATAACATATTCCATGATATCATCGTATATGTATACCATACAAATGTACATATGGCTTACCTGTACACAGAAAATTACCAATGTATACAATATTTATTCAAAATAGTTCTAACAGTTATAGTTCAATGTCTGGTAAGTTAGAACTGATATTCATGATATTGATGAATAACTGATATAATCACGACTAACAAACAATGATCATGTAGTAATATAATTTGGCTACATCATGTGTACATAGACATTTCAAACATTAAATACTGTATATGTACCCCAGTTGGTGGACAGGAGTGAGTGAGTTTGGTTTTACGCCGCTTTTAGCAATATTCCAGCCATATCACGCCGGGGGACACCAGAAATGGGCTTAACACATTGTACCCATGTGGGCAATCGAACCCGGGTCTTCGGCGTGATGAATGAATGCCTTAACCACGAGGCTACCCCACTGCCCCTTGGTGGACAGGAAAATAACCTTATACTGATTAACCTAACATTGTACTTTACAAAAAGAACACTGTACATGGTCTTTGAATTGCATTTAGAAGTGTAACACTTTACGAAAAACAATTTGGATTAAACAGTATTTGTTTATCTAATTTTATATCACTGTTGGATTTCCTGACTTTCAGGTTTTATCAAACAGATATCCTATGAGTGCTAGTTGTTGCCACATTTTGGTGTTCCCAATCAACTGTTTGCTAGTAGATGCTACACACAACTGTTGGCACTTTGTTTACTTATAGCAAGGATAAACTTGCCTTCTTACCATTTCTAGTTTGGTGTGAAATGCAAACATAAAATCATTCACATAAGATGACAGGTCTTGTGTTTCTAATGATATATGTAATACTTCGTGTATCAATATTTATATAAACAAGAATGATACGTGCTAAAGGTCACGTAATCTTGACTATATAATATGTGTGTACACATCGTATGTCAACTAGAAGTTTTGACAGTAAGTTTCTCTCAGTCCCTACAAAAGGAATACTAGTATCGAACAAGGGAACATTACTTAGTAATGTCATTGATGTATCATCTTACTTTTTACTGGCAGTGAATGCTCTATAGAAACATTGCCGTGAGCCGCAATCCTCAAAGACGGTTGAGTGCACGTTTGGTTACTAAAATACTTCAATGACGGAATATGATTTTTAATCAGGCTTTCTACAAAGAATACCGAACAAGTTATGTGTGTCATGAATATTCAAATATGTTTTTAATCTTTTGGAATATTGTTAGGAATTGGATAATGACGCTAACAGATGGGTTATATATTTAATATGTGTACAATTTCATATACCAGGCAAGTCCATACTTTTGAATGGTACCATAAGTGGATATAGCATTTGTTTTACGACCTTTGTGAGGAAAAACAATAAGGAGCTTCACAAGAAGACAATTATTGATTCCCATATTCTATGACGCATAGTTATATTTCTCCATTTCTCGTATGTGTTGATATTATTTTATACAGAAAAAAATAACTTGGCAAATATTACGACATTCTCCAGCCGGAAACTTATTTGTTTCCGGCAGCTCGGTTGCTATCCAACAACAAACTAGAAATTTGATCACAGAGCACTGCTTATCGCACTACTCTCGGAAATGGTAATGACCAAGTATTATTTCTGTTCGGTTTGGTAGTCCAACTATAATCTTTTACCTTGGATGTATCTCAAACATTTCTCGGTTCAATTTATTTCCATTTCAAGACCATCTAAAGAATTATTTAGACCGGTCAGATACCGTAATGTTATCAACAGACGAATGTTGAATTAATATACGATACTGGCGCTAGAGAGCTGCATTTATATGAAATGGGCCCCAAATGTCAAATTAACTGACATTGGTTCAGTGTGAATGTTGCTGAGTTCAGACTTAGTGTTGTCTATGCATCCTGAGTAATATTATTCCTTATGCACATGTTTTATTTTGCAGCTGTATTTTCTCATTTAAATTGTTTCATGTTCATGAACAAACATTTGCAGTTGGTCTGTGGATATTGATCACGTAACTGTCAGTAAAGTCAAGTTAGAAAACAGCACAAAAATGTATACATGCCTTATACCGAATGCCTGATGACCATGTTTGTTTGATGCTGGAAATACAGGGTATGTGACTGCATTTCTATTTGAGTATGGAGGGATAAGCAAGAAATTGTCAGAAACAATTGCCCTCCATGACAATGTATAGTTTAATGTGATTAAATTAATTTATCATCAAAGCAGTTCGTAAATGTTGAAATGAGAAATCAACATCGAAAAATTATGCAAAAATACAAGTTCCAGAATAGCATAATTTATGGCAACCTCATCAGTTACATTCTTCAAGGTCACTTTTCAACAAAACATTTCTACCAAAGTTTAGTAACTGGAAGTGACATTTACTTGTAAACGAAAACTTTCATTACATTCATTTTACATTATATGTTAGAGGCAAGCCTGGCAAGACAGGTAAAAAAGGCGAAGATTTCATTAGTAAGGTTACCCTTACTGAAACGGTGGATTGTGTCAGATGTTCTGCTATCTAGCCCCCAAAATATGTATATTTCCTGTTTCTTGTGACTTTTAACACAAATGACAGAGTGTTATTGGGGATAGCATTTTATTTATTTGTTTTCTATGGAAGTAAACTTGATTCTAATGCTGTGCATGATATCTTTCCTCCTTGTGATTGACACGTGTTTCAGTATTAAGGGTGTGGCAATTATAGAGTTGAACGAGTCGAGAAATGCAGGAAATCTATCAGCAATGTTTGATTCCTTCATTAATATTGGCTTTTGAATCTTGAAGGAGTTGAGTAATCTTGAACAATGTGCTTGCATATGTAATTCTTTATGGGTTTGTATCCACTTTGTTTCACAACCATCTGTAAAATACATATGGCTAATTTTCAATGACCTGTTCTGGTAAGAGAGAAACCACTGGGAGTACTCACACCAATGGATTGTGTAGTGTGAGTATCTACTCTAGCCTTCAATGTCAAGTTGGATTAGTTCAGATGTGTTCAGTGAGTTATACACAGTTTCATTAGTTGATGAATATAAACATGTCACTTCTATCGTCAGGCTGAAGACCTGGGTTAATTCCCCACATGGGTACAATGTGGGAAGTCCATTTATGGTTTCTCCACTATGATATTACTTGAATATTACTACAAGTAGCTTAAGCACTAATTAACTACACTACAAATTGGCTGTATGTGTTTATCGGTGATTGAGGGACCAATGGTGTATATAAAAATACGTAATGATATGTTTGATGAATTTTATAATTACATATATATTCATGTATAATTAACCCAAACCTTTCTCCTTACAGCTCTGGCCTTATTCTTTGTTTTATTACGACACCCATGGAGTAATAATTCATGCAAAAATTCATTATTAATTATTACTCCATGATAGTTTCAAATCAATATTCGTTTGATGTGTTATACATTGAAATTGGTAAAATCATAAACTTGATATTCTAATTCTAACATGTTTATGTTGTACTCCAGGGCACTGAAGAGGTTCATTTCAGTGTGCATACACTGTATCCCATATTGTTTCAATACACTAATGTGTTTTTATTTGATTGCATGCTATTCAGGAAAGTAGTTTTTGAGACATTTGTGAAAATCCAAGCGTCTCACCCAATCAATCACAATGGCAGATGAGGTCAGTAACAAGTGTGTGCTATAGATGTTTTGGAATGGGACAGATGAATTGTTTGACATTGCATAGTAGTGAAACTGTAGCAGTAGTCAATAGATGTTATTTGTCTTGAAAACATTTGTATGCAAAATAGATTTTTGTAGATTCGAAATATGTACAGGTCACAACACTTCACTAAAGTAAAAGATGCAAGAAACAGACTTAAATGCTTAGTTAGCATATCCAGTAGTCAGAAATAATCAGCTAAGAAACTCAAATCTCAACATTTGTTATTTGTAAGTTTTAAGTTTTAATAACTTCAGGTATATAAGCAAAAACAGAAATACATATGAACCTATTAATGTGTGAATTCAAATATGCAGCCCTTTCAATAGACAAAACTGCATATTGAATGGGCCAAACAAAGTGAAAGGTGGTCCAATATTTCTTTACAATCTTGCCACATATTTCAACACAGTGGTGAGGTGGTGACTTTTGAGAGCTGATTTTGAAAAATGGTGAGGGTTTTGTCATTTCCATTGAAATAACTTAAGCTTTTAATCAATTTAAAAGTTGAATCCATTTCTAGAACTTTACTTAAACTGTTTAACATTTCTTCTCAAAAGTACCAACTGTTTTAGGATTTGTATTTATAAATTCAACCCACCTTTAAGTTGTATTATTACGTATACAGATGTACTATGATAGTTTTTGCCATTGAAAATATTTATCAATTTTTTGCTGTATATTACATAGAAACATGGAACCAATTCCACATGACAAGGTCCAACATTGTATTATTTGTCACAGAACTTACATCATGATGGAGTGGATTGCACCATAGTAGCATCATACGTCTTAGCAGCAGTCCCGGAATGAACCACTCATACAGTGGCCACAAGCAAGATTGCACCAAGCCTATATAACAGTTGTGAATGACAAATGTGATGGTAGATTTCACCCAGCGACTAAATATATCAACTTGTACAATTGACATTGAGGCAACTATGAATTATTATGAGTGGGTGAAGTATTGGTATCAGTATTGATATAAATATTGATGATGGAATGTATGAGTTAAACATATAGGTCAGGATTTACTGAAGAGTTGCCTACAGTTTCACTCTGTGCTGACTAACCTCATCCAGCGTGACCTACATTAATGACATCTCATTAGTTTTGTTCATTGCATGCTGCCAGTTTCAGTTTGGTTTGCTTTGAGTGTTGTATTACATACAGGTGCACAGATTTACTACTTACAATTGGTGGTGGCAGGATCATTCTAATAGCTGTTGCTTGGGTTACAAGATAGCATGACAAGTAATATTACCATGTTTATGTGCTGGTAATATAAATGAGCAGAAAATGTGTTTGGGAATTTCCAAGGATGTTACTATTAACAAAATGTCATCATCTGTTGGCAATATTTTGTGGGCTTTAAGATATGTAATTGATTGCAATAAGCATTTTTCAAACTTGATGGACAACTTGGAAAAATATTACTTTGGAGAAATAACTTGTATGTAGAATATTATGTAAATGATATTTAAGAAATTGTCCTAATAAGAGTTTTATTAAAAAAGTAGTAAAATAATGGAGCAGAAGAACATGTGAAGGTGCTTGGGCTTGTTGTAAATGTAGTTGAAATATGTTAAAATAGCATAAGTACCACTGGTAAAACATGAAATATTAATTTACAGCTGTAGAATAACTTGAATAGAATGAAATATGAATTGCATATGTTCATTCACATATTTTATCATTTATAACTGTTGATGTTGAATTTAAGCGACAGCAGAAATACATGCTATAAATCTGTTTTCAAGCATGTAGCAAGTAAATTGCTGTTTAGGTTACAGAACTGAGGTAGGATGTATAACAAATGATCGTTTATTGTGATGGAACAGATCAACAGGAGGTAGTGTATGGTTACTGTAAGTGTCAGCCCGAAAAATGAAACATACAACTTTATGGATGACGACTTCTAGTTTATTGCATATATTGTCTGTTCCATATATGCAATAAACAAGAAGTTGTTATCAATACAGTTCTTTGCTTCATTTCTGACTCTCCAACTTCTAGAATGCCAACCAAACAATTAGTGTTGGCCTGTTGGAAGTATTTGAAAGCTGGCTCCTTCAGACCTTTCCCCATTCTCGTTATACAGTATAATCTACATTGTAATTTGATCAATATCTTTGATCCATGTGCAAATATTGCCTCATTTAAAATCTGGTTGAACTTTGTCAAATGATCTTTCATGAAAAATATGAAGATAGTCAAATGACACTGGGTTTTGTATAATTGAGACAAGTAGTGATATCACCAGTATTTAATTTACCTTGGACATGTGATACAACTTGGACAGTCTTGCAGACGTCCTTCCCCTTGTCCCGTCTTAATACTTGGGAAAATATCTTTTGAACATTAAGTTCATTGAATCATGTTAATAGTCACCTGAATTGTGTAAATTTGTCTTAATACATGTCAAACATTCGTTCATGACTTCAAGCTCATTTCCTCATGACATTCTTTGCCAAGTTGGTGATAAGAAAGACGAAGCTGATGATATCACTTTGTCATGATGAATTGGTCCTGAGTATGTATCACAGAACAGAGGTACATTGGATGGTAGAGGATGCCTTTCCCAGATTGTTGCAGAGGCTGGCTACAATCAGCACCAGCAAATTCCATCACATTAACTGAATCAAGAACAGGTATTGAAATTAATAGTTTGTGTTTTCATACAGTTTTCCATGAGCGTAAAGCAGCAGATATTGTATGTGTGAGTGGAATGGGTGTTGTACAGGTGAGTATGAAGGTTGTACTTGTTGAGAGTGTCAGTGGATAAGTGTAGCCTGGTCTCATTGAAGCCACCAAAGAAAGATGGCAAGAAGAAGCTGACCAAGGCTGACAAGGAGAAGTTAAAGAGGGAGGAAGCTGACCGCAAGGCACAGGAAGAAGGTGGGTACATATTGTTTTCTCCCTAATGTCAAATCACTCACTCTGCTAGCTCTCTGCATTAAGATATGGCCAACCCTCAGCCCCGATAGAAGGTCAAGTCGGGTGAGGATGACACTCTCAGGTCATTGACTGTTGTACCAATCAAAAGTCTGCTTTCTGAAAGCATTTGTTTTCATTTTCATTTCTGCCCCAACACACAAGTGTACACTTGTTATGTCTCTTCAAAATCACAGCAGTGTAACAGATATGGAGCTACCCATTCATGTTCATTTTCATGGTACAGAAAACAGATACGCTGCTGTGAATGCTGTCCAAACTCGTGCTAAGATACTGATGCCCTGGCTGTTTAGACAGATTACCTAATACAGCCTCAGATGGAGGTGTTGTCAGATTGTCATGAAGAGAGCTATCAAATGGAGTAATGAAATTGATATCAATGAGACTCGTTTCTTGTGAATCTTGGATTTCCTGATCAAGCACACAAGGAAACCTGAGTTACTAGTGGGAAGACAGATTATGTCAAATACTATTTTGCACATTAGTCTCGTCTTAACATTGCAACACCCTTGATATTCCCTTTATCTGGTCAGTTTCTCCAAGGTGATAAATGTCTGAGACCTTCTTCATGTTGGTCTTAATCCTTCAAACAATAAGCTGACATGATGATATAACTGGAATATTGTTCAAAGTGGTGTTATACCCAACTCACTCACTCACTCACGCTCACCTTCACATACACAATACATAGCTGGTGTATGATGTGAAATACATTGAGAGCAACATTGTTATTCCAGAGGAAGCACGGCTTCAAGCTGTAGAGGAAGAAAAGAAAAGGAAACAGCAGGAGAAGCTTGAGGCAGCGGAGAGGAAGAAATTAGAAAATGAGGTTTGGAAATTCACTGATTTTAATTATTGGAACACATTAATGAACAAGCACTAAATAGAAATAGATACTTTAAGTTAAATGTCCTCTTGCAGATATAAAGTTAATCCTTAATGCTTAATCCTTACACACTCATTCACCCTGAGGTTGATGGTCCTGGCTCATTCAACTCCAATGTCTATGTATAGGAGAAGAAAGTTAGGAAGATCCAGATGGCAGAACTGGAGGAGATTCTACAGGGAAACAGGAACAATCTACAGAGACTGCATGATGACCGCAGGAAGAAGGCCAAGGTCAGCCAATAGAGCCCTCTGATCATACTTTAATTTCAAAAGGGTCTGATACATTTACAATTTGTATTTTTATATCAGCCAGTTACCATATGCTTTGTTCCACAATGAAAACCATGTTGATAACATGCACCCTTCATCCCTTACTAGACAGGTTATGTGCACACTGTGTTCTTCCATCACCCATGAATACATACAACCACTCTGTAGTGTAGTAGGGACATGCATCCTTCATCACTTACTAGACAGGTTATGTGCACACTGTGTTCTTCCATCACCCATGAATACATACAACCACTCTGTAGTGTAGTAGGGACATGCATCCTTCATCATGTAGTAGGGACATGCATCCTTCATCACTTACTAGACAGGTTATGTGCACACTGTGTTCTTCCATCACCCATGAATACATACAACCACTCTGTAGTGTAGTAGGGACATGCATCCTTCATCACTTACTAGACAGGTTATGTGCACACTGTGTTCTTCCATCACCCATGAATACATACAACCACTCTGCAGTGTAGTAGGGACATGCATCCTTCATCACTTACTAGACAGGTTATGTGCACACTGTGTTCTTCCATCACCCATGAATACACTCAACCACTCTGTAGTGTAGTAGGGACATGCATCCTTCATCACTTACTAGACAGGTTATGTGCACACTGTGTTCTTCCATCACCCATGAATACATACAACCACTCTGTAGTGTAGTAGGGACATGCATCCTTCATCACTTACTAGACAGGTTATGTGCACACTGTGTTCTTCCATCACCCATGAATACACTCAACCACTCTGTAGTGTAGTAGGGACATGCATCCTTCATCACTTACTAGACAGGTTATGTGCACACTGTGTTCTTCCATCACCCATGAATACATACAACCACTCTGTAGTGTAGTAGGGACATGCATCCTTCATCACTTACTAGACAGGTTATGTGCACACTGTGTTCTTCCATCACCCATGAATACATACAACCACTCTGTAGTGTAGTAGGGACATGCATCCTTCATCACTTACTAGACAGGTTATGTGCACACTGTGTTCTTCCATCACCCATGAATACATACAACCACTCTGTAGTGTAGTAGGGACATGCATCCTTCATCACTTACTAGACAGGTTATGTGCACACTGTGTTCTTCCATCACCCATGAATACACTCAACCACTCTGTAGTGTAGTAGGGACATGCATCCTTCATCACTTACTAGACAGGTTATGTGCACACTGTGTTCTTCCATCACCCATGAATAGTACATACATCCTTCACTTACAACAACTCTGTAGTGTAGTAGGGACATGCATCCTTCATCACTTACTAGACAGGTTATGTGCACACTGTGTTCTTCCATCACCCATGAATACATACAACCACTCTGTAGTGTAGTAGGGACATGCATCCTTCATCACTTACTAGACAGGTTATGTGCACACTGTGTTCTTCCATCACCCATGAATACACTCAACCACTCTGTAGTGTAGTAGGGACATGCATCCTTCATCACTTACTAGACAGGTTATGTGCACACTGTGTTCTTCCATCACCCATGAATACATACAACCACTCTGTAGTGTAGTAGGGACATGCATCCTTCATCACTTACTAGACAGGTTATGTGCACACTGTGTTCTTCCATCACCCATGAATACATACAACCACTCTGTAGTGTAGTAGGGACATGCATCCTTCATCACTTACTAGACAGGTTATGTGCACACTGTGTTCTTCCATCACCCATGAATACATACAACCACTCTGTAGTGTAGTAGGGACATGCATCCTTCATCACTTACTAGACAGGTTATGTGCACACTGTGTTCTTCCATCACCCATGAATACATACAACCACTCTGTAGTGTAGTAGGGACATGCATCTGTTTTTAGTCAACTAATGACTCAAAGAAAACTCAAAGGCAGTTGACCTTTACTCTATGCCCTAACATTGTGTGACCCTACTATTGCCTGAAATTGATGCAGTATGTAGAGCAAGACTAAACTGAGACATAGCAAGACTATGACAAGAATATGACAAGTATTTCTTGTTTTGTACAATGTAATCTAAGCACTCATTTCTCTCTTTCTTGATCAAGTTACTGACTTGAATCTTGAAGAGAAGCTACTCCACAGCAAAGTGATCATATGTATTCAGTTGTCATGAAGGAATGTAGTTTGATGGATGATGGGTAACATCCTGCAAGAAGTGTTAATGCCCCTGTGTGTGTTCCAGTGGGCGAGGTACATGAGATGTGATGGATCGCCAGACCCCACCATCCCGGGGGAGATCAACACCTACATCAATCTCAGGCTGGAGGAGACAACTCGCACACTCCCAAAACTCGTACTGAAGGATATAGAACTAGACCTTTCAGTAAGTACATAGGGGAGTTCATCTTGTCCTTCATTGCATGACTGCTGGTGATGTTATTAAGGTGCACAACTTTTAACATAATGTAATTTTCTGAGTAAAATTGATATTTTATACTTATCCTGACTCATGTATTATTGCTTGTCTCCTTTCCTTCCCGAACGTTAGTGGAACACTTGTATCTCCTTTTTGAAGCTCCCTTCAATAAAGCAGACGTAAAATCACTACTCACCATGAGTTGTCTTCCTCTCAGTTTTGGCTGGAAAACGGCGCCACCCGTCTCCCACGCTTCACTCTCTCCGAATAGCTAGCCCGACACTTCGATTTACAGGGAAATCCAAAGTGCCTAGCGGGGAGGTTGGGAGGGCTTACCTCATGAGTTAGGATAAGTATAAAATATCAATTTTACTCAGAAAATTACATATTTTTCCTTATCCTGACTCATGTATTATTGCTTGTAGAATCCGTCGGAACTGGTGGTGGGAAGCCACTTCTGGATTCCAATTAGTGATTTACGTCTTGCATACCCCCCCTATGGGAACTTCCTGGTAGCACTTCAATTTACTGCTAGGCTCTGCTGCTGCTGTAACCCTTTACTTCCAGCTTTCTCTGATGGGGGGACCACAATTGTTAACTTTTGGTCCTTGCTTCTGTTAACATTTTATGTAGATTTTGCAACTCCATCTCTTGATGCAAGCATCAAGTGGAGAAGCGACCCTTTTTATGTACGAGTACGTCCTTACAAGTACTGGGTCTATCACTTATGCTTAGTCTGTCTTAGACGTGCATATGGACTCTAAAGCTGTAACTCTCCTGAGTGTAGGCTTTTGCAAGTCATGTGATAAAAGGGCGAGACTCCGTCTCAGCGCCTTTGTGGAACTGTCGATTGTTGTGCTACAACAAGTGGGCCGAAATGGTGAATGCCAGAGACGTCCTCGGTGGCGATGTCTCTCAGGTAGTGGTTGGCAAACACCATGTCCTATTTCCAGAAGCAGCCCTCCATTATCGTCGTGATAGAGCAATTCCCATGTAGAGTGAGTGTTGACGCCAGAGCTCTAATTTCATGTGGATTGGAGGCTCTTGGAGGATCAAGTCCTGCTGCTTTGTAGGCCCGTAGTATGACAGTTCTCATCCTTATTGATATCGTAGTGCGAGAGATCTCCGTCTGTGTCGCTGTCGATATAGGGATGAAAAGACACTTGAATTTTCGTCTCCTGGTCCTAGACCTTTGTAGGTAGACTTTCAATGCTCTTAATGGGCATAAGGATAGGTCCTGTGTATCCTGTGGCCCAAGGACTGATGATAGTGCTGGGATGTGGAATTGTCTGTCCGGTTGACCTGGCAGTTGATTCTTTGCTATAAAGTCCCATCTCAGTCCCATATGCACGATGTTTCGATTTTCGTCAAATCGTGTACTCTCAAAGTCTAGAGCATGTATTTCCGACATCCTTGCTGCTGTTGCTAAGGCGATCAGGAATAGAGTTTTCTGCATCAAGAACTCAAAAGATGTCCTATCTAATGGTTCATAAGCGTCACTGGTGAGATGCCGTGGAGAACTATGTTGAGGTCCCCGTCCGAGCTTTAAATCACTGTTGTTGGTCCTCCAGTTTAAAGAGCGTAGTAAGGCCAGTAACTCTGGTACCTTAGTCAGTTTTACACTCGTCCTCATAGTGATAACTGAGCTCAATGCCGCTAGGTATGTTGAAAGTGTTGACCCTTTTAACTGCTTCGCGTTTGTCTTAGGTGACAAAGATAGTCCGCCATTTGAGGGTGTGTCGCTTTTATGGCTGTGAAGCCTGTTTCCAAAGCGTAGGTCTCGAAGCTTCGCCACTTGTCGTACATGTTGCGTGTAGACTTGTGTAAAGCTAGTGTGACCGCTTTCGCTGCTCTGGCGGAATATCCTCTCTAATTCAAGCACGCCTTGATACGCTCCACGCGTGTAGCCGAAACACCTGTGGGTTGCCGTGTGCTTGCTTTGTGTGCGGATGTACTAGCAGATTCGTCCACTCTGGTAGTTGCAGTTGAGGCGGTCCTAGTTCTTGTATGAGAATGGGGAACCACATTCTTGCTGGCCAGTAAGGCACGATCAAAATCAGTTGCAGGTTCCTCGTCTGCATGATTTTCTGCAACACTTTCGGGATTAGAGCTGGTGGCGGGAACGCGTAAGCGTTAAGTCCTTCCCAAGAGATGCTTAGAGCATCTGTTGCCCCTGTTCGTGGATCTGTCCGACTTGAGGACTGAGTAGGCTCTGCCAACTTTGTAGTAATAACGGAGAGAGTAGTGCTTGAGATACAATGACTTGTATCTAGATCCAACGATCGTGAAACCCTTGCCATGTCCGTAAGGGCAACGAAGCAATGTCCGACTCTGTGACTGCCATCGTTGTGAAGTCTATGTAAGGTAGACTGCCTGCCGTAACCAAAAGTCCGTCAAACGTATGTTGCTGCAATTCGCCTGATGAACCGTCTTCAATGCTGACAGGGAAGGTCTCTAACCCCGTGAAGGCAGTCGAATCACGCAGTTGCCGTCTAACTGGACTGTAATTGAGGCCTTCTTCCCACGTTGAAAGGTTGTTGTCACTTGTAAACAATTCCTTGACATGTGAACTACGTCCGACTTCTGCGCAGGGCGTTGTCTCTCATGGACCAATCAAAATGAAGCATTTTGATTCCTTTAGCTTCCCGCGATGTGACGTCACCGGTGTAGCAGAAAAAAGGTCCTTGTAGAATCTTGTGCAGTCGTTTATATGTTATCAACACTCGGTCTTGTCCGTAGCCTTCTGGAGTTACACAAGTGACCACGTGTATAGAGGGTTGAATGGTAAACGCGCGAAAGATTTCGCCGCGTAATACCGATGTAGGTAGGCTGTTTCCTGGCTGCTGTGACTGATCTTCAGTCCTGAAGATAATGCAGTCGTCTTTTTATACAGATGATCAGTCCACACCTCCTCAGCGCTGCCACCTGTAGACTGCATTCATCGATCTCAATGAAGTGTCGTAAAATACCCTCTTTGTGTTGAAACACACAGGTCCTTGTAGAGTTGACTTTGTAACTTCATAGCCTTAGCAAGGCTGTGCTGAACCACGCCAATGTGAATACCTGAAGATCTGTACGCAAGTGAAGATCTCTATATGGACATGACTCCCTCCTGGATTCTTCAGATACATCTCTAACCTTTGAGAAGGTGTAGGTTGTTAGCACCAAGGAGTGCAGTTAGTCCCGTTATTATCTTCTGATGTAGATATATCTATCTTAATTTTCTCAACGATGTGAATCCCGTCCTGGATTCAGTCTGAAGATCTGCGCAGGTGATGAATTCAGACAAGAGTACCCCTCTTGAACTTCAACACGTGTCCCTCTGTCTTTACGCAGGCGAAGATTTCTTCCTCCATGCTGAAGAGTTCCTTCGTATAGGCTCACAACGAAGATCAAGGTCTGAGGGTGAAGTGGGATGGCCAAGGACGTCTATATTAATCGTCGAAACTGCAGAGCATGACTGTCAAGTGCGTGATCCTTCACACATTTCTTCATGCCGATTACCTCCCGCAGCTTCGTCCTTAGGCTTGCGCGAACCGTCCATTAGGTCCATCATTTGCTGCATAAAAAATACCCGTGTTGAAGGTCTGCGACGACTGCAGATGTAGTGACGCATCTGAGAGTGTTGCGGCTTTTTGCATTTAACTGTGGTATATTTGGAGACTGGAAGTTTGTTGCCTTCCTGAAGGCTGCGTCAAAGTCCTCAGGTACGCCCGAGACTGGGTCAATTGGAGGTAAGGTGATTGTGTGTACATCATCGTCCTTCATTAGGTACGTGAATGCTTCATCCGCCATCGTCCTCTGTATCCAGTCCAGTTGGATATGATCGTTGAGTATCCTCCCTGCATGGAGATCTGCGTGGCAATCTGTGTGGAGATGAGTACGTAGAACTATGTGTAGTTCTAAGAGGAGATGTGTATGGCGACCTGCGTGGAGGTGAGCGTCTACGTGTCCGGGGTTGCCTTTGCAAAGGCAATATATTCCTATGTGGTGACATTCTTGATGATCTATCTGACGACCTTCGCGCAGGTGAGAGATTTGTTGAGGGTCTCAGTCCTGAGACGGCTCTCAGTATCTTCTTGGAGGTGTAAGCCTCTCTGTGATGTAGGTAGCCTGCGCGAAGGCTCTTCATTTAGCTTTATCATCAGATGACGATCTATTTTGGTCGGATGAATGTCCCTTCCTTCGCGCAAGTTCGTTGACGTCGTGCAGGGTAGGTCTGCTCTTAGAGCTAGAACCTCTTGTAGATATCTCCGATGCGCCACCTGCGGGGTCCTTCGCGCAGCATTGGTTGAGCATGAGAGGCGGCTGCCTGACCATCATGCAAGGTCCTGCGGCGCTTCTCCATCAGGTCCATCATCTGTTGGGAGAATTGCTGCATGAAGGTCGGGGTTGAATGTCTGCGACGAATGTAGAGATGACGCATCTGAGAGGATAGCGATATGGTCCAGGGATCGCTGTACATCATGGATCCCTGCTGCCAGTGTAGAAGGTAACTCAGACTCGCGTCGATAATGTTGCTGACGTTACCGTTGCTGAGGCCTGCGTCTTCTTCTTATGCAGTATCTCTGGGATACGGATAGGCGGTTCTACGCATACAAGCCTATTTCTTCCATCGGGACGATCTCGGCAGAGAAGGTCCTTGTAGTCTGTGAAGAGCTTCCAGTAGATCTCGTTGAAGCCTTAGGGGTGTAAGGCTTCTTCTGCGACGAAGATGGCCTCTCCTTCTTCGTATGGGTTGAGGAGTTGTCCGACGTAGAAGATCTTTTCTTCGACGTAATGGCGGACCTCATCCCACGCCCATCTTCTGAAGACGCCTCCGGCAGGTCACTTGGCAATGTATTCCTAAGTGGTGACTGCCGTGACGATCTTGTTGTTGACGCTGTAGAAGATAATTCAGATGACCTTCGCGCAGGTGAGAGATTTTGTTGAGGGTCTGAGTCCCGAGACGTCTCTCTCGACCTTCTAGGTGGTGTAGGTTTCTTTCTCTGCTAAGTGGGTAGCCTGCCTGAAGGTTCTTCATTAGCCTCATCATCTGATGACGATCTATTTGGTTCTGAAGAGAGTGCCGTCCTGCGCGCAGGTTTGCTGACGTCATGTAGCGTAGATCTGCTCTTAGTCCTAGAGCTAGATTCTCTGGTGGGCCTCTCAGATGTATCATCAGTGTGGGGTCGTTCGTGCAGGTCTGGATCTTCTCTGAGGTTGATGACTTGAGCATGAGAGCCGTCTGGCTGTCCATCATGCAAGGCTCTTTCCTGCGCGAAGCGCTTCTCCATCATCTCCATCATCTGTTGAGAGAATTGCTGCATAAAGGCCCCGAGGTTGAATGTCTGCGATGATTGTAGAGATGTCGTATCTGAGATGGTAGCGATATGGTCCAGGGATCGCTGTGCTTCATGGATCTCTGCTGTCAGTGTAGAAGGTAACTCGGACTGCGTAGATAGGGCTGCTGACGTTACCGTTGCTGAGGCCTGCTTCCTTTTCTTATGCTGTATCTCTGGGATGATCAACAGTGGCTCATCATAAGGCCTCTCTCTTCCATCGGGACGATTTCGGCCGAAAAAAGTCCTCCCAATCTGCGAAGAACTCCCCATTGAGCTGTTTAAAGTCTTAGGGGTGTAAGGCTTCTTCTGCGTTGAAGATGGCCTCTTCTTCTTCGTATGGGTTGAGGAGTTGTCCGTGTAATGGCGGACATCATCCCACGCCCATCTCAGAAGACGCCTCCGGCAGGTCACTGGATGGAAGTATGTCGTCTGACAACGATAGACAGCTCTTGAGGGACTCAGCCGGTTTATCCATGACTTGCAAAAGTCGTCTGGATTTATCCTAAGCACACCTAAGTACAGAGAAATAATAATGATTAAATTGAATTTGTGTTAATTGCTGACATAAGTTACAGCGAGAGCTGGAAGTACATATTGTTGTGCAACTTTGCACAGTAAATGCGGGTCTGCAGCAGATAACCTACAACGAAAAAAGGTTTCCATGAAATGTAAACAACTGAACAATCACGTAAAAACCGTGAATGAACAGTCAAATTACGAATAATTTTCAAACCATATTGTAGAAGAATACTCCCTAAAGCCTTATAAAGGTAACTTATAGGGCAATAACTAATTAATCAAAGGATATAGTGCCGTATTGGAGATACAGGCGCTCTCCCAACCGTCCACTAGGGCGAAGAAGGAGAGAGTGAAGCGTGGGAAGACGGGTGGCGTCGTTTTCCAGCCAAAACTGAGAGGAAGACAACTCATGGTGAGTAGTGATTTTACCTCTGCTTTATTGAAGGGAGCTTCAAAAAGGAGATACAAGTGTTCCACTAACGTTCGGGAAGGAAAGGAGACAAGCAATAATACACGAGTCAGGATAAGGAAAATTATATCTTTTAATATCAATTAGCAAGAAAACATTCCTCATTTAGTATTTTCATTGAGTGAAATCTGTTGTGTTCCCACAATAGCTGATTGATGTTTTTAGACCATGGGGTAAAATGCAAAGTAACATGATGGTTTTAAACAAGGGAGCTAAAGAACTGAAGGGCTGTAATATATGCATTTGTAGTGGTACTCTGGTGAATGTATGTCACATGGTAGTTTCATACACTTTGATGTGGTTGGTCTTGTGAAGCATATACTACTTGTTACAATGTTGTGATTGAACACATTATAAAAATATGGATCACCTTGACACAGCCATGTTTGTGTTCCAGCTGATAGCTGAGTTAGAGTACATGCTGACAGACACCCCGACCGAGGAGCTGACAGACAGACAGGTAGCAGCATACAAGGAGGTAGGTAGCAGTAACCATGGTCAAGCTTCCAAAGCTTGACTAGATATTTAGGGTAAAAATAGCAACTTCTTAATGAAAAGAGAGATGATAGAAGCAAGTGCTTGCCCCTTATATCGTTAAAATATCATCCAGAATGTTCCATTCTATGTTGAATTCGCCTTTGAAGGTTCTGTACATGCATTCACATACGCTGGACATATATTTATATTTACATACACAAGCCATATACACACATGCACAGGACATATACATTCATACACGGGCTATATCCTTTCATACAGAAGCCATATACTCACATGTAAACACATACACTGTCCATCTAAGCCCATTTTAACAGATAAATATTCATCATTCGAGTCCAGTGTTGTGATTCCTGTGCTGTATGGTTTTACAACACTTTTAGCAATATTCCAGCAATATCACAGCAGGTGACGCCAGAAATGGGCTTCACACATTGTACCCATGTGGGGAATCGAACCCAGGTGTTCGGCGTGACAAGTGAACACTTTACCCACTAGGCTACCCTTCCACCCCTAGTTTACTTTGAACCTCACTCAGTTTCACTGTTGTGCATAGACAATCGAGGAGATCCAGGATGTGATCCGGGGGAAGCTGGACAAAGCGGTGTTCCATGTGCTGTGTGATGCCAGCACCATGCAGGACCCAGAGACATATAATCTCCAGTTTGTTATAAAGAATCCAGAAATACAGCTGTGCATCTGGGGAAATCTCAGCAAAAATCCAAGGTAAATAAATTTTTCGATTTTTTATTGTTGCCTCCCATGTGAACAGGTTTACATAATACCAGACACATTAACAACATTACATTTGAAAACAGTAGATAGTGGACAATAATTGTAAAGGCTATCAAGTCTGTGACTGCAACTGTTTGCAGCTGCAGGACTTTCTGTCCATCACATGAAACTTGACATAATTTGTGACCTTGTTTATTACATCATCCTCCAGCTTTATGTATCATAGGGCTGGGACAGGTAACCTGGATACCTGGGATGGGTGGGTAATGAGTTGGACCCGTTATGATCCTTTGTATAATAGATTAAGCAATGTAATATGTTAATCTTTCATGATTCACAATGATTAAGAGATTGTATTATCTTTGAAGATTTAGACATAATTTACAGTTACCTGTTTTTAATATACCGGTAACACATGCTTAGATATTGAAAAACTCAAAAAAAATTGCCTCTGAGCGGAAGAATATATTGTCATTTCTTTACAAATTTGATGTCAGGAATTAACATAACGGGTATCAGGATAGGGCAGGGTAATATGGGGTGGGTTACCCAGGTAGAAAATTTGGACCCATCCCAGCCTTAAAATCTAATAATTATTTTCATGCTTTGTCGGTACAATAACTGTGTTTGTGGGTTTTACCAAAGTGGTTACCTCTGTGTCCTCCCTGCCTGGCAAAGGGCTTATTTTACGGAATTTCTTCTAGGGTGAAGTCTTTCGAGTTCCAAGATGTTGGTTTCACCTTTGACATCCCACGTGTGCTAGCTCTGTCAGACTGTTCGTTCCAAGTTCGCATGACAAAGTATGACCATTTCTCCATGTACAGCAAGACCTTCAGTCCTCGCTTGAAGAAGAAAGAAGGTAATATTCTGATATTCTGAATCATAGTTTTATTACAGGCAACTGAAATGAATTAATGTAACAGTGATGACTGTTCTTTTTATTGTTCTACATGTAAAATGATGCGCTGTGATGATCTATAGCCCACTTTTATGTCTTGTTATGTACGGTACATCAGTATTTTTTATTATAATATGCTAGTTTTCAACGTAAATTTGTTATAATTCTAGCTATTTTACTATCCTTTGTAGACAAGTATGGATGTATTAATTATGCATAACCTTTTATAGTCATGATATACTACTCACACTTTGCTAAGGATCACAAAAATTCATAACTTTACTTAAACATAGATTTATAATTTGATATTGTATCCATTTAAAACTGGATAAATAATAATATCGTAACCCCTGTTTAGGCAAACATCCACTTTCATCTAATCTTATGCACTTGATATATGAGTAACCAAAAAAATGGTTTTCATGGCACCAATCAACCATTTTGCAAATCATGGAACAAGTCATTGACAAGTACACAACACCTGTCAATAGCAGGTATGGGATCCACAAGATGCAGTGACATACTGAAACCTGGGATCTATGCTTACAATAAACTGAGATATGTAAACCAAATTAGACCCCACATCATAGGTTTCTGTTGAATCAATGATTTGATCCTAAGCAAAGTGTGAATAGTATATGACGGAAGCACCGCAAATGCAACTTTAACTTATAACTCACTTACTAATGCACTATGGAATCTTTCAGAAGTTGTTCCTGAACCAGTGGAGGAGAAGGAAGAAAAACCCGAGGAAGAGGAGGAAAAGAAGGAAGGCGAAGAGGGGGCAGAGGAGGAGGCAGAAGCAGACAGGGAAGACACAGAGGTAACTCAATTCTCAAATTGGACAAATGTCCCATGGTCACAAAGTATTTGTTACTATTCACTTTGGTTAGCACTTTACTGATGAAGAAATAACACTGGAAGTTGGTAGTTCAGGGTCTCGTTCGGCAGTGTTAGTTGGCCCTGTGATTGTTGCAGTTAGTGGCGGCAGTCATAGGGCTAAGATCACTTTGTGCACCCAGGCCGATGGATCCTGCTCAGTGGAAAGTATTGCGTTTATAACATGGCAGTTCTGTTTTGTCAGGACCTTATGGCACAGCTGAGGAAGATGGATGGTGGGGAGGAGGAGGAGGAAGAAGATACAGAGAAGAAGGAGGAGGTTGAAGAAGAGGAAGAGGACTTTGAAGATCCTCCAACACCAGGTGACAACAGCATAATCATAAAGGCTAGGCCAATAGTCCAGTACTGAAAATCAAGAGGAACCATTTTGTCTCCCCAAATATTGTTATTTTATATAAATCTGAAATAACTTGTGGACTAGTTGTATACCTCCAGCCCAACCCTGTGAAGGCAACTTAAACATCAAATGGATCATGTTCATAAACTCTTATTTAGTAAATCCATCCATTGCTTTCCATCCATGATAATTAACATCCTTGATAGTGTTGATGTTATCTTGGTATTCAGAACCCCCTGAGTGGGAAGACTTCGAGGAAGATGATGATGTTGTTGACCTGAGGGCCTACAACGTCCTAGGCGGAGTTTTCACGTTTGACCTCATGGCTCTTCCTCCACAGCCCAAACCCGTCAACCAGTGGACTTTAACTAGATGTAAGTAAAAGGCCTATACATTTATATTATCTAGAAACTCTCCTCATGGCATGATTTCTAAACTGGACACTTCATGTCCAACTGAAACATGGTAATTGTATTCCTTTAGTACTTTCTTGCAGTGTCACTAAAACCAGCAAACTAAACTTGATTATACAGAGGAATGAACCTGAACTCTCTTCCAGTGGTGAACCCCCCACAGATCGAGCTGATGGATTATGTGGCTGAACTGCCTGCACCTGCTGCTGCCAGTGCCCAGACGAAGGACCAGAAGGACACACAGACACAGGAGAAGGACAAGCGAGATGAGAAGCCTCCTATAGGTGTCACTATCAAGTAGGTGGAACCTGTACTAGATGACTGTAACCTGTACTTGATGACTGTAACCTGTACTAGATGACAGTAACCTGTACTAGATGACTGTAACCTGTACTTGATATGACAGGAACCTGTACAAGATGACTGTAACCTGTACTTGATGACTGTAACCTGTACTAGATGACAGTAACCTGTACAAGATGACTGTAACCTGTACTTGATATGACAGTAACCTGTACAAGATGTAACCTGTACTAGATGACTGTAACCTGTACTAGATGACTGTAACCTGTACTAGATGACTGTAACCTGTACTAGATGACTGTAACCTGTACTTGATATGACAGGAACCTGTACTAGATGACAGTAACCTGTACTAGATGACAGTAACCTGTACTAGATGACTGTAACCTGTACTAGATGACTGTAACCTGTACTAGATGACTGTAACCTGTAAACCTGTACTAGATGACTGTAACCTACTAGATGACAGTAACCTGTACTAGATGACAGTAACCTGTACAAGATGACAGTAACCTGTACTAGATGACTGTAACCTGTACTAGATGACTGTAACCTGTACTAGATGACTGTAACCTGTACTTGATATGACTGTAACCTGTACTAGATGACTGTAACCTGTACAAGATGACTGTAACCTGTACTAGATGACTGTAACCTGTACTAGATGACTGTAACCTGTACTTGATATGACTGTAACCTGTACTTGATATGACAGTAACCTGTACTAGATGACAGTAACCTGTACAAGATGACAGTAACCTGTACAAGATGACTGTAACCTGTACTAGATGACTGTAACCTGTACTTGATATGACTGTAACCTGTACAAGATGACAGTAACCTGTACAAGATGACTGTAACCTGTACTTGATATGACTGTGACCTGTACTTGATATGACTGTGATATGACTGTAACCTGTACTTGATATGACTGTAACCTGTACAAGATGACAGTAACCTGTACAAGATGACTGTAACCTGTACTTGATATGACTGTGACCTGTACTTGATATGACTGTGATATGACTGTAACCTGTACTTGATATGACTGTAACCTGACAAGATGACAGTAACCTGTACAAGATGACAGTAACCTGTACAAGATGACAGTAACCTGTACAAGATGACTGTAACCCGTACAAGATGACTGTAACCTGTACTTGATATGACTGTAACCTGTACAAGATGACAGTAACCTGTACAAGATGACTGTAACCTGTACTTGATATGACTGTGACCTGTACTTGATATGACTGTGATATGACTGTAACCTGTACTTGATATGACTGTAACCTGTACAAGATGACAGTAACCTGTACAAGATGACTGTAACCTGTACTTGATATGACTGTGACCTGTACTTGATATGACTGTGATATGACTGTAACCTGTACTTGATATGACTGTAACCTGTACAAGATGACAGTAACCTGTACAAGATGACTGTAACCTGTACTTGATATGACAGTAACCTGTACAAGATGACTGTAACCTGTACTTGATATGACTGTAACCTGTACTTGATATGACTGTAACCTGTACTTGATATGACAGTAACCTGTACTTGATATGACAGTAACCTGTACTTGATATGACTGTAACCTGTACTTGATATGACAGTAACCTGTACTTGATATGACAGTAACCTGTACTTGATATGACTGTAACCTGTACTTGATATGACAGTAACCTGTACAAGATGACTGTAACCTGTACTTGATATGACTGTAACCTGTACTTGATATGACAGTAACCTGTACTTGATATGACAGTAACCTGTACTTGATATGACTGTAACCTGTACTTGATATGACAGTAACCTGTACTTGATATGACAGTAACCTGTACTTGATATGACTGTAACCTGTACTTGATATGACAGTAACCTGTACAAGATGACTGTAACCTGTACTTGATATGACTGTAACCTGTACTTGATATGACAGTAACCTGTACTTGATATGACAGTAACCTGTACTTGATATGATTGTAACCTGTACTTGATATGACAGTAACCTGTACTTGATATGACAGTAACCTGTACTTGATATGACTGTAACCTGTACTTGATATGACAGTAACCTGTACAAGATGACAGAGGTGTAACCTGTTGCAGGTTGCCATCTGATGTGATGTTCCAGGAGGAACCCCAGGTAGTTCGGTGGGATGAAGACAAGAGACACTGGCGGCTGGACGGATTCTCAGACATTGTCTACAATGACGGTAAAAACAGAATACTTTACTTTGAAAAACCTTTACTTAGTGTACCAGTGATTCTCAGCATTTTGTGTTGCATAAATCCAGTGCTGATGCCTCCAAGCGTAGACAAAATATATAGATTCACGATGTGTCAACGAGATGTCAGTTTTTCATTTGCTGTTGCAGAGAACCGGACATTTGGTTTCAAGATGTACAAGTTTGGCATCATGGCACTGATACAGGAGACACACATCAACATGCCATTCCAGTCTTGGGAGCTCCGCCCCCGGGCGGTCAACAAGGCGGTTCTGTCCATCATTGCAGCCATTGTGGAGCTGGACATTGAGATAGAGGTGAGGTGTAATTTGTGTAGGTCAGAATTGTCCTGAGCTTGGGTGTAAGTGGCAACTTCAAGTCACTGGATTGTGAAGTCCAGACCCAATTGTTTTCAGTTTATTCATGGCTGCTCCCATAAAGCTGGAATGCTGCTGGGCGGGGCATGAAATTACTAACAAACACGAAATAATGTTGGACATGCTATCTGAATGACTGTTTTAGAGCATTCATAAGTTTCAAATATTATATAAACCTTACCTTTCCTTGACAACAGATCAAAGGTCCTTTATCCTTTTACAGATAATCCTGACATGGACTGCTGTGCAACTTCATTATTGTTTTCATTCTTTCACCTTTCAGAATTCAATGTGTTGTCTGAGCACCTCTTTTGAAGATCCTGCGCTGAGGCATCTCAAGGGGCAGATGATGACTCCAGCAGACTTAATTCAAGTAAGGCACTTTTCTAGCTTCTGCAGATAGATCTGGTATTATTATAGTTACTTTGAAATAGTTGGCATGGCATTTAGAACTGGCAAGTCATCCTGTTTTCAGTGGCGAGATAGCCTAGACGTTACCACATTGGTTGCCAGTAGTTCATCTTGTCCAAAACCCTATTTCCATTTCCAACATGGGTGAAATATGTGGAGCCAGATATCTGCTACTATGGCTGAAGTATAGTTCAATAAACATGCATTCATTCTAGGAGAGATTTGGTTAAATTTGTAATGAGAATGTGTGAGAGCAGGCAAAGCATTCATAAGAAGTTATACTGTGGTGTTTAATTGTTTCCCTACCTTGTTTCCAGAGTTTAAGGAAAGCTGGTGTGAATGTCTTCCCGTCTGAGGACTCCTCCAAGTATGTCAGCATCCAGAACAAGGTAGGAGGTGATGCTGCTGAACCACCAGTACACATCATGCTATCATTTTGAAGTAAGAAATATAAATGATGTGTAAAAATATTTATGTCTTTGTCTGAATTGAATGTGGTTGATCTCAAGGTATGAAGAACCATGTCAACCCAGTTCACTATGTGCATGTTCAACTTCAAAATTCCTGAATTCCTGAGACAATTCATGCATTGTTTTCAGCATTGCTTGGTAATAAATCCCAGTTCTGGCTCAAATGCTGATGATGAGTGTATGTTGTTTCAGCATCAAGTGTTGGAGTCACGGACATATGAACAGATGGCTCTTACTGCATCAGCCATGACGTACTCCTGGTCCAAGTGGAACCAGGACAAGGAGACAGACCAGATCATCTTCCAAGGCTCGGAACATCTCAGCGATGAGCGGTTGTTGGAGGTGTGCACATGATCCCTACATATTCTTCACTCTATTGGAAAACTGAAGCTTGAGATCATAATTGTGGAATAATACATTAAGAATAAACATCAATGGATTAGGAGAGTACGACTGGACACCTTTTAAAAGTGGACTACACAACAATAGATAATAAGGCATATTTACTGATGATGAACTGAGATTAGTTCCATGTGAGAGTCAGCGTGAATTCTTCATGTTCATCACAGTAACCCTAGCATATTTGGTTTCTGGTGATTTATCTGCCATTTCTAAAAGTCCTTATTATGGATGGCGATATCTGTTTATGACAATATGCTAGTTTTAAGTATAAATCTGTGATGACTATAGTTACAGTATACCCTAGTTATAATGCCACCATTAGTCCAGGAGAAAATAGATGGCATTCTATTACCCACGTGGTCAACGTATGGGTAGTTGCATACTAATCTCATACGTCACACGAGTGTCGTATCGCGTTGACCTGTGTCGTAACGACTTGACCTGAGATTCTAACAATTTGATTGGATAACCAATCTCTCAATTACGTCCCGTTGTGACGGAACCACTTGTTCATTCATAACAAACACATGAATTCATTCATTCTACAACTTATATGCATTGTGGGAATGTAAACATTGTGAACGTTGCCGTATTGCTGTTTAATTGTGAATCGAACTGAAACATTGTATCCGTCGAAAAACATAAACGCAATGTTTCCACCAGTGATGTTAGCCGAGTGAAGCAACTGCAAACCAAGAAAAGGGGTGCTACGGAGTAGTTTACTGTAGGAGGCTGTACGAGGCGATGACAACTGACATGCATCATGACGTTGGTTACCAAGGGAGCAGACGAGTATGGTGTAGTGACGTCAATACAGTTCGACGTCATGCAAAAGTGAACTACAGAACAAAATTATTCCACAACCTCTTTATGAAACCGGTTTCGGTTTGAAACCATAACAATAACAAAAATACGCTGTTTGTCAATTTATTTATTACATGCATGTAAGACGTGGGTAATAAATAAAATACCACACTCGGTCTCATTACATATGAATTATACGAAACTCATGACACTCGTTTCGTATAATTCATATGTAATGAGACCGAGTGTAGTATTCTCTATATATCCAGGGTTGCATTATAACCAAGGTGGCATTATAACCAGGGTGCACTATATTTTTCTGTCCTTTGTAGAGAGGTATCTATATCGTATACAGGTGTTTCTTAAGCAGATTTTGGCTCAAACACTGCTGATGCCACCTAAAATCCTCACTCACTCTACACAGGGCCAACTATCCAACATGTTTATATATTTGTTACAGGAGGACTGGACCCTGTTCCAGGCAGGCAAGAGACAGGTGAAGCAACTCACCATGACAGAGTTTGATGAGGTGTTCACTGAGGAGTCAAAACATCCAGGGACAGTAAGGAGAACTTTCCTACACAAAATAGTAGTCCTTGAATTTGGGACAAACAGTGCGTAAATACAGGACACTATTTTAAACTGTTTACATACGGAATTTACAGATACACAACACCCACATGATGTAACATTCCTTCACACCATCAACCCCGACCCATCAGTGCTCAAATAATGTGAATCATTTCTCTTATCTGCCCCCTATATAGCAGAGATGTTTTTAAGTAACACTGAGGTGAGTAATAACATATCCATCACTCATGGTTTGTGTACTTTCAGTTCAAGTCCAATCTGTACCATCTGATTGTGGACACAGGGTCCGAGGAGGCCAAGGACAGGATCTATAACTCCAGCTATGAGTTTGTGGATTGTGTTCAACAGTTACTGGAGGCAACAAAAGTACTCACCTACTCTTAAACAGCAGTGCTCAGGACACTCAGGCTAACAACCAAATTGATCACAGCATGAAAATCTCCACCTTCTAAACACTGTCCATGTCAGAGAACTCAAAATATTCTTTGATGCATCAAACAGTGTGAACTTGTTGCTTCACACAATGAAGGCCTGTCCATCTGATGCATGTATGTTTCTTTAATATGTTCAGTGGGACTTGTTTATCACATGCTGAAACTGAAAAGAATGTATCAGTCATGGGTGACTTTTCACTTCCATAATAATACAGAAATACATTTCATAAAGTATTTATGTGTACATAACATGTTTTATTGTATAAAGTTGACATTATCTTGAGTTACGTTGTCTGTTTTCAATAAGGTCTACTGAACATCAAGCCAAGAAAAACTGAACCAGATAAGCATAAAAAACATTGGTATACACAGGTTTTGAATACGTCTCAAGCCATTGATTGGAGGTCACACCTATTCTGATTTCTTTTTGTCATGATCAAATTGTGCAGCAACATTGGACAGTTGAAATACACCTTTTTCCTTATCATGACTCATGTTACATGCTTATCTCCCTTTTTCCTTCGAACAGTAGTGGAAACATTTTCATTTTTAATAAAAGGTGAAGATGCACCATTTTCCATCCCTTGTCAAATAACTGTGGGCGAGCTGGCTAAGGCGCCAGGCTAGTGATCCAGCGAGCATGAGGTGCCGGGATCGAGCCCACCTGTGACGGGTGTAAAATCCTTGGAGTCAACCTTGTGTGCAGATTCTTTCCCTAATGTACAGTACACAACCCGGTGTACTTAAAAGAACCCACGAATCCGTTGGTATATGACCAGATGGTGGCCACATGAATACGTGCAAACACCTAGTTGCGGGTACAGCAACGTGCAGTAAACTTGGACAAAGTCCTGTGACTATGTGTCCCAGTCCACCCAGCTGTGAATTGGGTACCTCGTAAGGATGGGAAAGCCGCAATAACTCGGTGCGCCTTGTGGCAGCAAGAGTTGTATGGTCCCCAGGGAGCTGAGATTGATAATAAGATGTGCAACTGACATCAAATGATCGTGGGGAAAATACCAGCGCCATGAGCATGCACTAGTGCGTGGATATGTGCGCTATATAAATATCCAATAATAATAATAAAAAAGCATATTTTGTTTAAACGTGTTCATTTTCCTCTTATCAGATGTTTCATCAAATTTTTAGAGCTTGATTTAACTTTATGAAACCCTTGAATGTGATATGTGACTTAGTTTTTAATGATTTTCACTTTTATCATGTGTAATGTCTTATGTACAAGCAGACATTTTGTGAATAGCTGCAAAACTGCTGATCTGGCATTAAGTAACATTCACTCACTAACACAAAGTAAACACTTCAAATTATGTCATAATGGGCTATGTCATGTTGATGTTTAAATTACCTCCCCCTATGGTCTAATGTATCCTTAGTAACACTGTTCTGTCAATCAACTTAGCCCATCCTCATCTATTATCGATCGTTGAAACAGTTGGTTTACTCCCAAAAGTCAGACAAATCAGTGACTGTGATTACAACCTAGTCCTACCCACTCATATAATGAACCTGTCCCATCCACTAACGAGATGGTTTTCACGTTTGTACAGAAATTCTTTAATCAGAATACTAATGTTGACTGGCTTACTCAGTCACTGGGTTCTCCAAATGTGTTTTCACAATGTTCAATTTTATCATAACAGGATTATGGATTGTTTTGAGAGTGAAAATGAACGTTGGAAATGTTGTTAATAACAAAAGACAATAAATAATGCTGTACAGTAAAGAACGGATTGCCCGAACACATCATGGAAGACATCACATGACAACAACAAAATTCATGCACAACACACACGAAAAGCACAAATTGCATGTGTAAAACATGTTTATTAGGGGTATAAATGACCGTCGACAAAAAAGCGTTCTCATTTTAGCTGTACCTCCGAAAGTTAAGTTTATTTTGCAATGCCAAGATTGTCACCAGAGGAATGAGAACAGGCGTTGGGCATGTTGCAGGTTGGCACATCAAGCAGGATTATTGCCAGACGATTTGGTTGCCATCATTCCACCATCATAAGACTTGCCAACAGGTACCAACAAACAGGGACCGCCAACGTCTGGCCAGGCACGTGTTACCACCCCTCGCCAAGATCGAGACATTGTTCAGCGCCATATTCGGGATCGTACATTGCCGGCTGCCAGAACCGCTAACACTGTCCAAGGCCGACGTGGTTTGATCACTGCTTCCACCTTCTGACACCGTCTCCATGCAGCAGGATTATGTTGGACCCATCCTGACTGATAGACATCGCCGTGAACGCCGACGATGGGCTGAACAGCATCGTTTGTGGTTGTTACGACGTTCGCATGGTGTTGTGTTCTCCGACGAGTCGCGTTTTCACTTGCAAAATGCTGACGGGCGTCTACCGGTATGGCGTCGACGGGGAGAACGTTACCATCAGGACTGTGTTGTCACCAGATTTGTCTCCCATTGAACACTTGTGGGATTACATCGGCCAACGCCTCTCACATCGCCCACAGATCAGCAACCTTGGGGAACTTGAGAATGCCTTGCAACAATAGTGGAATGCATTGCCTCAAAACATTATTCAGACTGACTTAGTTCAATGAGGAGACATTGCACAGCTTGTGTTGCTGCTAACGGTGGTCATACACGTTACTGACTTTCCAATTTGACTCCATCTTTCTTTCATGGTCAGCTGAATTAAAACTTCACTGTTTTGCTGGATTGGTTCTTGTTTCTTTTCTTTACCAATGATTGGACTACAAAAGTATGTAATATTTACACCGACTGCTCATTTATGCTCTTGGAAATCCAAACTAATACAGGTGGTGCGTTTCAATGATGTTCACTATATGTTCTCTTAACTTTAACTCATTTCTTAACCTTTTATTATGTTCATCATTATTCACTTAATAATTTATGTTGTTAAACATAGGTTGGTTGTAAAGCAACATATTAAACTACAATCAAATTGTTTTGTTTCATGTCAAATAAAGTCATTGTCATTCTCCATAATCTCTTCTCTTTGTGTTTGGATTAGTATGTTTGGAGTAGTCCATTAATGAACGAAGGTAACAGTGTAGTGAACCTCAGTGCAACCAACCATAACCTTTGTTGTTTTAACGCGTCTAACTTTTGGGAGGTCACCAAACAGTTTCTTGCACGAGTCCATGAGGTGTTGATAATCATGAGAGAGAAACACAGCAACAGACACAATATTGTCCCATTTGCCATTTAATTTTTCCACCCACTTAAACACTACCTTCATAAACAAAATCAAACTGATGCATTTTCTTCCACTTTTGAATCTGAAATCGAATTGATTCATATTCTCAGCTGCCAGTGAGATTAAACAATCATAAAAACACCCTTTCAACCAATTCCCACACAGGATGATTACCCCAGACATACCCCAACCATTGTGTCCTTACCTATCAGCAACAAACACATTGCTGAGATGGGCATTGGTGCTAACAAACTATGTCCCTCATTGGATAAAGAGAAAGTCATCTTTGAAAATCATACTTCAGCTGCTGATCATGGGGCACTTTGCCAAATACTACGGTCAAACAACAACTGTTGCTCCATCTCCCACACTGACGCTATTTCACATACCATGTACATTACCATATAATAAAACCACCACCATCATCAGTTCATGGCTTGCAGTTGCTGCAGTCTGCTAATACTGGTGGTAGAAACATCAGTTTTAACTTCTTTAACATCAACAACAAAATACAGTAACTCATAATAACCAATGATGCACAACTGTGACTGTTCTCATCCTACATACTGCTGCTTCATGGGATTAGGGATAACTTCACACTGTATAGATAAAATAATGACTTGCATAACATCATTAACTACCTATTCTTTGTTGTTTTGCTTGTTCTGGAGGGTCCATGACAGCTTTGCGGAAAGTACAAAATTCTGTGCTAAGTTAGAGTAAATTGCACATAATCAACAGAAATTAGGGTCAGTTTTACTTAAAATGTTGAGACACAGGTTGTTTATGGATAGCTCTATCCAAATGACAGATAGAAAAACTACAGAAGTTTAGATAAGACAGTAGTTGAGAGAATTATCCACTGACCCTGAACATTTACTAGATAAACACCTTGTTCATTGTAAGTTTAAACTTAATCATTTCTTAGTATATTTCACATTTCTCTTACATAAAAAGGGAATTTCACATTTAGTTGATCAGAAGAGGATTTCATGTTTAGTTAGGTGCAAGCTAAGTCAATATTTAGGTAACTTTATTACAAAACCATATTTTGTAAAAAGACTTCCCTTCATCCTGCAATGCTGTATGAATAACACAATAAATATTGTAATTCTGTCCTACGAGTAAAGTATTCAGATCAAAGAACCCTTACCAGAAGTAGAACCAAGTTGCTTAAATCAAGAAAAGAGTTTTTTAGTACATACAAAACACAAGCTGTCTGACCACCATTTCTAAGAGGAAAGAAATCCTCACACATTTGCAGTGTGATAAACCTTCAGTTTGGTGAAACACATTCTTGACACAACCTCAAATCTAAAGTAATAATGAGCATACTCGTAATTATGTTTCCAGTTTGAATAGAATGACATGTACCTGTGGTCTGCAAAAATACACAAGCTAGTACCTAAAAGGGTTCCACTTCTTGCCTTCGAAGGAAGCGACACACCAAAGTCCAACTTATTATGTTATATGCATTCACTCAATTGAGCCAATCACAAGCTCAACTTGTTCTTGTTGAATATGTGGTCTGAATTAATAAACATGATATACTACCACAGGGGTTTGTTCAGTTAACATAATGGCAGATTTACCTTCAGAATGATCAGTAACCGTGAGGTTCAACCATCAACTCACAGCCTTACCACTTCATTGCCCCACTCAAATGATGTCTATCAAGTATTTAACTGTAACAGTAAATATCACGTTCAAATTCCACCATACTTTTGTATGATGTGATATCAAATAACTATGGAAGAAATATCTTCACACTATCTGTAAAACGAAAATCAGCCATAACGTTCCTTGTCATGGTGCTTCATTCACCTGAAGCAATTTTATTTCTTGAGTTTGTTGCTTCCCTCAGCTATGACCTTGACGTGACTGTGTCCAGAGTAAAAACAACAAAAATCCATGAGATGTCACTGCACAGTATGGTTTCAAAACAAACTATCACTTCATGTTCATGGAAGATTCCAAAACATACAGTCATTCATTCAAGGAAAAGTAACAGAAGGATTTGTTTCAATAATTGTATTTAATTATCCTAGTTTTGCAACCAAACAACCTAATGAAGGAGAGTTTACATTAGGCTGCAGGTTCAGCTTTCTGCACAGACCAGAAAACAGTCCACCAGTTTCACATACAATACTCATATATACAGTAACCACACGCTCTTCAGTGATGTCCACAGTATCAGTTTATTGTAAATGGAGATATTTGACAATACCCCATGAGCAGAAGACAATTTTGAAACTGATTCCCAAAACTGGCCTGATTTGGCAAAGCTTCTGTTTCAAATAACTGACTTAACATCAAAGACAGTTCAACATCCTAAAGCTGGTGAGTTTCATGACACTACAGGAGGTGGAACTGGGTCTGCAAACTCTCCAAGTGCCTCGTCATAGTAGGCATTCATCCGGAAGGGCTTCAGTTCAAAGGGAGCTCGATCCTCCAGCCTCAGCAAGTTGACGCCGAGATCTTCAAGTGTGGGGTTTCCAGTCAGTATGTCGGTGATGTGATCCTGCAACAACATGTCCGCCAGATGCAGGAAGTGAAGAAAGTTGGATGTCCTAATGTCAATAGCACTGCAGCGAGTGAGTATGTTTTTACGACGCTTTTAGCAATATTCCAGCAATATCACAACGGGGGAACACCAGAAATGAGCTTGAAACATTGTACCCATGTGGGGAATCGAACCCGGGTCTTCAGTGTGACGAGCGGACGCTTTAACCATTAGGCTACCCCACCGTCCCAATGTCAATAGCAGAAGGCACAGAAGTAATTAAACCTGCCTAAAACAATGAACCTGTGTGATGAGTGCGATCACATAATTCCCCATTTTACTGGTACTTGGAACAAGATACTGAGAATCCATTCTGTTTTGTGTGACTTCATCCACAAGTAAATTGGAATTCTGTCTAGATCATCTACTCATATTGGTCATCCTATTTACCCAACCCTTTCCTATGCCATTATGATGCCTAAATACACAAAAGGATTATTGAACAAGATTTCGACAGAGACTGGAGATAATGTTCTTTGATTCTCATTATCGCTATAGGTCTTCACCATCTCAGCAGTTCATGGATAATAACTATATCTCCTATGCAAGAACACACTTTATGTTAACTGTTCCTACCTTCTCGATTTTCTCCATGGTATAGACGGGTGATGCTGGAGCCATGGACAAAGCCATTGCTTTCATTCTGAAAAGCAGATATATTTTTCGGTACCAAATTTTACAAAACCCAGAAATACTTACTGAATGTGTGAATCAGTACTTAGGAGTACCTGTCATAACCTTGCCTAGTAACAGACAATTACATTATCACAGGGTACAAGCAACTCAGTGCTGTCCTTGACTGTACCCTTTACAAAGTGTTCCCATTATTGAAAAGGGATATTCAATTTTCGAAATTTACCCAAATACTACGCAATAATATGTGTTGAGAATGGAACATCTATCTTAACTTTCAGTTTTATCATAAAAGGCATTTTTGATATATGTGTATCAAACATACCTGAAAACTGGAGTAAGGTATGACCTCTTGAAGTTCTGGAACCTCATGCATCGGTAGAAATAGTCCACTAAATCAGCCAGATAGTAGCGATGTGGCCTGTATATGTATGAATATATGTCAACCTTTCACAAATCACAAACAGATGTACTTGTATATGCATAAAAAATATATACCCGAACAAAATCTATTCCAAAGAGTAGACAAATTAAAGGACATGTTCAATAGAAGTGAAACACTAGAGCACATGAGAGCACACTGACCCCACAGCATCATATGTTTGTCCAACTGAATCAGGGTTTCTGATGGCCTGGATTACTGCTTCAGCCACATCCGATACCTACAAAACAAACTTTACATTGTGAGTACACAAAGATGAGAACATTAAAAAAGTACTACCATAACTGACATTTAATATGCAGAGAGTTCCAAACTATCCAGAGCTGTCATTAACAGCATCTCTACTACTCAAAACTAGTTAAGCATTAGGCGATTCTTTCAAATTACTGTGATGAGGTGAGGTGAAATAGGGTTTAACATCATACTCGAGAATATTTGCTCAAATGACGACGTAAGCTGTTTTTTTAGTGCCAGCTCATTGAGATACCATGCCGCAGTTAAGCATGAATACCCCACTCAGACACATTATACTGACTCCGAGCCGACCAGTCCTTGTTGTACCCATTAATGCCGAGCACCAGGCAGGGACCAACAAGTACCATATTTTAACATCGTATGGTATGATGCAGCCAGGGAGCAATCCCGCGACCTTCTGCTCTCCAGGCAGATGCTCTAACCACTACACCACGGAGGTGTTCCATATTACTATGGTTAATCTGCCATGGTCCTTAACTTCTAGTTTAGGAAAGTCATGGGTTACTGGGAAACAAGAACAAGCACCCAAACAATGGAAGTCTGCAGGCTCAATCCTTGTTGCCAGCCTTGGACATTCTACTAGAATGAGTGAGTTTGGTTTTACACCGTGTTTAGCAATATTCCAGCAATTCTGGGCTTCACACACTGTCCCCATGTGTGGAATCGAACCCAGGTCTTCGGTGTGACAAGCGAACGCTTTCACCACTAGGCTACCCCACTGCCCCTCATTCTTTGCTGTCGACTAATACATGAATAATCGGATTCGAACTCATGACTTACGAAAACTGGCTGCTTGATAGTGGCATCTCCTTTCTGCCACAATGGCATGGTACCACGCGCTCTCCTGTCTACAAGAGAGTAACAAAATATTCAATCCAAGGCAAACAACCCTTCACACGTCATCTTTTGTAAAATGTTAATTTTTTCTGCTAATCAGTATTTTTATTCAAATCTCTCGAGTCATAAACTACATTACAAAAAAGTCATTGGTTCGTCAGTCTGAATACAAATCAGTATATAAGCATCTTTCACTCAGGATACGTAGTAAGATACTTCATACATGAAAAATATCTTAAACTCTTCAAATTCTTGATCTACTATCTGCTTGATAACCCCAAACTACATAAGACAAATTCATGAAACGATGTTAAGCCTAAAATATTGTCTGCTTCAGTAAATGCTTCATGCTCCCTTTAAGAAGGCATTACTTTCAGTATGTAATGTCTAGGCTCCTGTATCCTGATAACTTACAGACACTGGCATAGTATCTAATGAATCGGTCCTCTGCCCCAAAAATGTCAGCAGGTCTGAAGATGGTGGCATCAGGGAACTCTTCCCTCACAGCCTCTTCACCAGCATACTGAAGGGAGGCAACATAAGGTGGTTACTCTTTAAATACTTGATTACAGTGGGTGGGTGAGTGAGTGGTTGGGCATTTATGCTGGTTTGACAAGTACTTCTGCTATATCACAGTGTTTCAGTTTGGTGGTACGAAATCCTAAGAGATGCATGTCCTATACATTTACCACAATGGTAAAACAAAAATGTTGCTGACAGATCTAGAAACGTAATTGATAAAAACCTGCATTCAAACACATGATCATAGGATTCCTACACACGTCAAATTGAGGTGCCTTGGACAACTGGGCACCGGTATCCCTGTTTGATTAACAGATCTACTGGCAGGGTCTAGTTTTCTTTCTCTCAGAGCATGAACAAATTCCTGAGAAAAAAGAGTCCACGTTTCTCAGTTATCTTATGTATCCAAGTATCATATATCCCTGATATCAATTTGCCTCCACAGTTTTGTTACAGAAAGTGGAGCTGGCATCTCTATGTTCTAATCTCCTTCTCATATGCTTGAAATCAACAACAAATGAAAACTGTCTCTATTTCATGTCTCCAGGGATGGAACCCAATCAGAAGCTGAAATGAAAGCTTCCTTTACCTTAGTTCTGAGGAAGCGTGATCCTCCTTTGATGTAAATCTGTTGTGGATTAGGACTCGCATTGAGGGACGAGAAATGAATGAGCCTCTCCACACCATTCTCACGGGCCAGTCTGGCAATCAGGCGGGCAGTCTCAACATGTACGTCATTGTATTTGAAGTTTCTGAAAAAATATTATGAAACTGTGAAGAAAAGTTAACTGTAAACACAAGCAAGATGAGAAAACAAACTGACATCCTAAATGATGTACCCAAACCGGGTCAAACTTATGACTGACAATAACATGTTATCAGCTGAGAAGTAGAACCTGGACACCTGATAAGCTGCCTGATGCAAGCAGCAAGGTGGGGCTCAGGACCAACATCTGCCGCTGGAGGAGTATCATTGTCCAATTACAATCATCTTTCAATTACATCAAATTGAGTATTGTTTCACACAGCTTTTAGAAATATTCCTACAATGTCATGCTTGGGGACACAAGAAATGTTTTGATTATCATAATCATGGTAGTCACAATTCAAACCCAACCAAGACTGTTTGAAATAGATCACAAAGCTTAAATGCTCCTTGTCTGGATGCCAGTGGTTAATGGCTATGATTGATAAGGGGTTCCTCAAAACAAATACAGTGGTTGCGAACCTAAACGACCCCACAACCTCCTGGTCAGTCCAACCGCCTCAATGGTGTAGTGGTTAGAGCGTCCGCCCGGAGAGCGGAAGGTCGCAGGTTCGATCCCCGACCGCGTCATACCAAAAGACGTTAAAATATGGTACTTGTTGGTCCCTGCCTGGCGCTCGGCATTAATGGGTACAACAAGGACTGGTCAGCTCGGAGTCAGTATAATGTGTCTGAGTGGGGTGTTCATGCTTCACTGCGGCATGGTATCTCAGTGGGCTAGCACTATAAAACCAGCTTCAGTCTTGGCTAGTACAAGCAGACGCACATACACATAAAAATGCATGCACGTCGTCATATGAGCGAAATATTCTCAAGCATGACGATAAACCCAATTTCACCTCACCTGGTCAGTCCAATATTTTCAATTTCCCAAATCATGTAAATATTTGTTTCATATCAGTGAGGCTGGTGGATAAGAGTCCTACTACTCCTATAATTCAGATTGAAATACTGGCTGCTACTTGTATCAATCACTTGAGCACCATTGCTTTCAAGAGTGAAGAAAGCATTGGAACAACATAATACCTACACTGTACAGCACACTGTCATCTATAAAGCAACCACACTTATAATGGGAAATCCCTGCAGAAACCATTAAAACAAAATATTAGTTAATTGCTATTTTGGACAAATACAAAGTTGCACTGACAAACATTAGAACTGAACTGGCCTTCAAATTCAGTGGAACCTGAAATAGATTGTAAGCAATTCTACTCTATGTATAGTTGGACCTCCTTTCATAAACCTTCTTTCTTGGAACCAAAAAAACCATTATAGATGGTAACATAGATTAATTGCCATCCCCCTCCAAGATGTTATTCTTGTAGTGACTCCTTTGGCTCCAGATTTGTTTAATGCTTAGGACACATTAAATCCAATAAGTTATTTATATTTGGGCAGATAGTGTTACCTTGTTTCCCAGTCTCGTCCAATCAGATTGATGACAACATTGGAGTGCTGCAAAACCTTCCTCACAGAGTCGTCATCACCGAATGGAGTATGGCTGGAATACAACACAAGAGTCACTCACTGCATCCGTATAGCACATTGGCTACTTTCAAACAAAACAGGACAGAAATCCTTGACTCTTAAATTTATAAAGTTATTAATAATGTGAATGATGAATCTTAAAATGAAACCACTGACCCGACAAAACAGAACTTACAAAGAACAAGATCTGTCCCAAATCCCCAGACAACTTGAGTCTCTGAATGTCAAGTGGTTCGCTGCGGTAGGGGATAATCACCTGCGACCCTACTTTCCCTGAAAAATGCAATTATAATTTTGATGATACTCCTTACACATCCCTGTGAATGATGTTGTCATTTAACAATATAGATGTGTTGATATTGATCTACTTACACATATACATTGAGCTGATGATATCATTAATAAAGATGATAAAAATGTCAATCAAATTAGCTATTTTTTATATCTATGTTATTTCTGTTCTAATTCTAAATTTTAAGATTGTTAGCTGAATAAATATTCCAAAACTGCTGTGGTTTTAATTGAATATTATTACCTAATCTGTTTACAACATAGCGGCCAACAAACCCAGTTGCACCGAACACAGTAGCTACAATTCCACTGAATGATGATCTTCCGCCACGACCCCTCTTGTAGGCGGCAAGGTTGGTGCTTTCATCTCTCTTGCTGATATAAACAGCACTAACCAAGCGAGGTACTGTTGCCTTTCCATGTCCTACACAAACAACATGTTGACAGACATATCAAAAGTAAACAATGCAATAAAAAATGACTAAATAACATTTAAAAACAACCAACACCATAAAGAATATATCAATGCTTCTAGTTCTATACATGATCATTACTAGTGGCAAGGTAACAGAAAATGTGAAGCTTATTCCAACTTCTGCTGCGCTAAGGTACAATGATCTAGTAGAGTAACTGTTCCATACATATATAGATGTTAATGTTGGCTACGATAAACTGCTTTCTACCCAACTGATCAGTAATGTGAGCTACCTAACGACACGATAAATAACCTGGTAGGCCCTTTCAATCTGACACAACTGTCATAACGCCAAAACCTTCCGGTTAATTCCATACTGTAGCAGTCTTAGGAAGTGAAACTAGTCCAATAATTCAGAACCAGTGCAATGATGGAAATTCATAAATTGCAGGTTTACCGATACAATACAGTAGCACCATGATCAGAAAACATCATAACAATAACTGTTCACAAAAAAATAAAGTTTCAACCGGTGCACTGCAATGTTGGAGGTCAAAGGGACGGTACAGGTTATTATTGTTACTGTGTAGATGGCTATCAAAATAAAGAGTAAATGTGATTGGTGTTATACTTATGAGCATTTCGACAGATATTAATAATTGCGACTGACAATGCAAAAGCTTGGAAACTTACGCCCAACTTGGACGACAGTTTTGGAAACAGTGGCAATCGCCGCCATATTGCCGACTCACATTGCACTATGGGAGAATCTTATTTCATATGAAGTGAATTTTAATGTGTAGCGCAATACGTATTAGCAAATAAACATTGAATCCGAATTTATAAATAAACCTTTATTATACACGTATATAAATTACATGCATGCGATATCGGACCAAAATTACGGACACATGCAAAATATTTACGTACGGCCCAAACCGGAATGGGAATGATGAAAATCAAAAGAACATTCGAATTTGTGCAGCATTTCATTAAATTCTTGACATTTAATTCGGTTTTTAATTTGAAATGTACATAATGAACCGTTACTTTTGTATGACATCAGCCTTCCCTTCCTTTTTCAAAATTCATTCTCCGTTTTAAAGTTTGTTTGTGAAAACCACAGTCTTCACAAGTTGCAGCCACCAACCACGATCATTTAACAATTTTTTAAAAGAAAATCGAAAAGAATTTGGTAAGTGTTTTATTTCACCATTATATAACATTCTAACATTTCGATACATCATAATTCATTCTAACGGGAGTTAAGATTGTGATCACCCAAACAAGTTAATGTGCTTATTATTTCGTGGTGGGAGCGTTTGATTTACGTTTGTGTGGCTCAGAACGACGGCTTTGGCGTTCGTTCATTTCTTTATTTACCCACATGTCGGTACTGAATTTTCAAGGCACTCCACAGTGATACCACCGATAAGCCAAATATCTGTATGTGTCTCTTATCTTGTATAAGTGTATCAGTACTCATTATCCAATACGATCGATTTATATAGCTATAAAATGTACATAACACACTAATTTATGTTTAACTGGTTTTAAGAATTTTTACCATTACAGTTATTCAATACCTGCTAATAAATGTTAGGTACACAATGAATGTACAAGATAGCATATCATGTGGATGATTTTACAAAATGTTCTGTATAGATATATGCAACTAAAATGAGAAACTCCTTCAAGTTAACTATTGACTGAAATACCAGATCCTAAACCCCACATGATACAGAACCGTAACCTAAATTCGTGAATAACCTTGATTCATGGATCGCGGAAATTATCATGCTAGCTCGTAAGCCTCGCTGACAAAAAAGTTTTGAATTTCTGCACTACACGCAAGTACACTAAATATAATTGTCCAGCATTGAGATAAATTGCCCCATATCACTAATACCACCATTACCAAATTTTATTTTTACAAAATGTCAAGTAAAATGTCAAGGTTGCTAGCTCCAACCTTCTCACTTCTCGTTGTCTGTTTTCCTTGGTGTCAGTACTTCTGAATTGGGATGTTGTACATAGTGGTATAAAGTAACCGACTACATAATCCACAAATCAAGGAATATTAGGCATTTTCATATTATTTCAATTTGCTGATACAATGAATAAAATAATCAGTGCGATACAAAATATAATCATGCATTTAAAATATGAATTTCGCCACACTTCCCTTATATCCATGAATCAAGGTTACGCGAGTGTAAATATTAATACCAAATAAATTTAGCTGAATTTACCCCATTAGGTGCTGTAATAATCATGCAAAGTTTAGATGCATTGGTGAAGAGAAGAGACGTTGAAGTATATAATATGATCTGTTCACATGCTACAGAAACAATAGAAGTAACAGTCACTGACCAAGTCATTGCTGGATGAGGTAGCTGAAGACAAAGGGAACCCTATACTAACTAACAAAACTACTTTTCCTATTTATTTGTTCAGTGTGTTTAGGTTCGTTGAGAGAGCTGTTATCTACTCAAGTTTAAAATACATAAATTAAAGTACACAATATTTACATTGTGGTATATAAATTTCATAAAGACAAGCAATCAGTTTTTGTGAGAATCCTTGAGTTTGTTAGCTCGATAGGGTGACTAAACTCTGTACTGTTAAACAATGAATATGTAGCTAGTCTTGCTGAAGGGTTACATAACTGAAAAAGTGGTAGCCTAATGGGCTATTAAAATCCGATTAGCCATGGTTATGATGGTGTCGCAGGCTCTAATGAGTGGTCACTAGCCATTTCTCACATTTATCCCGCATTGTAATTTACAAGATCCTGCATGATATGGTCAAACCTGATATGACACAAACAAATGCCTAGAATGTCACTGTCAAATATCTTGAATGAGACACTGTTAGAAAAAAAAATCTAGAAACTGAGGTACTTGACATATTATTAGTGTGTCAATCATGTTGAAAGAGATGGTTGACTGAAAAAGGAATCCTGTGCTCAGACTATATAAATTGGTTACTAGCATAGGATTATCAAGTCCAATATCAACTATTTACAGGTAACCTTCTCACAGATGAAATAACAGAGTGTGGCATTTAGCAGCTAAAACCTTTTGACTTTCATACATCTAAAGAGTTATATGGGTCTCTTGAAGTTTCAGAATACAGTGGTACCTTCTTCAGCTCACAAAACCATCTTGTCAATGTAAATGTGATGAAGTTCCTGTAGTTGCCTGTGTTGTATTGGTTACCTGTTCATTACTTTTCAGACAGGTATTGAGTGGGGTCTTCATCAGCCAAGATGTCGTACATGTTGCAGCATCTCCACAATGGCTGGCAGGTGGACCAGGCCATATTGTCGGAGGAGGATCGGGTGGTCATCATCCGCTTCGGCCACGACTGGGACCCCAGCTGCATGGTCATGGATGAAACTTTGTACAAGTGTGCCGAGAAAGTGAAGAACTTTGCTGTGATATACTTGGTGGACATTTCTGCAGTTCCAGATTTCAACAAAATGTACGAGTTGTATGACCCCTGCACCTCCATGTTTTTCTACAGAAACAAGCACATCATGATTGATTTGGGTACTGGCAACAACAACAAGATCAACTGGTGTATGGAGGATGTTCAGGAGTTTATTGACATTGTGGAGACAGTGTACCGGGGCCCGAGGAAAGGGCGAGGTTTGGTTGTGTCACCAAAAGACTACTCTACCAAGTACAGATACTGACAGCTTTCACAATTGCATTACCGGTATATGTATCATAAAGTGTCATTGGTCATTTGTTTCGCTATTCATGTTTCACCAACATTGATACAAGTTACCACATTCAGAGTGCTGCAGTGGCCATGTAATGAAAAATAGACAGTTTCTTGAAGTGAAATGCCATTAGAAATGTGTAAACATCAAATAGCCCATAAGTTAACCATAACAAAGGTTGTTGTCAGTAATGACTTATTAAGCATATATATTCACATCCCATGCACATAATAGATAAAGTGAAGGTTTCCATTGCCATAAACACTAACCATCAGAAGTTCTCAAGTTATATATCATTGAAAAGTTGAGAAGCAGTGTAGTTTCTCAATTGTGAAGGCAGACTGTACATTACAATCTGAGGCCCTGTTCAACACATAGACATTTGTTTCGCGATGCCATCTGTTGCCATGGTAACGGACAACATCAGGAAAGACTAATTATTATGATTGTCGTATTGTCTGGGACAGGAAATAAACATGTTGTGCTATGTTGCTTTTTGTGCTTTGTTGGTAAGTATAACTGTCAACATGGTCAAGTGTAGGAATTTGGTTTGTTTTGGTTGACATTCTCTGTGTCTCTGGTCTCATCAATTACAGTGAGAATGAATGGTATGTGAAAGTCAGCAAAAAGCATACTATACTGAACAGCAAACGAAACACAAGTCTGGCTTTTTGTCAAGTTTTTGAATAGAAGACAACCAAAATCATGTCTAGTCATTTATTCTATAGAAAAATGTTCAAATTGATCACAGTCCGTCAAATGGAGAACGCGAAAAGTGACAGACTCTTTAGTAGCACGTATAGCCACCTTGAGCTTGCACACAGGCCGTGCAATGTGGCCTCATTGAGTTCACTAGAGTCTGAAAGGATGCCTGAGGCAATTGGTTCCGCCCAAACACCAATCTCTATTCCAAATGTGCAAGTGTGAGTGGCTGTCTACCTGCCCCAATCCTCCGTCCAATTTCGTCCCAGAATGTTCAATGGGAGCCATATCCGGTAACGAGATGGCCATAGCAAAATGTTAATGTTGTTCTGAGCCAGACAATCCATCGACACCCTTGCTGTGTGAGGGCTGCAAACGTCATTGGCGTTGTTGACGTGCCAAAATTGGCCCCACATATGGCCTTCAGCAGTGGATTCCAGCAGCCGGAAGACGACGCCTAATCGTATCGCTGGACACTGCTCCCCTTGACCCAAGAACTAAGGCTGCTGTTACTGTTGCTGCTTGAGTTCGGTTCCTTAGATGAGTGACCCGGATGAACCGATCTTGCGTATGAGTTGTTACTCGTTGCCGTCCGGTACAGGGACTATCAGCAGCAACCCCTGTTTGCTGATGACGTTGAGCAAGTCGTGTAATGGTGGTAAAATGACAGCCCAATTGTCTAGCTACCTCCGTGCAACTTTCCAATGGCCATTCCCCTCTGCTCAGTCGTTAGTCTAGGCATCGTTTGTGTGGCGTGTACACCTCCTAGCGTCAATGCTGAACTCTTTTGACACAAACCTTTATAAAGGATACCTCAGAGTGAAATGCATGTTTTCCATCCAGAACTGTCAATGCACGTGCTAAAATTATTGTTTTGTTGCACTCACTGTTGGTGTGTTTGTGCCAGTGTTTCGTATGGACGTCAAATTGCATGACATCTCATCGGGGATCATGACGTCACTTTACCATGAACGTTCCATAAACATGAACGCTTACCTTCATGAAATTTCATTTTTTCGAAACTTGCGTTTCTTTTGCTGTTCAGTATATTTCTTACTGGTCTGCAAATAATCAAGTATTGGCCAAGCAAAACAGTGATTGATAGTGTGAGTAAAAATCCAGAAGTAATGATCAGTCAACGTCCCTCAGTGTGACGTCCTGATACAGTGGTGACAAGAATGGAATCCTGGGGATACATCCTTATGAACAAGTGTCTCATTGTCGTGAGGTAAACGGAAAGTAGGTACCAGTACATGAATATCTAATAAAATTTGGTATGTGCATAGTAAACAAACAATACATCACTTGGACATGGTAGTTTTTTTCAGTCTATTTGACCAGTGTAAAACACATGCTGTGTGAAACATTTCCACTTGTTTGGGAAACCAGAAAATTACAAAACCAAAACATATGTCTCAAGTGACTTTCAGTAAATAAGAAAATAATTGAGATTTGAACCTTGAACAAATCATCTGAATCGGAGTGGAATTGTTTTGGTCCAGTGTACCTTATACTGCACAAAGAGTATTATGTATGTGAAATATATTGTAACAGAATCTGAACTTTATCAACTTTAATAATTCAAAACTCTAACATGTACAGATACATGGTGTGTCATCTGTAAATAAAGCATAAATTATGAAAACCCTAAAGAATTATGTTTGTGCATGTTGTGAAATCAATGGAATGTTTCCATCTACGACTCATGGTCAAAGGGAGATAATTCTGTCGAATTACCTCCCTTGCACCACACAGCCAGCTTATGTAAGCCCGTCACCAGCTGCAACAACACACGTCGTGGATAGTACCCTTGAGGTTTGTTTTAATATTTCTCATTGTAATCCAACTAGCGTACATCCATGGACTTTGATCAGTAGGCGAACGAACATTGAAAGCTTGAATGTTAAAAAACTCAGTGATGTTTTCCCTCCTGTTGACGTGAAGCCGGCGCCAAGTAGGCCAATAAAGATCCCGAACATTGTACTTCAGCATAACATACTCATTTTCCGCTTACACATGCCTGTCTGCTAAACGAACGGTCAGATGTTTACTAGTACATGTACCACATGAAAATGCGATCAGATATCTTTCTTTAAGTTCTGAACTACCACCAGGCATATAGAGTGTCGTTAAATCAATAAATGTGGTCTCTCTTTACACGAACACACAATTTACTGAATGTCCTATACTTACAATCCAACAAAGAATCAGAACCAAGAATCTGTGCTTCAGAACGTTAATCTGAATATGAGGTAGGCAGTACGAGTTGTTATATCCCAGTATCACCCCTAGACCTAATTTGCAGTAAAAATAAGTTTGTGGGATAACAAAACCTTTTTCAAAGGATCCAGACTGAAGAAATAATATTTTCCAGCCAAAAGTAACATCTGACCAGGAATCTTGTTTCTGGATAACTTTATTGCTGGGCCACACTTGAACACCCATCTAGCATTACTCTTTTCAAAAGTGATTCCCAATTTCTTGTGCTCAACACAAAGTTAGGTCAAGAATACTGTGTAACAGAGGTATTCTTAGATGATAGTTTAATGAGGATCGAATACTTGTGGAGGTTTTCAGGGATCTATTCCAGACTGGTAACGTGGGATATGGAGATCCCCAGTTGGCTCTCAGTCCATAAAACTGGACTAACAAAACGCCCTGAATGATAAAATATACATCAATTAATACATGTCTCTCATATATGTAATACATATCATGTTATACATTCAGTATAGTTCTATTTATAATACCCAGATTTAAACAAAGACATGTGCTCTAATTATCACTCACATATATGACAACTATTATTACTAATATTTACAATCACATTCTGAAAACAATACCTCACCTCGTCTCAGGGATGCAGGCAGAATAGTCCAACAGCTAATATGAACATCTCATTCTCAGTGAAACTAAATAAACAAAACATTGCCTAAGTATACTTCTAGTATATACAGATATACATCATAAACGGCATTAGCGTACACGCAAATGGTAACCTGACTGACCCTAGTATACACATAAATATGCATATAGAAACTAAACCTTATTATAAACATGCATGGTACACATTACTGTATCATGTCAATCATAAAATAGCTAATACATATACATGCTACGTACACATGACACAAATTGCAGTATCATGGTGGTATAAAATACCCTACAAACAAACTCATACCAGCATACTAATGTACTGGAATACAATACATCATACATTTGTCTAAAATACTAGGTTACTAGGTATGCATATATTTATTGACAAACACCTAACATACCGATACACTAAATATGATAAAACACAATTCCTTAAACCCATGTAATCTAACACACTAGATCCTAATAGCCCTACTATACATATAATACTAAAAGATCTAACTTAACTTACCCCATAATGTGCTGGTGTTGTGCTGTGATAGTGCTAAGGAGAAAAATGTAGACTGCTACAAGTGAAAGGCAGTGGAAAGCTTTAAATATGACAAGAAGCTGAAATCTATAAAACAATAGGAACCTTGACAACAGGCCAATGTGGAGTTTGAACCTGACACAGATCACTTAACCAAGTAACAATAGACCCCAAGCTAGCTTACCAGTGAGTTAGTTAAACAGTGCACATGTTAGTGTTAACACAGGCCAGTTTGGTAATGATAATGTTTATGTCTAAGTTTAAAATAATGAAGTTTAACACATTAAAATGGCACACTTATTTACACACTGTTACAACTGCATAAGTCATATGCTGATTGCAGGAACAGAAAACAATGGCGTCACTGGCTCAGCATCCTCAGTAGCCATCAAATATTTCTGCAGAACTCCGCAAATGTCCCAGAGAAAACGGCGCAGACCTCAACAACGCACTATCCAAACTGCACTGTTGTGTAGTTAGGTACCCTCCTGTTATTCTCGTAACATCTACCTTTAACACACAACTACTGCAGTACTTACAAGTAACAGTAGTTACAAGAATGTTGTTAGGTCTTAAGTTCTCTTAACCAGTCAAAAATGCCATTACATAAGTAGTCCAGAAGCTCAAATCAAGATGTTCGAAGGTTTCCATGTGTAGAAGAATGCTAATTCAGTCTCTGAGGAAGGAGTAAGACACAGATTCAGTATCATGGCATATACATTTGACAAGGAAAACTATGAACCAACTCTTCATCTAGTATCTGCTACTTTGTTATCCCTTGCCTGGGAGGATTACGGCACTGAGAGTAAAGTTATAGGTATCGCTGATCCAGAGCAGACTATGCATGTACATTTATCATGTCTTTACTGTGAGTTGAGTCATTTTATCAAGCTTCGTACAGTCCTATTATCAGTACAGACACTCGCTCATGAGTGATTCTGTTTACAGCTGCTGAATTGATGGCGAAAGCTGAATATAGTTAATATGCCAAGCCTGTAAACCAGGGAAGTCACACTCAGGGCTTATGTGATCTCCATACACCCCACCACACCCATCTGAACAAGCATCATGATGGAGACTTGTGATAGGGTGCTTGTCCTGTCTCCTCTCAGTACCAGGGAACATCAAGGGAACCAATCCAGCGGTGTATGTCGGCTTTAAAGTCAATTGACAGCCATACTCGGTGGTTTCTATGTACCATAGCTGTTCTTTAGCAATAGTGTTCATCTCAAGAACCGTCTACCACCTCTAGCCACCTGGCTTAACCAACTGAGCTTCCTGCCAGTATCGAGAGTTTGTGGTTACTGGCACTGAATAGTCCTACAGCACCAACAGTCGAGGACAGGGTATAAGAAACCATGTCTAATAACTCACCAAGAAATGTAAGCTGTGTTGAGTACAGGCAGTTTTTGTCCAGTTAATGATAAGACCTAGATATTCCAAACGTGCTTGAAATGCTGTTCACTAGGTATAGTTGCTAACATTTACAAAGTGGATTCATCACCTCTCAAGATGTTTTACCCAACTGAAACATATACAAGTGAAATTACAAGCCACCAGTTATCATTTTTAAAACAATGGCAATACACTTTTGACAAACCTGTTTGAAGTGTCACGCAACAAAGAAATTCACCTGAAGCAAACTTGTGGGCATGCTCTGATGATGTAATTTGATATATTTGTGAGGCTATGATCTATAGATTATGATAACCATTCTGAACAATGCAGCTGTGTGATGCTGTGGTGCTTCATATTTCTGAGACCAATCATCTTTAGGATTGTTAACATGCAAATGTGCAAATATTGGAATTATTTAGAAATTCCAGGGCTGATATGAGTCTTAATTTATGGCCTTGTTACTTGATCCCATAATATCTACCTGGATACCCACTGTAGGTCTCAAGAGTTGGGTATACAATGTCTCATTGGAAATTGTCTTACAAGAGTCCGGTGGCTGAAAAAAATATCTGAAACATATAGTAAAAAAGAATCTAATCACACATGCACCAAAACTGATTGCAGTTTTAATTTTTCTCAAACATATTCATGTCCGAGGGATTATGTAAATCAGCTATTTATAGTGCAGCCATAGAGTTCTATTGTTTGATATATGATACAATGATCTAATCATTGAAGGTTATCAAAGAAGCTGAGTTTTGTCTGTAGTAAAATGTGTGGATGTCAGAAGGCATGTCGGCATTGTTAGAAAGTAATGTGAATATTGACAGCTCGTAGTGAAACCAAGTAGTTATGTTGGTATTTCATTAACACATATAACATCACTACCCATGGGTCAGGGTCGTCCTGTGGGTACCTGGGTCCCACTCAGGTACCCATGGGTCAGGGTCGTCCTGTGGGTACCTGGGTCTCACTCAGGTACCCATGGGTCAGGGCCGTCCTGTGGGTACCTGGGTCTCACTCAGGTACCCATTGGGTGAGGGTTGTCCTGTGTGTACCTGGGTCTCACTCAGGTACCCATGGGTCAGGGCCGTCCTGTGGGTACCTGGGTTCCACTCAGATACCCATGGGTCAGGGTCGTCCTGTAGGTACCGGGGTCTCACTCAGGTACCCATGGGTCAGGGCTGTCCTGTGGGTACCTGGGTCTCACTCAGGTACCCATGGGTCAGGGCCGTCCTGTGGGTACCTGGGTCTCACTCAGGTACCCATGGGTCAGGGTCGTCCTGTGGGTACCTGGGTTCCACTCAGGTACCCATGGGTCTGGGTTTTCTTGTGGGTACCTGGTACCCATGGGTCAGGGTCGTCCTGTAGGTACCTGGGTCTCAGGTCTCATGAGACCCAGGTATATTCATCTGAAAGAGTAACATACTGGCCATTGTAGGTGGAGGTATCTCTGGCCTGGTGTGTGCTGCCAGACTAGGGCAGCTGAACATCCATGATGTCACCGTGTTTGATACAGGTAATGTAGCACTCCCGGTCATATGATGGCTGCCACCACCTGTTTCTATGTTTCTGACCTGAGGAAGGAGGTACAAATATTGAAAACATTGAACCAGACCAATGGTAAATTAACCTGAAAACACTTTGTGCTTGAACAGTATTTGAAGCAGTATCAACCACTGGCAGACTGTATATGATATACACAGAGGCGTGGCAGGTGGAACCAGAGGTGAAGGTCAACATTCTAACACTCCATTGGTATTGTGGTTCTTAGTTGTAATAATTCAAGGAAATCTTTTTGAATAAAGTACATAAAGCAGTGCCTGCTTTTACAAGATTAGAGATATTTATGTTCTCATTGCTTCACCCTGCAGGTCAAAACGCAGTGGGAGGGCGCTGTTCAACCCGCCATGTACAGATTGAGGGGAAGACATACATATTTGATCACTCCGCCCAGTACTTTACGGTCTCTGACAAACGGTTTGCAAAAATTGTGAGTTTTCTGCATTCAAAAGGGGCAGTGAAAGTGTGGCCAGGGAAGATTGGACATCTGAAGAAGGGCAGATTCTCCACAGATGCTGGTATCACACAGGCTTTTATTGGCAGTGAGGGGATGAGGTCCGTGGTGGAGTGTCTGGCATCACTCAGTAAAGTACAGCGGCCATGTTGGGTTGGGAATGTCAGCTTCGACAGCGTGTCCAGGAAATGGCAGGTAGACAAGTATGGCTTCTTTGACTATTTGGTTGTGGCTCATAATGGTAAGTGTGCCGACAAGCTGATGTCCAGCGCTGGAGTACCTGACGTTCACCGACTGCTGAGAGTGAGGTTTGGGGATGAGCTTGTTGTCCGGGATCACCGGATGCAGCTCTGTTCATTGTGGGTCCTACTTGTTGCCTTCAGGGAGCCACTTAAACTCTCCTTCCAGGGAGCTCATGTTGAACATCAAGATATATCATGGATTGCAAACAACACTGCCAAGCTGGGTCAGAAGTTTCCCGCAAGTAAAATTGAATGTTGGACTGTATTTAGTACAAGAGAGTTTGGTACAGCAAACAAGGTTCCCCAGGAAAACATTCCTCCCGGGGAAGGCTCAAGGTGTAACAAACAAGCTTCTAGCTGCATTCAGTCAGGCAACAGGGAAGGGCCAGCTCCCGGAAGTGGTGTATTCCCGGGTACAGTTGTGGGGGGCCGCTGTGCCCATGAATGTGCTGGCAACAGATGAAGAGTGTGTGTTTGACAGCTTCAACAATGTGGGTGTCTGTGGGGACTGGCTGGTCAGCCCTTGTATCCAGGGAGCAGCGGTCAGCGGACTCGCGCTGGCAGAGAGGATACATCAACACTGTAACGGTAGGAGTCATTCATTCATATATGCAATCTTTGAGAATGGTTAAATTCATAACATTTATATATGTAGGATGCTCTTTCGGAAACAAAGTGAATCTTTTGTACACAATGTGTACAAGAGATGTGCTACCCAGTTTTCTTAGAGTGTAAAGAAACGGTTGAATTCATTTTTTTGTGCTTACGACTACTAGGACAGATGCTTGCCAGATCTCATTATAAATGTATTGTCATTTAAGGGATTTGTTTTTCAGACCCTGTAATAAATCTGTTATACATCTAGTAATCTTGCAATTGCAATGGTTCATCTGTACAAACTAAACCATTTCAGCAAACACCTTTAATTAAGTCACTGAATTTGAATATGACCCATCGCATGATGAGCATTGAAGTGTCGTGGTGTATTTTGACTCCTCTGATAGAAAACAAGATGGCATCTGGTACTGGAAAACAAGATGGCGTCTGGTACTATTATATCTCATTGTTTACAGCAAGGTTACTGTAACAACTTGAAGGCTTCATAAACTTTAGAGAGAACAAATGATTAGTCTTGGTGAGGTCGACTGTGAACTTGATCCTATCTGACCACCTCCTGTTTCAGGTACACAGGTCCTTGTTTACACATACTGACCTTCTGCAGAGTAGCTGTTTGTATAATATTGCAGTGTAAAGGATGTGCTCCCTAGGTGTTATAGATATATTGCAGTGTAAAGGATGTGCACCCCAGGTGTTATAGATGTATTACTGTGTAAAGGATGTGCTCCCTAGGTGTTATAGATGTATTACTGTGTAAAGGATGTGCACCCCAGGTGTTATATATGTATTGCAGTGTAAAGGATGTGCTCCCTAGGTGTTATAGATGTATTACTGTGTAAAGGATGTGCACCCCAGGTGTTATATATGTATTGCAGTGTAAAGGATGTGCTCCCCAGGTGTTATAGATGTATTGCAGGTGATTATAGATGTATTACTGTGTAAAGGATGTGCACCCCAGGTGTTATATATGTATTGCAGTGTAAAGGATGTGCCCCAGGTGTTATAGATGTATTGCCCTGTAAAGATGTGCTCCCCAGGTGTTCTAGATGTATTGCCGCAGTGTAAAGGATGTGCTCCCCCAGGTGTTCTATATGTATTGCAGTGTAAATTGCTCCCCCAGGTGTTATATATGTATTGCGTGTAAAGGATGTGCTCTCCAGGTGTTCTCCGTGTAAAGGATATGCACCCCAGGTGGTCTAGATATATTGCAGTGTAAAGGATGTGCTCCCCAGGTGTTATAGATGTATTGCAGTGTAAAGGATGTGCTCCCCAGGTGTTATAGATGTATTGCAGTGTAAAGGATGTGCTGCCAGGTGTATTGCAGTGTAAAGGATGTGCTGCCAGGTGTTATAGATGTATTGCAGTGTAAAGGATGTGCACCCCAGGTGTTATAGATGTATTGCAGTGTAAAGGATGTGCTCCCAGGTGTTATAGATGTATTGCAGTGTAAAGGATGTGCTCCCCAGGTGGTCTAGATGTATTGCAGTGTAAAGGATGTGCTCCCCAGGTGTTATAGATGTATTGCAGTGTAAAGGATGTGCACCCCAGGTGGTTCTAGATGTATTGCAGTGTAAAGGATGTACCCCAGGTGGTCTAGATATATGGTGTAAAGGATGTGCTCCCCAGGTGTTCTAGATGTATTGCAGTGTAAAGGATGTGCACCCCAGGTGTTCTAGATGTATTGCCGTGTAAAGGATGTGCACCCCAGGTGGTCTAGATATATTGCAGTGTAAAGGATGTGCTCCCCAGGTGTTCTAGATGTATTGCAGTGTAAAGGATGTGCTCACCAGGTGTTATAGATGTATTGCAGTGTAAAGGATGTGCTCCCCAGGTGGTCTAGATGTATTGCAGTGTAAAGGATGTGCTGCCAGGTGTTCTAGATGTATTGCAGTGTAAAGGATGTGCTGCCCAGGTGTTATAGATATATTGCAGTGTAAAGGATGTGCTCCCCAGGTGTTATAGATGTATTGAAGTGTAAAGGATGTGCTCCCCAGGTGTTATAGATGTATTGCAGTGTGCACCCCAGGTGTTATAGATGACTGTGTAAAGAATGTGCTCCCAGGTGTTATAGATGTATTGCAGTGTAAAGGATGTGCACCCCAGGTGTTATAGATGTATTGCAGTGTAAAGGATGTGCTCACCAGGTGTTATAGATGTATTGCAGTGTAAAGGATGTGCTCCCAGGTGGTCTATATGTATTGCAGTGTAAAGGATGTGCTGCCAGGTGTTATAGATGTATTGCAGTGTAAAGGATGTGCTGCCCAGGTGTTATAGATATATTGCAGTGTAAAGGATGTGCTCACCAGGTGGTCTAGATGTATTGCAGTGTAAAGGATGTGCTGCCCAGGTGTTATAGATGTATTGCAGTGTAAAGGATGTGCTCCCCAGGTGTTATAGATGTATTGCAGTGTAAAGGATGTGCTCCCCAGGTGGTCTAGATGTATTGCAGTGTAAAGGATGTGCTCCCCAGGTGTTATAGATGTATTGCAGTGTAAAGGATGTGCTGCCAGGTGTTATAGATGTATTGCAGTGTAAAGGATGTGCTTCCCAGGTGTTATATATGTATTGCAGTGTAAAGGATGTGCTGCCAGGTGTATTGCAGTGTAAAGGATGTGCTGCCAGGTGTTATAGATGTATTGCAGTGTAAAGGATGTGCTCCCCAGGTGTTATAGATGTATTGCAGTGTAAAGGATGTGCTCCCCAGGTGGTCTATATGTATTGCAGTGTAAAGGATGTGCTGCCAGGTGTTATAGATGTATTGCAGTGTAAAGGATGTGCTCCCCAGGTGTTATAGATGTATTGCAGTGTAAAGGATGTGCACCCCAGGTGGTATTAGATGTAATTGCAGTGTAAAGGATGTGCTCCCAGGTGTTATATAGATGTATTGCAGTGTAAAGGATGTACCCCAGGTGTTATAGATGTATTGCAGTGTAAAGAATGTGCCCCCAGGTGTTATAGATGTATTGCAGTGTAAAGGATGTGCACCCCAGGTGTTATAGATGTATTGCAGTGTAAAGGATGTGCTCCCAGGTGTTATAGATGTATTGCAGTGTAAAGGATGTGCTCCCCAGGTGTTATAGATGTATTGCAGTGTAAAGGATGTGCTCCCCAGGTGGTCTATATGTATTGCAGTGTAAAGGATGTGAACCCCAGGTGGTCTATATGTATTGCAGTGTAAAGGATGTGCACCCCAGGTGTTATAGATGTATTGCCGTGTAAAGAATGTGCTCCCCAGGTGTTATAGATGTATTGCAGTGTAAAGGATGTGCTCCCCAGGTGTTATAGATGTATTGCAGTGTAAAGGATGTGCTCCCCAGGTGTTATAGATGTATTGCAGTGTAAAGGATGTGCACCCCAGGTGTTATAGATGTATTGCAGTGTAAAGGATGTGCTCCCCAGGTGTTCTAGATGTATTGCAGTGTAAAGGATGTGCACCCCAGGTGTTATAGATGTATTGCAGTGTAAAGGATGTACCCCAGGTGTTATAGATGTATTGCAGTGTAAAGGATGTGCTCCCCAGGTGTTATATATGTATTGCAGTGTAAAGGATGTGCACCCCAGGTGTTATAGATGTATTGCAGTGTAAAGGATGTGCACCCCAGGTGGTCTATATGTATTGCAGTGTAAAGGATGTGCACCCCAGGTGGTCTATATGTATGTAAAGGATTGCAGGTGTATGTATTGCAGTGTAAAGGATGTGCACCCCAGGTGTTATATATGTATTGCAGTGTAAAGGATGTGCTACCCAGGTGTTCTATATGTATTGCAGTGTAAAGGATGTTCTACCCAGGTGTTCTAGATGTATTGCAGTGTAAAGGATGTTCTACCCAGGTGTTCTAGATGTATTGCCGTGTAAAGGATGTGCACCCCAGGTGTTCTATATGTATTGCAGTGTAAAGGATGTGCTCCCCAGGTGGTCTAGATGTATTGCAGTGTAAAGGATGTTCTACCCAGGTGTTCTAGATGTATTGCAGTGTAAAGGATGTGCTCCCCAGGTGTTTATGAGGCTCACATTCTGTTGTTTTCTTTGCAGTGTAACATCTATAGTTCCGAGGTTTCGTTGTCATGGTTATCTGGCATAATGTACAGAGGTATTCTGTTTAATCTTTTCATACTTTTAAGACTTTAATGCAACTTTAATACAATCCAATGAAGTAAGACAAAACACCATCTTATGTTTCAGGACTGGTCACCACCAGCACCAGTTTGAAACCTGTGTTTGTGCCGGCCAGTGGTCACATTATAGGAGCCTTCCCCACAGACCAGAACATGATCTTCACTCCCAGCAAGTCATAGCAGATGCTTGCCAACACAGACCAGAACATGATGTTCACTCCCAGCAAGTTGAAGCAGGTGCTTGCCAGCACAGCCAGGAAAGTCATAGCAGGTGCTTGCCAACACAGACAGGAACATGATCTTCACTCAACACTTGGGAAGTGGACAAATAAACACATTGCATGTGCACTTTGTGAACCTGATGGTTTGTTCTCCATTTTAGATCATGTGGCGTATGTTTGTTGTTGACAAACATGAAACTTGTCTTGTTACTTACATGTGTTTAGAAACATTGTTGAACATTTGTGAACATGGTCATAAGAGGATTCAGCCTCTATGTCTCATGTCAGTGTAACCTGGTCAGTGTGGATGTTTCTCCACTACAGCTCATTATACAGTATATAGTGTAAAGATGTGTGTGAGTCTATGTCTAGTGTCAGTGTAACCTGGTCAGTGTGGATGTTTCTCCACTACAGCTCATTATACAGTATATAGTGTAAAGATGTGTGTGAGTCTATGTCTCGTGTCAGTGAAACCTGGTCAGTGTGGATGTTTCTCCACTACAGCTCATTATACAGTATATAGTGTAAAGATGTGTGTGAGTCTATGTCTCGTGTCAGTGTAAATTGGTCAGTGGGGATGTTTCTCCACTACAGCTCATTATACAGTATATAGTGTAAAGATGTGTGAGTCTATGTCTCGTGTCAGTGTAACCTGGTCAGTGTGGATGTTTCTCCACTACAGCTCATTATACAGTATATAGTGTAAAGATGTGTGTGAGTCTATGTCTCGTGTCAGTGAAACCTGGTCAGTGTGGATGTTTCTCCACTACAGCTCATTATACAGTATATAGTGTAAAATGTGTGTGAGTCTATGTCTCAGTGGTCAGTGAAACCTGGCCAGTGGGGATGTTTCTCAACTACAGCTCATTATACAGTATATAGTGTAAAGATGTGTGTGAGTCTATGTCTCGTGTCAGTGAAACCTGGTCAGTGTGGATGTTTCTCCACTACAGCTCATTATACAGTATATAGTGTAAAGATGTGTGTGAGTCTATGTCCGTGTCAGTGAAACCTGGTCAGTGTGGATGTTTCTCCACTACAGCTCATTATACAGTATATAGTGTAAAGATGTGTGTGAGTCTATGTCTCGTCGTCAGTGAAACCTGGTCAGTGTGGATGTTTCTCCACTACAGCTCATTATACAGTATATAGTGTAAAGATGTGTGTGAGTCTATGTCTCGTGTCAGTGTAACCTGGTCAGTGTGGATGTTTCTCCACTACAGCTCATTATACAGTATATAGTGTAAAGATGTGTGTGAGTCTATGTCTAGTGTCAGTGTAACCTGGTCAGTGTGGATGTTTCTCCACTACAGCTCATTATACAGTATATAGTGTAAAGATGTGTGTGAGTCTATGTCTCGTGTCAGTGAAACCTGGTCAGTGTGGATGTTTCTCCACTACAGCTCATTATACAGTATATAGTGTAAAGATGTGTGTGAGTCTATGTCTCGCGGTCAGTGTAACCTGGTCAGTGTGGATGTTTCTCCACTACAGCTCATTATACAGTATATAGTGTAAAGATGTGTGTGAGTCTATGTCTCGTGTCAGTGTAACCTGGTCAGTGTGGATGTTTCTCCACTACAGCTCATTATACAGTATATAGTGTAAAGATGTGTGTGAGTCTATGTCTCAGTGTCAGTGTAACCTGGTCAGTGTGGATGTTTCTCCACTACAGCTCATTATACAGTATATAGTGTAAAGATGTGTGTGAGTCTATGTCTCGTGTCAGTGAAACCTGGTCAGTGTGGATGTTTCTCCACTACAGCTCATTATACAGTATATAGTGTAAAGATGTGTGTGAGTCTATGTCTCGTGTCAGTGTAACCTGGTCAGTGGGGATGTTTCTCCACTACAGCTCATTATACAGTATATAGTGTAAAGATGTGTGTGAGTTATGTTCTGATTAAAAGACACATATTGTGAAGTGATTATACTCTGTGTGTTTATCAATAGTAGTGTTGGTAAACCAAGGGTAGACTGATGTATGGATGAGGTGAGTGTCGACAATAGTGGTGGGGGTCATCAATAGTAGTGTGGGTACCAAATATACAGCATTCTCTAATGCAAACCCAGCAAAATTCTATGCTTTCTGGTCCTCCTTCCATACACTTTTTGCTAATTATACCAATTTAGATGTTCTTTAAATATAACGCAATTTGACAGTACATCTGAATATTTGTATACATATTAGCCTTTGGGTAAAGATAGCAGATATACAGTACAACCAGAAATTATTGAGAATTTAAGATTGTAAATTTTCATGTATTTATGTGTGTATAGACAATCTAGTGAAGATATGTTTAGGGTAGTCAACTTACTGTAAAACCTTTTAAAGCTCAATTGATTGTAACAAACTCGTGTCGACAAACTTTGAAAGGTAATAACAAACTAAAGGGTGTGATATTTACTAGATTTATTATATAAAATAACTGACAAAAACAAGTTCACTTCAAAGTTGTTTGAACATTTTGTTTATGTTATGCATACAAGAGAGATTAAATAGGCATATGGTATATACAATGACAGGTACTGACTTCCTCAAATCTTCAACACATATGTACATACAGTATACTGATAGTACACATAATGTATCCACACTGGTGACTGATACGTCTATCAGAGGATCTAATACAATCAAATAAACAGTAATCAATTTGATACCAAATACTGTTTGTTCATGATCAAGAACGGATCATTCTATTGCATTTTGGCTTTATTTCATCGCAGCTGTGATATGCATAGACAAGAGTTGATCAAAACTACTACTTCATGAAGTAAAACAACAAGGTAATAAATAAAGGGTAAAAGTCTCTAAAGATGGAGATGGGGATCTGACAGTGTAAAACAACGACCTTGTGTAGAGACGATACAAACATGTAATGGTCATCCAAATGGTTAAGTTGAGAACCAAGTTGAGCAATATAACAACATGGTGATCGTTAAGTCAGTCATCTCCATAGTAACTGTTCAAGGAGACTATATCACAGGATGACATCAAAAGGAAAATTCTCGCTATCTGAACATTACCTTCTTCAGGTAACAAACATGAATGAAAGGAAATTCCTGCCTGTTAAATGCAATATTTGAAAATTCTTTGAGTTAAGTAGTGCCTTATTTAAACATGAGATTTTCATAAGAGTATGTCAGTGATGAACATCAGGTAGTCAAGCCAAGTTTGTTGTTTAACACTGGACTGAGCAATATTACAGCTATATGGTGGCAGGCTGTAAATAAACCCCAAGTTTGGACCAGACAATCCAATGATTGATCTATGAAAGTGGGATACAGTGACATGTGTCTACCAGGGCATGCCCTGCATGTGTGAGGAAATGTGCTGGAGTCTTACAACAGGTCCACCTGATGGTCCAGGTGTGGTCCACCTACCTGGGTACCAGCTACAGAACTAGGTGAGGATGGCACTAGGTGTAAATGTACTCAAAGTCATCCAAAGTAGATGAGGTATGTTTAGAGATGAAAATATGTGTTAAAACAACACTTTTAATACGATTATGAAAAGCTGTGTCATAAAGATACACTTTAATTTGTCAAAGACACTAACAGCATGATATTTTGTATGGCTGCTCAACAGCCAAGATGTAGGCGAAGCCCCTGAGATCTTTGAGAACACAACATACCAAGACAGCCATGTTGGATAGTCTCACTGCTGCAGCCAGAGAGCTAGGATATATATTCCACTTAAGTTTGCAAACCTACATACATTTGTTCTTTTAAAACATCAGAATGAAGGTGCAATAATAAAATAATGGCACACATTAAACAAAATAACCATCCAAATATTTTGATCTGATTTAGTATGTGAGTAGAATGTTTTGGCAACTTTGTCCTGTAAACTGAAGGCATTCACATTGAGGCTAGTTGATGAAAGGTACTTTCACTATTGTGTAACTATACAGTGAGATATCACAGTATGTGACTTGTCATGCGTCTGCTCCATATAGCAGTGAACTTTGGTCTTGGAGACAGATATAATACAGATATCACTTATTCACAACAGTTGATTTCAATCCAACCCATAAACAATTTCATTGAGATCAGATATTTGACAGCTTTCTAGAATGATTTGACTTCACTTCTATACTGCTCTGACTCGAACATATTTCCACAGAGAAAGGTAATGTATCGGAGATAAATGTGGTTGATCCCATACATGTACACAGTTTCCTCAGATATGACTTCCCCGGAAAAGAGCATCATGTGATTTGGGACGATGGATTTCGAGGTATATGTAATGTAAGCAAACATCACAAGTGCTTCAGAACCACATAACCAGAGTCATTGTCATGGAGATAAGTTGGCAACAGCTACAGCTTCTTCAAAAGACACTAATAAAATAGTTACAGAATCAAACATTTTGTTCACTCTGTATAAAAAACAGTATGTAACACTTGTGGGTTTTTTCAAGTTAAGAAATTTGAACTATTTTAATCCAGAAGATGTAATTAGATTAGGCTGAGACCCCATGGAGGTCACAACTGTGCCTCGATCGCATGCAGTATTGAAATAATGCCCTATGGACAAGAAATATATTAAAAATAGATACTAATTTGTTCAAGATACTACCAACTGCATGCTTCCAAACTATTCTTTCTGTTAACATGAAAGTGCGGACATTCTGTCGGCGATGACACAGTGAGTAAGAACAGTTGAAACTACAGCAGACTGAAGTTTGTATTGTGTCTCACATAAGACAAGTGAGGTTATGAGAAGAAGTTGAATGGATACCTAATGCAGATATATGATTCATGAAAGTTGTTGAATCAATACCCAATTCAGATGTACAATTTGCTGGAGGAATCTTTTCTTTCATAGCACAATGTGGTGTATGGTTGTTCCGAGTTGGGTGGCACTCTATGAGAGATCTGGCTAGCCACACAAGTGACCTGCAGATTCTTGACCAATGACTAGTCTATTTGTCCTTCTTGGCTTCAATAACACCATTAGCCGTTACGACGCTACCGTTCCTCTTGTGGCCCCGTGTAGTACCATTTGCAACTTTTCCATTGGCGACCTGGGCCTTTGACTCTCCTCCCTGCAGCACAAGCAATTTGTGATGTAGACATGTGAATCAGTAACTGATGGACACGACTTGTAATAAGATGGTTTAGCAGGCAATGGTTTGATCTGATTAAGACAAAAATGATCTTTGAAGAAATGCTGTATTTTTATTGTGAAAAAGCTGTATCAGGACATACTGTCTTGATTAATTTAAGCAGGTTTTAAGAAGAAATACTTTTCATCCTTCAAGCTCCAACAAGTTTAAATTGAAAATGAGCTTGATGTTTTTACACCCATGAAAACTGTGTGACTATATGGGTCAAGTTCCCCAATCCCTTGTACTTACTGACAGGTCCACTGTGAATGGCTATAAACATGATCTTTGGACTCCTATATACACCTACCCATAATACAGCATAGTAACCCTTACCCATTGTATAACCTAATACCTACCCATAATACAGCATAGTAACCCTCACCCATTGTATAACCTAATACCTACCCATAATACAGCATAGTACCACAGATAGCATAACCCTCACCCATTGTATAACCTAATACCTACCCATAATACAGCATAGTACCACAGATAGCATAGCCCTCACCCATTGTATAACCTAATACCTACCCATAATACAACATAGTACCACAGATAGCATAACCCTCACCCATTGTATAACCTAATACCTACCCATAATACAGCATAGTACCACAGATAGCATAACCCCTCACCCATTGTATAACCTAATACCTACTAATACCTACCCATAATACAGCATAGTACCACAGATAGCATAACCCTCACCCATTGTATAACCTAATACCTACCCATAATACAGCATAGTACCACAGATAGCATAACCCTCACCCATTGTATAACCTAATACCTACCCATAATACAGCATAGTACCACAGATAGCATAACCCTCACCCATTGTATAACCTAATACCTACCCATAATACAGCATAGTACCACAGATAGCATAACCCTCACCCATTGTATAACCTAATACCTACCCATAATACAGCATAGTACCACAGATAGCATAACCCTCACCCATTGTATAACCTAATACCTACCCATAATACAGCATAGTACCACAGATAGCATAACCCTCACCCATTGTATAACCTAATACCTACCCATAATACAGCATAGTACCACAGATAGCATAACCCTCACCCATTGTATAACCTAATACCTACCCATAATACAGCATAGTACCACAGATAGCATAACCCTCACCCATTGTATAACCTAATACCTACCCATAATACAGCATAGTACCACCAATAGCATAACCCTCACACCCATTGTATAACCTAATACCTACCCATAATACAGCATAGTACCACAGATAGCATAACCCTCACCCATTGTATAACCTAATACCTACCCATAATACAGCATGGTACCACAGATAGCATAACCCTCACCCATTGTATAACCTAATACCTACCCATAATACAGCATGGTACCACCAATAGCATAACCCTCACCCATTGTATAACCTAATACCTACCCATAATACAGCATGGTACCACCAATAGCATAACCCTCACCCACTGTATAACCTAATACCTACACATAATACAGCATAGTACCACCAATAGCATAACCCTCACCCATTGTATAACCTAATACCTACCCATAATACAGCATGGTACCACCAATAGCATAACCCTCACCCATTGTATAACCTAATACCTGCCCATAATACAGCATGGTACCACCAATAGCATAACCCTCACCCACTGTATAACCTAATACCTGCCCATAATACAGCATGGTACCACCAATAGCATAACCCTCACCCATTGTATAACCTAATACCTGCCCATAATACAGCATGGTACCACCAATAGCATAACCCTCACCCACTGTATAACCTAATACCTGCCCATAATACAGCATGGTACCACCAATAGCATAACCCTCACCCATTGTATAACCTAATATCGTACCTACCCTTAACACAGCATAGTACCACATAGCATAACTCTCACCCACTGTATCACATAATACCTACCCATAACTAAAGCATATAACCACCCATTGTGAAGTATATTACCCATCTCAAATGGAGCATAGTACCAACCCATTATCCAGCATAATACTCACCCATACTAAAGCCTAATACCTAACCATAATAAAGCATAATAAAGCATAATACCCACCCATAATAAAGCCTAATGTCTCAACCATTATCAAGCCTAATGCCCACCTTAAAAATGCATAAGACCCAGCAATAAAGACACTACTATCCAAGTATTTCTGAACTGTAAGTAACCAACCCACAACCATTTCCAGCACTATCATGAGAACCATGAGATAACTGTCCTGATGAGGTAACCAACCTCCATCCCCAGAGTCACTGTTCTTTAAGTATGGAAAATCATGTTTTGCCATCAATACTGAACCGTGGTGAGGACACCAAGCTGTCCTCAGAGGAAGCAAAGTTTGGGGTCATGGATTTACCTTGGTCTTGGCTGATCGAGATTTCAAGTAGGTGTGGAAGTAGAAGTTGAGAAACAGAAGAAGAATGGTGAATGCGTAAAATATCAACGCCCAGTGTAGAGCTTCCGGGAAGTCGCAACCTTTACCCAGCGACTGAACAGCATGCACGATTCCGGTCACAAACTGAATCTAAAATGGCACAAAAAACAAAAAGCGTAAAAAACAAATTTACCTTTGATTTAGACGTGGGCTTTTTCTTGAGGTATGCTTGGATGTAAAAGTTGATAAATAGGGTGATAATTGTTATTCCATAGACTAGGCCCGCATACTGCATCCAATTGGGAAAGTCGCACTCTATTAACAATCCTTGGATTCCGTACACCATTCCGATAAAGAATTGGAGCTACAAGCAGAAGAGAAATACGCATGCATAAAGGATGTGCCGCAGCACCAAGCTTGCTTTAGGTCTAGCAATCAGTGAGGATTCATTCACCATTATTTACTGTTACATGGAAGAACGTGAACATTGAACCATGCCTGTCAATATTGTACACTATGTTAGTTTCATGTAAACCAATGAAAGTCAGGTTGGAAGATATTGCGATATGACAAGGACAAGGAAATAACCTTTTTACAATGTATGTACATGAGAAAGAGGAGCATTCTTAATTCCATTTTCAAAATACATAATTTTGTGTTGATTTTTGGACTTCATTTTGATTTCAGTAATTACAATTTGTATCTTATACATACGGTAAACTGCCATTGTCATATCATAAGGTTGACGCAGGAATGTATGACTGGAAGTGACAGATAGGAAATGGAATTCCTGGCATGCCTACACAAGATAATCGAAGGGAGTATGAAACCAGATGTTGCTACCATATTAACATATCTTCTGAACTAGCCATAAAAATTCGCGAATGTATTTATTGGACACACAAAGTTTTCAAGCAGAGCACAAGTGTGGGTGCAAAAACATGGAAAGTTTTCAAAAGAAACTATTTTAGAAAACATTCCCACACAGATTTCAACTCATTCAGACAGACACATTTCAAAGGAGAGCACACTTTGAAACACACTTTGTTTCATTTAATTTACCAACTTTCAAACTCTCTGGTTTTAACGAGGATGGTAGGTCAGGGTATTTTTCTGAGAAGCATTTGACTTTTGTTGAACAGCGCATAAATGTATTAGTATGAGGTGCATTACATCAAGCTTCAGGATCTGTTAGATCAAGCATTAGTTTATAAGAAGCAGAAGCACCAGCCTAGCACTAGCCATTGCTGATTGAAAGAGGAGAGAAGCAAGAAGAAAGCAAGGGTAAGAGAGGATATCATTGCATGAAACCTACGTGGCCATGTTGTTTCTGGTTAAACTGATAATCATAACAGTAAATGATGCCCCAAAACAGCCTGATCCATCAAATTGATGATGATGCACAAGTTCTCATTTCGATTTTAAAAGTTGTTTTAGTTTCACATTTTCTAAATAGACGTATTCTTGTTGATGTTTTCATGAGACCTCATAGGGATATTACTCATGATCTGGGCATGGTCTGTCAGTCACCATAGAGCACAGCTTGGTTAGCCAACCTTTGGGCTAAACACTTGATATCCTGATGACCTACCAGTCAATGTTTATTAAGACATTGCACCTAACTCTAGACCACAGTTAAATTCACAAGAAGAAAACAGACCAGCCATTGGTCACAATGACTACCACTCATTTACAGTGGTGACTGGGTGCCTGAATCGCATTTAATGCCTCTGAACAATTAGTTCTATGATGGCTTCTTATCTCAGGTGCCATTGTACAAAGTGATCTTAGCATTAAGGTGATCATAACTCCTATGGCTTAACATAGACTCGGCGGTGGGATAGCCTAGTGGTTAAAGCGTTGACTCGTCACGCCGAAGGCCCGGGTTCGATTCCCCACATGGGCACAATGTGTTAAGCCCATTTCTTGTGTCCCCCGCCGTGATATTGCTGGAATATTGCTAAAAGCGGCGTAAAACTAAACTCAGTCAGTCAGTAACATAGACTCACAACAGTTTTAACATTGATGTTGCTTTGTACAACGGTACCTAGTGTGGGATATATAGCCATTGTGATGTGGCTTGTGTTCTCAGGTAGCCAATAAGCACAGGTATGGTGCAAACAAACCAAGGATTATGATTAGTGCAAATGTGGGATAATTTCATTAGATCCTGGCACAGCAAAGGGAGACAACTCTGTTTAATGAATTAAAGCTACCACCACTGGGCCATATTTACCTCAAGTGGGTAGTGCATGGTAGGGTAGAATCACTATCCATCTTGTCTAAGTGGATCAAAGTGGATAGTGATGCCCGGACGAGTCTAGTGCAGGATGGGGCTACAGAAGCAGGTACCCAAAGCACAAGGCTGTCATAGAGCTAAGGTGGACATAACTCGGATACTGTAGCATAGGCTTACAACAGTCCTGGTGCTAAGATCATTTTGTGCAACAGGACCATGAAGGACGAAGGATGGGCTACAGAAGGTGGTGGTGGAAATACACGACACGATAAATGCACGTAAAAGGAAACTAAGGGATATATGGAGGAAAGTAATGGATAATATGTCACTAGGGAAAGTAAACAATATACGAGGGATAATAAACCCAATAACACAGTAAAGATGTATCTACAAACATGGTTTCTATGTAAAACTTGATGCTAGGCAAGCTTGTCTGCTAACAACACTAGGTTTGCATGCGTACTTCAATATCCATTGCTAGCTCCATTCTTACAAGGAAACTAAGGAGAAACCACTCTGTGATGGTATATCATCTTCACAAATGTGACATATGAAAATGCAGATTAATCTTCACTCCACACAGGATTCATAACTGACAGAATGTGGAGGTAACCTGTTGTCATGACATACCATCACCCTGATTAATGAACAAATGTTATATATCAGAATACAAAACTAGGCTGCATTGGTGGATCCAGAGGGGGGGTTCAGGTTCCCACCCCCACCCCCGAAAATGACTTAAGACCACATTGAAGATTTTTGGGGGGGGTTCAGGGTGTTCGAAAAAAAACCCACCAACCCCCCCACCCTCGAAATTCCAGGATCCGCCTATGGGCTGGACTATTTCTCAAAACAAGAAAATGAAGTGTACTAAAAAGTAAATGAATAAAAACTAAATGTTACAAAATGGGATAAAATGGATTAAAACAAGGTTAAATTATGAATTGAAAATATTACAAAATAGGTCAGGAAGGAAGAGATGGGAAAAACAAGCAAAACATTTATATCATTTGCAAAATATCTCACTAAGTACGATCAAGATTAGAATTAGTAACCCATGCTTGTCGTAAGAAGCAACTAACAGGATCGGGTGGTCAGGCTCACTGACTCCCAGTTGCATAGATCCATGCTCATACTGTTGATAATTCTATTGTCTGGTCCAAATTCGATTATTTTTAGACCACCACCATATAGCTGGAATATTGCTGAGTGTGGCATTAAACAATAAAGAAAGAAAACAAACCAAACATTCAAGTATATGCTCTACAGGCAAAAACACTCTATGGCAACTCAACTAGAAGCATCTTTGTCACTGTGAATCATGGATCATGGAAGTCCGTCAAGATCCGGGTTAGAATTGGTCTTCAGTAACCCATGCTTATCGTAAGAGGCAACTAACGGGATCGGGTGGTCACTATCCCGACACAAAGAATTAAAACATTCCATCACCTGTCACTTCAGAATGACCTTTACTCTGACCGATTCCAAATGCTGGACATTGTCTACATCTCACTTAAATGGGATAAACATTTGAAAGGAAGAGATTTTCAGAGCCTATGGGATGTAATTAAGTACAATTTTAGCCATTTATTGGCGATTCCAGAATTTCCTTTTTTCATATTTCATATTCTGAATCACCCCCATTTTCAAACTAGTGCTGGTAAATTTAAGAATGCAGTTTAAGCATTTGCTTTTGGATATACAAATGTTGACTTCCTGTCAGTTATTTCATTCGGCTGGTTGAAGTTTGCAGAAGACGTCTCTGACGTGACATGTAATGTTATGTCCTAAGACTTATTGCTTTGCAGAAGCAAGAACTAAGATCTGATTAATATGAAATTTCCCTTCAACAGTGTAACCTGCATATGAACAAAACTATGCAAAGATGTGGCATCAACTAACAACAGAATACTCTAAACGGTAAACGTAGCGATGACACAAAAAGAAAGAGCTTCAAAATCTGATCATGAATTATTGAAAACAAACAGCACTAAACACCAAATAAGTGGTCAAATAGCTAATGTAGGAAGAATTAATTCTAACCACATTTACAATCTACACTATCTACCAAGTTAATAACTATCAAAGTTAATGCAGAAGTTCATCTGGGTCAATTCCAACGAAATGGACCTAACATTTTTCAGACAGTGGTCTACCCAGAATGCATGGACATACAGGTGTATCACTCATCTTGCCCACAAACTTCAGGATCCCTTGGGCTTTTTTAGAATAGTAATATGTAAAATTATCAAAACCAATGGCTCTTATCCCTGCCATGAAGTTGTAATCAGTGCTTTCTGCTGATAGCAAGGTGTCCTTGAACTATAACAAGTGGCCTTGACCTTTATCTACATTCCAGTATGGAGTGAGCGAGAAACACACTGCACTTTGTGTTATGGGGAAACCAATGGACTGAGAATGCTGACACATGCATGCCCTTGTGGTACACTCAAGACAGCTGCCCACACTCGCATGTCCAGCAGGATTGGGTGACCCAATTTCAGTTGGTGCCAGAAAATCTGATACATTATTCCATCAAATAATGATGTGTGATGGTGCACAATCCTGCCACTCATGTGTCAGCTATCTCAGCCCTACACCGGTCAACAGCATGCAGTAACAGTCAAACAAGGACTCACCAGTTGGAGTTTGGTCAGGTAGCGCTTCCACCAAAGGTATTTTTGGTACTCTGGTCCAAGAGCCGACACGCCGTAGTATGTGTACATCACAACATGGATGAATGAGTTGATCATGGCACCGAAGAAGGCTGGAAAGTCAACATTTACAGGAAGGTCAAATCAATTTATTGGACAATTATCAAAGATTATAATGCATAAGCCATAGGCTTAAAAAGACCTTCTCCTCAAATACACTCTTCTTTGTCATTAAGATTTTGTTCATTTATTACTAGTGTAGGATTGAGATTTCTATCATGGTGTTAACTAATATTACAAAAACAAAGATCCTCCACTTCTTAATTTTAGGTTGCCCCTCTCAAAATCATTATTCTTTTTTTTTAAACATATCTTTGTTCTCGTCTTGTTTTCAAACTTGAATGCGTGACCCTAAATTGAGCATGTATTTCAAAATTTTGTTTTTAATGAAATCATCCACACACAAAAACATCAGTCCAATAAAAGATCTTGAACGAAAATATCTTGTACCCTGTGTGTATTCAGTAAAAGAATAGAGTTGGTTCAATATGTTCTGGTATACTCACACTGTCCGCCGGCCACCCACTTGATGCCGATCCACCAGATGGGAAACATGGAGGCGTGGTGGTACACGTGCAGGAAACTCACTTGGTTGTCCTTCTTCCGCATGATGAAGAATATAGTGTCCAACATCTCCACACACTTGGAGAAGTAAAACCACCACAGAGCACTGGCTATCTGGAGGCCAAACACAGACACGTTACACAGGCTCTCACAGACAATACAGGCTGATAACAGACACATTGTACAGGCACTCACAGACAATACACGTTACACATGCACTCGCAGACAATACAGGCTGATAACAGACACGTTACACAGGCACTCACAGACAATACAGGCTGATAACAGACACGTTACACAGGCACTCACAGACACGTTACACAGGCACTCACAGACAATACAGGCTGATAACAGACACATTATACAGGCACTCACAGACAATACAGGCTGATAACAGACACATTGTACAGGCACTCGCAGACAATACAGGCTGATAACAGACACATTGTACAGGCACTCGCAGACAATACAGGCTGATAACAGACACGTTACACAGGCATAACAGACGTTACACAGGCACTTTCGAGACACGTTACACAGGCACTCACAGACCCGTTACACAGGCACTTTCGCAGACAATACAGGCTGATAACAGACATGTTACACAGGACAGACAGTACAGGCTGATAACAGACACGTTACACAGGCTGATAACAGACACACGTTACACAGGCACTCGCTGACACGTTACACAGGCACTCACAGACCCGTTACACAGGCACTCGCAGACAATACAGGCTGATAACAGACACGTTACACAGGCACTCGCAGACAAGTACAGGCTGATAACAGACCGCGTTACACAGGCACTCACAGACACGTTACACAGGCTCTCGCAGACAATACAGGCTGATAACAGACACGCTACACAGGCAGGCACTCGCAGACAATACAGGCTGATAACAGACACATTACACACAGGCACTCACAGACACGCTACACAGGCACTGCAGACAATACAGGCTGATAACAGACACGTTACACAGGCACTCACAGACAATACAGGCTGATAACAGACACGTTACACAGGCACTCACAGACACGTTACACAGGCACTCGCAGACAATACAGGCTGATAACAGACACGTTACACAGGCACTCACAGACAATACAGGCTGATAACAGACACGTTACACAGGCACTCACAGACAATACAGGCTGATAACAGACACGTTACACAGGCACTCACAGACACGTTACACAGGCACTCGCAGACAATACAGGCTGATAACAGACACGTTACACAGGCACTCACAGACAATACAGGCTGATAACAGACACGCAATACAGGCCAAAAACAGACACGCACAGGCACTCAGCTGCACCTGGACAATACAGGCTGATAACAGACACTATGCTACACAGACACTCGCAGACAATACAGGGCAATAGTAGACATGTGCCAGTTCTAACAATTTATAATTGACAATATAGCTGCACCCTTAAATTTCACCTGCTCAACCAACTAAAAGTAACACACTGACATGCATAAACTACTAACTACTACTACTTTGACCACCACTACTAAATACTACTACTAAATACTACTACTACTAAATACTACCACTACTAAATACTACTACTACTACTACTAAATACTACTACTAAATACTACTACTACTACTACTACTACTACTATTACTACTACCACCACCACTACTACTACAACTACTACTACCACTACTGTCTTACCTTCATTTCACCATGGTCGTTGGTGTAGTTGACCGGCTGACAAGAATAACTATAATTTAACTTTGTTGAATACCATAGAAGCTGAAACAGGAAAGAAATTACTTTGCAGTCATAAATATAATAAAAAAAACAATATCTCAACATTACTGCACAAACAATTTCATTTCTATAAACAGTGCATACAATTTTCTTCACATTGGTACAAAGTGAAACTATAATGTTGTTCTGATCTAAGACTAGGACTGTTGTCTTCTTAACACATGCCAATACTGAAACATGCATTACTATAGAAATAAGAGATGATTTAATGACTATATTTCCACTACATTGCTCATGTAATATTAGCTTTATGTGTGAGCAATGACAGACTTCTTCAAGTCTCTAAAATCCACAAATTATTGACACAAACTTACCTGTGAGCATATATGAAAGTTCATCACAATTAAACCAAAATTGTAGAAAAATAACGTCCATTTGAATTTAAACGGCTCTCTGTCTTTCATTATTTTTGGCCCAACCCATACTGCAAACAAGTACAATGCTGTGATGGCTAGTGTGGGTGTGTAGCTTTGCATTAAAAACCAGTCCTTGACTCGGTCATCTGGAAAAGAGCAGAAAAACACACATCACACACACAATAAATATTACCGCTGATAACCCAAATAAAATACTTGATAGCAATGCACATTTTTAAGCCCATGTCTTACTAATGGATTCTGCTTTAGTGTGTTAGACATAACGTGTGTTTCATAAGTGTGGAAAGATCAAACAGCATTTCAGCTGCAATAATGGTGTACAGTGGCCATACAGAGGCAGGCGTCAACTGTATTTGAAGAACATCCAGTTAAAGAGATCAATAAATTTTTCAATCCAATGGGCTCAAAAGCTTTCTACTTTTCAGCCCATGTACTGAATAACAAAGGAGGCTTAAAAATGTGCAGCCTTTGTACACTCTTTTCACTAATTTAGGGTATGTGACCCTTACGTTTTTACATAAACCAAACAATTTTAAAACAAATGGACTCGTCAATTAAAAAGTCTACAACCATTCAATTAAACGCCAATAATTAGGATTTTAATCTATCCAAGAGAAAATAACAAATGTACCCTGAAAAGATTTGTTCCGTTAGTGGCACATGTCAATAAATTAATTAGTACAATGAGCATTAGTTTATGATAACGTGAAGTAACACCAGAAACCTGTACTCCAAACACAGTGGGGAATAATACTTCTTTTATTTATGGATCAGAAAATTGATTCAATTTCAAAGTAAGTGCCCTCCCCCCTTCCCTCATGTCATGTACAAAATCAATTACCCCTCGCCCCTTTCCCATAATTTTAAAGCATTATTTTTTAATATAATTAATATAATTATGTACAAAATTGCAGACCCCCTAGTACATGTGTACAGAATTGCTGAGCCCCCACCTCCCCAGAACAAAATGGGTGATCCCCTTCCTTCTCCTCACCCCACCCTCCCCCAACCACCCCTTAAAATCACTCTCATCCCCTAGCCATAAATTATGAATCGTCCCCAAGTGAATAAATCTGCCCGTATACAAACACGCTATTTCTTGTCAGGATGTTCAGTAAGTGCACATTGTGAAATGGGAACACAATATGTCTCAATAATGGTGTTACAGACACACAACACCAACCTGTTCGTGTTAGTGCCCATGCATAGAACTTCTGAAAATGTTCAACTTTATCTGTAATCAGCTCCATCTTGATCAACCTGTAACCAAAACACAACACCATGAGTAAACATTTAATGAGACTCCACACACATTCCATAGATAATAATTCATAACAAAAGTCCACAAATCTTTTATAAATGTTATTATCATAGAAAGAAGCTCACATATTTTTTGCAGCACACAGCAACTCATATCAATAAAAATAACATAAATCCAACTGCTGTTTAAAAGAATAAACCTAAAATGTGAATTAGATTACAATGTAATTCATTCGTAAATAAATTCCCTACTTGACAATGTAAAACTGTTTTATGTCAGCATTCCCTCCCTCGTAGCGTACAATATTGATCAAATAAACCACCTTTCTTAAACCATGTGCCTCACTACCAAACCACATGTCCTGGCCTGCCAAGTCCTTGCTCACGTTCAACCTTTGAACTGTTTTAAGCTGTGTTTTGGGGTAGTATTTTAGCAACAGGCATGACACTCGACATCAAAGAAAAGAGGTCACGGTTCCAGATCTTGTTCGGGCTTGAAAACATGGCATGGCCAGGCATGCATGTTTACACCAGAGGATGAATGACTGCCATGTTGCCAGGGGCAACAGGGTTTTAGGTACCATACAGATCAGAGAAGGAATGCACGGTTGAGTGGTCAATAACACAAGGTAGCGAATACTCTCTCCTTGTTGCCCTAACATCCACACAATACACACTGATTGAGTGGTTTACATATATATCAATATTTGAGTAGCTCTTGCTCCCTTCAAACCTTTGCCACCTAATATTAAATTGTTTACAAAGAAACGAGTGATTAGAAGCAACTTATAAGATTACTGATATGAGAACAGAATTTGATACTTTCATAAATAGGTTTATACCATTGAGTGACACATATCTATACTATCTTTCCAATGTCATTTCTCCGCTGAGTTTCAGACATTGTTATACATACTGTGTGGGACACTTTGTTTCTGTGTAATTATGTAATCATTGCCATTTTTAACTGCTAAATTGATTTACATGACAACATTTCAGACAAAGCAGTCTTTGAAAGACTCAAACGTACTCTGACTGCCAAACATTCAGAGTCCCTTTAAGAAATATCCTAAGGTTAGAGAACAATAAAGACCATTTTTCTGACAGAGAGGACAACACTGGCAAATAATATCTTATTTGTCCTTTAATACATAGAATGTCTGAAATATGACCACTGCATAGTTAAACATGACATACATAGTTAAATCTTCAATTCCTCTCAACAGCAGGACATACACTAGTACAGTATTGTTTTAGAACCTTCTCTTCTTCAGGCTATGTGTAAAACCAACAAGCATTCTGTTCTCACCTGGACATAACAGAACACAGTGATCCATCAATATTCAGTGATCCATCAATATTCGGTATTGAACTGTCTATATTTATTCCAGTGGCCTATTATAGCACTGGTAATTAAATAATTTATAATGTATGCCAGATACCTCTGCTCTTACGGCTTTGAATCAAACAAATGTATTATGTACAATTTCTCATATCACTACTAAACTGTCCTAGAATCACATGGCCCAGGTGAAGAGTAGGGGAAGCCCCAACAGATTGTGACTGCAAGAATCTGTACTCTTGTGATTAAAACATATGTATCGTGGCAGTGACATGTAAGGAACAAAAACAGTTTGCATCATACTGGTTTGAGGCTGGTTAAAATGACTGATAATTGTAATTATTAAGAATTAGTAACAAATATTTACATGAAAATTGTGTCATTATGAAATAAACTTCAATTTACACAAACAAAACTAACAGATATCTCTTTATTCATATGCCACTTCTAAAGTGTGTACAGAATGCTGTTTTGTCAGAACCGATGCATATATGTGTCACCATTCACCAGCTAGGTAAAATATTTTGATTTTGTAAATTGGAACCTTTTTGCTTTCTCTTATACGTCTTTATCAATCATCAATCAATATTTAGGTCATAATTATCAATTACTATAACCTATTTTGATAGCGGGCCATATACTGGTTCTAATTGTTCTTGCAAACTATGATGGGAAATTTATTATTTTACTCAAAAGGCTTTGAATCTATGGCCCAAACACAATGATTGTGTGGTATTGAAGGCTGGGTTTATATGGACATTTTGATGGGTACAGCTTCTAAACAAGAACAGTACAAGAAACAAGGCACAGATATTATTAAAATGTAACTCTCAGATAGGGCTGGGACGATTCACCAATGCATCGTGATACATTTAAGTTTGATACAGCTATCGTATCGTCGACTGGTGTATCGATACAAAATGATACACAAGTTTTTTTTTCAAAACAGTATTATCTTAAACATGTTACAGTACTTATTTAGAGAAACATATGCAAGTATGATAGAGTTACTTGTTTGATTATTACAATAGTGTTATTGTTAAACACAAATACCTTGAAATAAATCATTTTAAATCTTGATACCGTTTCATTCTTTCAAAGTGTATGTATCGTGATACGTATCGTATCGCAGGTAAAATATCGCGATATGTATGGTATCGTGACACAGTGTATCGTCCCAGCCCTACTTGCTTTTCACCTGCATATTCACTGCTTCACTTAAATGTGTTACATCATCCAACCATGTTTTGTTATATTCAATATCATCTTTTCTGATACTCTGCATTCCATTTCAGTTGTTAACTGCTTGCCCATAACAATTATCCTATTTGATACAATTCACACACAAGAGTCGTTGGTCAACAAAAACTCAAAACACTTCATTTTGTTTCAATAGCATACAGATAACTCATCAAGATTATCAGAAAACATTGTGAAATTCACATTCACTACTGTGCAGATTAATGCTGTACAGCCAGGTACTTTACTTCCTCAATAGATCTCTTCCCAGATCTCTTATTGTAGTAATCTACATGTTACTATTAACATGGTTTAACACTTATGGGTCAGCCATCTATGACATTTAGGACAATTACTAATATGATATTAACTTTGTCATAAAATATCTCTACACTTGGTAGATTATTCAAACATATAACTTCAATGTCTTTCATCATCACCATCAATGGATTGAACTGTCAGAAACATGTGTATATATACCAAGCTAAATGATTTTCTTGTAAGTTGTATTCATTTGATTTTGCAAATTTTCCAATGTATGTCATTAGTATGTAATCTGCTTATATTATCATTAATGAATGTGTGCATATACACATGAATAAAAGGTTGAAATGGACTACAAGTCTGCTTTAACTATACAACATACCAAAACTTAGGTTAATTTAATAATTCACCAGAGTTCTGCACAACGTGTATCAGGATATGGAATGGTGTCACGCATAAGTAATGCCATTGTGAAACACATATGTTGAAATTGAATCTAACACAGAATGGGGGCACGCCCACAAATCAGGAATGCGTTTTTTAGGAATAAAATAGGTTGGAAACGGAAATCAAGTGCATCACATTGGATAATAAACGTATGTTTCATTATGACTGAAAGCGCTAACTGATATGCATGGCAGATCGCGACGTATCTAAGAGTGTGCATGGTCTAAATAAACAAACTGAACCGAAGCGTCCATGCTGGTTCGCGAGGTACTCGAGATCGGTGATCGGAGTATGTGGGGACTCACCTCTGTTGCTGGAGCGAATGAAATTTCTGTTCTGTTGAAATTGAAGTATCTTAGGTCTTTTCTACCAACTGATGCTGATCTCAATTGGCCGTAATGCGTGTACAGACAAGGCAAATGCCATTGAGGTTGCTACCAACAACAACTAATACAAACTTCACGCACCTACAAACAACTATGGCACCGGTCAAATAACCAATGACAATGGATGTTACACGATAACGCACCGCTTGTGTATCTAACGTTCATTTTCATTGGCTCATGCTGGGACAGCACGTTTGGAGGAATTCCATTTATCATTAGCCAATGAGCATCGCTGTAAATGAATCCATCATTGGAGATATTTTCTTAAGTTAAATGTGATTGGCTCTTACCGGAGGAAGTGTCCGGTGAATCCCAGTCTGGAGAAGTGACCCCTAACCTCGTGTAAATCAACACATTTCAGTATCCAGGCACCGCATCAACCCTGACTGTTCATCATTGCTGTAAGTACTCTTTGTGCATGATAATTGTCTCCAAACACGAATATTGCCATATGTGGTTTTTACTTTATCGAAAATTGTTCATTGAAAACTCCAGGCGCTGTATCTGCAAAGGTCATTTTGCACATGACTTTAATGCATGATGATCGATTTACGGTTCCACCCTATTAATTGGACAATCTAATGATTAGGCGATTACTATATAACTGTTTTTCAGTAGTGTCAATGTAGTTCTCAACATATGCTATACGCCACTTCACGCTGTCCTTTAACAGATCAAGTGATCTACGTTATCAGGATCGCTACAAGGATCAACCCTCTGCCAATATAGGGGAAAACCACACTCACCCGACTAGGCCAAGATCGTGGTACGACTACGAGTCTAAAGTCCAGAGCATGATAGCTGTTATACGTGAACTTTAATTGATATTTGCGTTGTGCATTCTCGGCGAATTGCAGAGTGATCGCAATCTTTGATCGGATGACAGGCACCTCATTTAAATACCCCCAATACCCTAAGTGTAAAGAAATACTCAAGTGAAGTGATCATCAAGAAAAAGTGATATTGGTAAGGGCATGTTCTACCTTTGAATTTTAGGTTTGCTTTACTATGCGCATTGTGGTTGAAGTATCTGCAAGTGATTGAGCTTTTTTGTTAAAATATCTTAATAGTGTTTTTGAAATGAAAGTTACATCTTAAATATTATTTTAATACCCAATACAGTCATCTGTTACATGTTTGCCTCTATTGTAGTTTCGTTCTGTTCCATTACCCATTTTGACTGATCCAGGTATAGACATTATGTACATATGAACAAATATCTATAACATCTATGGTAAAGTATGGGATGAGTGAAATTAAGAGTAAGTAAATAGTAACTGAGTTATAAAAAAATAGCATATGTACTTTATACAGTCTTAATGTAAGAGTGTTTTGGGTCTTTTTATGTTTCAGCACAGAGGATATGTTTTTGTATGGTTTTCAGTTAGCATTGATGCATATATTTAAAAAAAATACTCTTAAGCCTGTCCACATGTTCAGTATTTTCCATTTATCTGTCCAGAAAATGTATATAAGTATAGAGTAATGACTTGTTTCTTATAATAAACACCACAACAGGGCATTTTGATTGAAACTGAGGTTTCTAAGTATCAGTACTCTTGCAGCACTAATTCTTATGCCATTATTATTTCAACCTGGTCATCAGCTTATGATACTGGGAATGTTTATCACTGGTTTCATAAAATCTGTGTTTTTGCCAATGCAAACAGTTAAAACAGGTTCTCTTTATGTCTGATAATGTCAGAAAAATATATCAGCACATAATTGACATCAGTGTTGAACTGACATCAAAAAGTATTCATTCAATGCCTAATTCTTTTTGAAGAACTTTCTAATTTTTGTTATTGTCAGTGACTTATGTTGGTTTACAGCTAGTTATGAAAACATTTGTCTTTAAATGCCAACAAAACAATTAGATTTATTAGAATAACAATGGCAACTAATCAATGCTAATTAGGCAATTGTACAAGATAGAAGTGATTAGTGTGGGTATTGTTAATGTCACCTGGATCATCAGTTAATTACCTGAGTTAACGAGCTGTTTTGTTGTCCCTGTTTCAGTTATACAGTATGTCACAAGAGAGCATTTAATGATGGAAACAGGAAAATCTGTTTAGTATTTACAGGTTTGATCAAATCAATGTGTGACATGTTTGCATACATCTTGGAAGTACAGAAACTTCCGCCTGTATTTAAAGGATCTAAAGTGTATATATATGCTGACAGGATAAATCTCATCAATATTTCAAGGATTTGTATACAGTACCTCAAGCCCTAAGCTAGTCTGTCTCACAGTCCCAGAAACATATTATTTTCCCTACAGCCTAGCCCTCCCTGCAATGCTAAAGCCCTAAATGAAGCAATCTAATTTCCTCATGTTCTAAATCTCTGGTCTCCCTAGGGTTCCTTTTCAATTTAAATGGGTTTATTTGATGCAATCAGAACTGTATATATTCAGGGACTGAGCGTTAGTCAACCCCTGCCACTCTCCACACTGCTTAGTATCACAGAACAGTTAGGATTGCAGAAAGTCCAGCTCAGTGTGGGTCTTATTTGACTTCCAGTAAAACAGGGTCTCATAGCTTGACTTATACACTAGTGTTTACTACACTGCAGTTCCACCCTTTATACGTAGGCGATGGAGGTACATATACATAGTGTATCCAAACCTGAGAATTATTTACAATGAAATGACTGTAATGACTGGTTTCAGTCACATGAAGTCTGCACCACAGCCTCCATTCTGAGTAATGACAGAACCATGCTTACAGACACCGATACCGATACCGATGGTTTAGGTCCAGTGTTTATGGTGATGAATTTAAGGTTCACACCAGCCCAGATTTGACAATAAGTAATTAATGAGCTATAAGGGTCAACACAGCTTAGATTTTAATGTTGCCATGGTTATGGACAACTTGCCATGGTTATAGACAGATTGTAGCGGTGAGGTAGCCTAGTTGTTAAAGGGAATCTTGCTAAAAGTGGTGTAAAACCAAACTCACTCAATTATAAACATATTAAACAGAACTGGTATTTTGAATTTGAGTTTATCAAACATACATGCAAACCAAACCTTGACACAAACATTTCAAACAAAGATATCCTGTTTGACAACATTAATGTTGAGTGACCAGCTTACAAGCAGAGCCTGACTGACATGCAGCATAAACATTGTCATAACTATTATACTCATCTGATCATTGTGAGGGCAAACTATCTGTAGACACTGCAAGTCAGCAAAATGTCAACCATTTTATGTTTATAACACTTAACAGTGTCATTATAGAGATTGAAATTTTGCATGAATATATTAATTTGTATTTATATGTTGAAAAGGTGTAGTTTGTAAGTACCCTTGAATGTGTATTTAAACTAGTATGGACTCTTCTGTGTCTGAAAAAAATGTAATTTTTGTCTAAAGCAAAAAGTAAAAATGCCATTATTATATATATCCTTAATTTGTAACTGAAATGCAATCATTGTAGAAATTTGCAACAAATATGCACCATTCATCCATACAATCATTTTATACACCATACACCATAAACCCTTGCAGATACTGAAACAGATTTCACTAATTTCCACTCTATTTTCAAATTGTATCTGAACATTGTGTCATAATATGTAGGTGATGATTTGTCCGTAACTGTTTAGTTTACAATTTCTTGAACATTGTTTGTCAAATCCAAATGGGTATGATGAAATTCACACTTTGCATACAAGACATTCCATTTCGCATACTGTATCAGCTTCCTGTCTTACTGAATTGAATGCATACAACCTAATCAGTGATAATACATTTGAGTGCAAGTACAATAAAAATATGCATCAAAGTTAACATTTTGATAATGAAACCTCTGGTGTAAGACTTCAACTATCAATTTCAAAACAAACTGACAAAACACACTCTCAAATGAACAATCAGCTGCTCTACCACTTCGCTTTGGACGAATCAGGTGGTGATTATTGCAATATAGGCATCCCTGATGTTTCATGAAATGACAGAACAAATATTTCAGGCAGGGTATGAAACTACCAAAAATTTCAGCCAGACCACAGGGCTGTTTAGATGTAAAACTTGCCAGCCCTGACCAAAACTTACCTGCCTGCAAATAATTTAGGTTTGACATCCAATTTAGCTTATCATCCATTATTGGAATTCATCATTTACTTTACGAATGAATTATTAATGATTTATTATCCTGAAATATGATGAATATCTTCATATACATTTCTAAATTTTAACCTGACCGACGGGAAGGTGAATTTAAGAATCTGGCAGTCCGTGTTGAAAATAACCCGTCCAGGGCGGTCGGGCAGTCAGGTATTTCGATTGCTGTTTGAGGACACAACACTAGATATATCATTGTTTAAGGGAAAAGATATCCTGTTTTCACACCAGCGTGAACGTTACCAATAAAAGTGAAGGCTACTCTTAACTGTCTGTAAGTGTAATAGTAACAAGTTTAGCTCACATCACGCATACGTGTGCTGTCAGTTTAGGTTGGACCGTCCAGATCAGCGCACCTAGTGGGTTAGCGAAGGGAAGATAATTTGAAAAAGATCGCAAATTATATGGAAAGTTGTTACATTGCTTAAAAGTATAAATATGTATGAAACTGTAAAATAAAAGTGAGTATATACTATTGGAAATAAAGCTCTCAGCTGGTAACATTTCATACATAATGATATGATGTGCATAAGAAAGAGACAAATGCAATTACATTCTTATTAGTTATAAACCATATAAAAGTATATTTATTGGGATATTAGTCTGCTGTTATGCGGCTCCATGATTACTGCATATCGTATATCAACATATTCAAATGATCTTGTGATTCTGGGTATACAACTGCTAAGGACAACCTCAAATTAAAAGCATTTAACACATAGCTTCAAGCCTGGGGAGATGAGAGCTATTCAAGAGCAAGTTTACATTGGCATTGGCACATTATAAACGGAGGCATCTAAAGACACTGTAAGTTGTTGTTTCATTAACATATGATCCTCGATCTGAATCAGAGATGCTCCCTGATTATGTTTATAAGTTTGTCGATGCCATGTCTGTGCTCATGACTTTCACCAATCTGGTGAACATGAAAACCCTGTATCACTGTTAATAAGTGAAATACTGTCCTGATGAAGTCGTTTACACACTCACACACAATCTAGTGTTGAATATTTAAACATGGAAAGTCTGAATAATACCCAATTTAATGAAGTTTCTGTCAGCATTCATGTACTTATATGGCATAAAGCATTTCTGGTGTCCCCCGCCGTGATGTTGCTGGAATATTGCTAAAAGTGGCATAAAACCAAACTCAGTCAGTCAGTCTATGGCATAAAGGGGTGGTGGGGTAGCCTAGTGGTTAAAGCGTTAGCTTGTCACACCGAAAACCCGGGTTCTATTCCCCACATGGGTACAATGTGTGAAACCATTTCAGGTGTATCATGCTGTGATATTGCTAGAATCCTCCTAAAGCGGCATACAACTAAACTCACTCACTCATGCTTTGGCGTAAAGAATACATCCTAACTTTTACATAGTCAAGCCAGGATCTGCACTCACCTCAACTTTGTTGGCTATTTCATCACCATATCTATACATGAGCATGAGTGTAATCATGGGATAGCTCCAGTATATTTCACACCAGGCTTTTTACCCTTAATAAACTGACATGCTGTGGTATAACTTAAGCATGACAAGTGTAGTTAGAAGTTTCAACACTTTTCTGGTCAGCCATGGCAACAAGGCAAATTAGTGTTGAATATAACTGGTCTTGTTAAAAATACAAGTCAGGACTATAGATTGTCTTCCTTCTGATTACTTATGATTTATACCAGAGGAAAATATCAGTACTTTGACCATGCCCAGATACTGCTACATACAATTTATGCAGCAGGTGTCAGCAGGGGTTATCAGGTGCCCCACAGCACTTCTGACGACAACCAGTCTCGTCACACAAGCTTTTATGCTTATCTCAGGAACAAGGATTAACTGTTTATGCCTGCTTTGATTCCATGATAACCTGTGTATTTTATCAAATCTGCAACCAAAAACACCACAAACTGAATTAATTTTGGTTTGTTGGTATACATATATGCATGGAATGTTTCAAAAAGAAAATAACAGCAAAACTGTGTAACCAAAATAAAGAACAAATTACATTTCACACATACGCCTTTCCAGGTGTTTGTTTATTGTCTACTTGTCGCTAATAGATGGCAACTAAGTAAAAACCCAAATTTGGTAGTGATAGTTTCTTTGGTTATTCAACATGTTTGAAACTTCATTTGTCCTAAAGCCCAGTCTATTTGATACTTTTTAGACCAGATGAAATCGTTTCTTAAAAATATTCCGCTTAAAAAGCTGTCTGGCATGTGTGAGGTGACTTTTAATTTGCATCTGATCATGTATGTATGTCACATGTTACAAAACATTAACAAGCAATACCTGTCTGAGTTTGAATAGGTGAGATTCCCCTGGTGAATTATTCATTTCAGTATTTACTGTAGATTTATATAGGAGATAGCTTTGAGCAGGTCTCAGTCGGCTTACAAACTACACAACTGACTGGAGTGAGTGAGTATGGTTTCACACCGTTTTTAGCTATATACCAGCAGTATCACAGTTGGGGCGGACAACACAAAAGGGCCTCACACATTGTATCATGTGGGGAATCAAACCTGCATCTTCGGTGTGACGAGCCAACACTTTAACCACTAGGCTACCCTACTGCCTCCAGCAGACTGGAACCAAAGGAGCTGAAAACATCGTCTGGAGTCCCAGAGTGTGTTGAGCAGTCAAAAATGTAATTATTAAGGATCATTAATTTGGGAGAAGAGACAATTGACGTTAACTGATTATCCATGCAAAATCATACTTTATAAATTTTCTATGATCTGATGAAATATCACAAAATACTAATGAAACAAACATTCATTGTTAGAATATCGATCCTGCCATTAAAATTTGTAAAGCATTGTATTATAAAGAGTTATATATTAACCCACCTAATAACATGTATAAATAGTTATTAGGTACAGAGAACATGCATAATAAGTTTTCGATATACTAAGTATGTGCATTTTATTTCGGTTGATGGCTTGGATCGTTCACTTAATTCACTGCGGACAGATTATCCATAATTCCTTATGGTCATTGGTTATTTATAATCATTAATTTACTGGTCGGGAATTGAAGTACAGTATTCACTAGCCCCATTCAGGAAACATTGGCATGATGGCTGACAGAGGAAATGCTTAACATTAGGTATAATGGATCAGATATGGTGCCATGATTTACCCGTACATCCGTTACTATCCGAGCATGATGATTCTATATCTCTGAAGATACATGTGATGTGACTAGTCATGCATAGAATTAGTTTAATTCCATATAAGTTTTCCAAAAGTATTCTTAATATCCCAGTCTTATTCCTGGGCAGCCTGCATTATAAAGTCACCATGATTAGACAGTCAGATCAGGGCCGCATTAACTGGCCATGTGACTTATACATAACCTCCTATGGCAACAGCCTCTTGTTAGCTGGGACAATAGAACATGGAGCATTTCATGCAAAAACAGATTATTATTATTATCGTCATATTGGATCAGGATTTTAAGTGTTGCTGTGTGTAAGAATACATGAAGTAGGCATAGCATGACAAAGAATTTTGCGTAATTTTCATGAACAGTTCAGTTGTGAACATGGTGAACTCGTTCAACTGCAGCTTTGATTAAAATGATTCATTTTCATTTTCAAAGATCTTTTCCTGAAGAACAGGGAATGATGCACATGAATAAATAATCCTGCAATATAGTTATATGTGAATATTGTGAAGTATTATTATGCATGCAAAGAGGCCATTAGTTAAAAATAAGATATGGAATTACCCAACTGAAACTGCAGGAAGCTTTTGGATGCAATGATATACCGGTACTCTGTATTTCTTTTGCATCTGCATATATTTTTTATATATTTTATTTCTGGGAGTATGGAATGCCAGATTTTGTGTAAATTCCTGGTTGTGTCTCTGTAGCCCAGTATTTAAAATGACACTTTGACATTGTGTTGACTTGACTTTGACAAGTGACAGGGTAACAAAGGTTGTTAAAACTGTCTGATGGACGGTTGTCAGTGAATCCTGTCACTTATTATGACTTATCCGTTTATAATATGTTTTCAATACAGTCACACTTACTTGTAAAAAACATTAACCTAAATGTTACCAAATGTTAACAGACCATGGTTCTTTAACGTTAGCTGTTAACACTTTTGTTAATTCTTTTACTGTATAAAAATAATGGTGCAGATTTTGCAGAACTATTTTAGAGAAATGAAGTGAAATTTCTAATTTTGTATTTTGATGTAAGAAAGGATAATTATTTGTATGAAAATGTCACGAAAAAAAAAAATATCATAGATGTTAGGAAAGATATTACATGTTTAAATCCGTTATTTTTGATAATGATAGCAGAACAGACCAGTGTTAATATCTGGGCAGCATCATTGACTCATAACTCACATGGGATGCAAACAGGTATGTAAGGGTCAACAGAGGTTTGAGGCAGTGGGGTAGCCTAATGGTTAAAGCGGGTCCGCCCACCACGCTGAAGACCTCGGTTCGATTCCTGATATGGGTACAATGTAAGAAGCCTATTTCTGGTGTCCCCACCATGATATTGCTGGAACATTGCTAACAGCGGTGTAAAACCATACTCACTCACTCACTCAAAAGTGGTTGTTTTCTATGTTGTTTAAGACATTTTCAGATTGACTCTACCTTCATGTCATGTTTTTTAAAACACTGTTATCTGTTCACTGATTTGCTGATGCTGAGAACAAACAGGGCCTGGGTTGTATTCATGAATGCTAGTACAAAGTTTTTGTGATCATAAATTGTTGATCATCCTTTTGTTGGTGACTCATTTAATCTATATTATATGTGTGACCTCCTTATTTCCTTGTGCTGATGTAACCCATGTTTCCGTGGTGATGATAAAGTGTTATCTTGTCACTGCTTGTTGACAGAATGTATTCTGTAGGGATCATACAATGATTGTATGTCAAACAGTATATGTACACTTACATTTGCCACAATTGGACGTCCCTTCAGTTTACTGGCCCAAGCCATACTATACCTTTGTCCAGTTCATAATTGAGAAAAGAAATGTTGGTTATGCCTCCATCTTGGAACAAGGTCGTTGTGCTGCATGGTGTTCCCACTTGTAATGGGGTGACCGTCCCGGGTACACATTACAGCCACTACTGGTCAAGTACTGGTCAGTGTGGTCATGTCAGGGAAACAGAGTCGTTCTTCAAGAAGGGCACTAATTAATCTGGGCGGTGGGGTAGCCTAGTGATTAAAGGGTTCGCTCATCACACGGAAGACCTGGGTTTGATTCCCGACATGGGTACAATGTTTGAAACCCATTTCTGGTGTCCCCTTGCCGTGACATTGCTGGAATATTGCTAAACGCGGCATAAAATCAAACTCATTCACTCACTACTTTTTTAGTATGTTCCTCAACAACATCAGCCACTTGTAATTTGATTCTTTACCATGACATATAATGTGTGGGGATATAGTCAACGCCTATGAAGTGTGTGTCCGTCCGTCCTAAATAATTTCATTTCCGCGGAGCGTAACTGAAAAGAACAAAAATTTGTATATGTATCAAACAGAACCTGAAGTGGTGCCTTTTGAGCTAACTCAAAAATTGCTCAATATCTATCAATAAAACTTGGCAGACATATGAGACAGATCCCAAAGTAGTGCCTTTTGCTATTTGCGGATTTTTGGCATTTTTATTTTTCTTGTTTTCCATTGAAACGAATCAGACTTAGTCTCAAAAGGGAGGGATGGGCTTCGTTTCTGGAGCACAACTTGAAAGCCGTTCAGTATCTTTCTACAACTACAAGACTTGGCAGATATATCAAACAGATCTTGAAGTGGTGCCTTCTGCTATTTGCAGATTTTTTGCGTTTATATTTTTCTTTCATGATTTCCATGGAAACGATTTGGACTTAGTCTAAAGGACTTTAAGTAACTCTCAGATGATTTGTTCTTTCAAATTTGTGGGGGCCGGGGGGATTTATCATCTTCTGATGACTCTTGTTTGTATTTTACAGCCGTCCTAAAGTGGTGACCTTGACCTTGATCTAACCATGGCAGCCCTTACAGCGCTAATGGACAAATATACATGGGTCATGACCGAGTTGAGAGGTAAGGACATCATGTTTTAAAAATGTAGAGGATATCTGAAGGTGTGTAAAAAATATGTTCAATGTTCTTCAGGCAGGAGTTTCAGTATTGTTTAGCAAACCCACTTGTAGATAACCTTATGTGATTTATGACATGAGGTGGTTGATAGCCTGGTGCTAAAAGCATTCACTCCTAACACTAAACCATGGTTATAATAATGCTAGCAAGAGCTATATACCAGTGTTCTTCATTCTTAATTCATTAATAAGATGAAAATGAATGATGTCTCAAATTATGTGACTGGGTGTTTTGCTTCTTTTATTCTCTCTGTAACATATACAAAGCAGCAATTGTTTAATATATTGTTTTTATGTAGTAATACATTCTTGAGTTGTTTACCGTGTTAATGTGTTTACTGACAGCTGATTGACAGACTGAGTACGAGTCCACTGGAGAGTTACATATGTTATATTAGGGATTACACTTTCTCAATAAAGTACAGATTCTAGTACTTTCGTTAGGTTAAGTCCCATACAGGATTCAAACTCACACCCTCAGAGTCAGGCACCTAATCGCCAGCACACAAAGTCAGCCATCTAACCCGCTCAGCCACCGATGCTTCCAACAGAAGTACTAGAATCTGTACTTTACTGACAAAGTGTAATCCCAAATATATCATATGTTACATTTGACCACTTTCCTAAAATGGGATTGTCTATTCATTGAAGAGTTATTGTTAACACACATTGTTAACCTCTGATCTGTGTTACCTGTGATGCTGAATCTCTTGTAGTGGAGATATGGAGATGGTAACTAATATCTCAACTGTAGTAAATAACCATGGTAACTGTTTGTGATGTTTACGTTTTTGTATTACAACACAATAGTAACTGATATCTATGCTGTTTTAGAAAATAACCGTGGTAACTGTTTATGGTATCTGTGTTGTTGTAGATGTTAATCAGGTGACTAATATTCCTGCTGTAGTAGTGTTACGTGAGCTTCTTTCCTTTAGAACGCTGCCATTTTTCTTTCTACCTCACGTCACTCTCTTACCTAAAATACTATTTTCCTAAAGCAAACGTTTATGCAAAACCAATTAACAGTGAGCTACTACTGAAACATTGTTCTGTGACAATTTCTGAACTAGCAAGCATATCTTTGATTAAAAACAAAATAACTAGCCAATAAAATGTATGTTACATGACAGTAGAAGATCACCATGGTAACTGTTCATAGCATATATACTGTAAGTAACTGTGATATCTGATATCGGTGTTTTTGTAGACCCTCGGACGGATGGATGGTTTATGATGGAATCTGTGTGGCCGACGGTGGCTGCAGTGTTGGTGTATCTTGTTGTTGTTGCCTGGGGTAGCAGGCTGATGTCCAATCGCCCAGCCTTCAAGGTCAACAACCTCCTCGTGACGTACAACTTCTTCCTCATGCTGCTGTGTATGTACCTGTTTGTTGAGGTAATCCACCACTTGTTTTGTTAGCCTTGTAACCAAGTCATCTAAGGAGGCACATTTTAGACAGGCACAGAGTTGGTTTAGACAGAGAGTTGCCTCCATTAGCGGTGTCAGGATCTTGTTAACCAAGTCATCTAAGGAGGCACATTTTAGACAGGCACAGAGTTGCCTCCATTAGCGGTGTCAGGATCTTGTTAACCAAGTCATCTAAGGAGGCACATTTTAGACAGGCACAGAGTTGCCTCCATTAGCGGTGTCAGGATCTTGTTAACCAAGTCATCTAAGGAGGCACATTTTAGACAGGCAGTGAGTTGCCTCCACTAGCGGTGTCAGGATCTTGTTAACCAAGTCATCTAAGGAGGCACATTTTAGACAGGCACAGAGTTGCCTCCATTAGCGGTGTCAGGATCTTGTTAACCAAGTCATCTAAGGAGGCACATTTTAGACAGGCACAGAGTTGCCTCCATTAGCGGTGTCAGGATCTTGTTAACCAAGTTATCTAAGGAGGCACATTTTAGACAGGCACAGAGTTGCCTCCATTAGCGGTGTCAGGATCTTGTTAACCAAGTCATCTAAGGAGGCACATTTTAGACAGGCACAGAGTTGCCTCCATTAGCGGTGTCAGGATCTTGTTAACCAAGTTATCTAAGGAGGCACATTTTAGACAGGCAGTGAGTTGCCTCCATTAGCGGTGTCAGGATCTTGTTAACCAAGTCATCTAAGGAGGCACATTTTAGACAGGCACAGAGTTGCCTCCATTAGCGGTGTCAGGATCTTGTTAACCAAGTCATCTAAGGAGGCACATTTTAGACAGGCACAGAGTTGCCTCCATTAGCGGTGTCAGGATCTTGTTAACCAAGTCATCTAAGGAGGCACATTTTAGACAGGCACAGAGTTGCCTCCATTAGCGGTGTCAGGATCTTGTTAACCAAGTCATCTAAGGAGGCACATTTTAGACAGGCACAGAGTTGCCTCCATTAGCGGTGTCAGGATCTTGTTAACCAAGTTATCTAAGGAGGCACATTTTAGACAGGCAGTGAGTTGCCTCCATTAGCGGTGTCAGGATCTTGTTAACCAAGTCATCTAAGGAGGCACATTTTAGACAGGCACAGAGTTGCCTGCATTAGCGTGTCAGGATCTTGTTAACCAAGTTATCTAAGGAGGCACATTTTAGACAGGCAGTGAGTTGCCTCCATTAGTGGTGTCAGGATCTTGTTAACCAAGTCATCTAAGGAGGCACATTTTAGACAGGCACAGAGTTGCCTGCATTAGCTGTGTCAGGATCTTGTTAACCAAGTTATCTAAGGAGGCACATTTTAGACAGGCAGTGAGTTGCCTCCATTAGCGGTGTCAGGATCTTGTTAACCAAGTTATCTAAGGAGGCACATTTTAGACAGGCACAGAGTTGCCTCCATTAGCGGTGTCAGGATCTTGTTAACCAAGTCATCTAAGGAGGCACATTTTAGACAGGCACAGAGTTGCCTCCATTAGCGTGTCAGGATCTTGTTAACCAAGTTATCTAAGGAGGCACATTTTAGACAGGCACAGAGTTGCCTCCATTAGCGTGTCAGGATCTTGTTAACCAAGTCATCTAAGGAGGCACATTTTAGACAGGCACAGAGTTGCCTCCATTAGCGGTGTCAGGATCTTGTTAACCAAGTTATCTAAGGAGGCACATTTTAGACAGGCACAGAGTTGCCTGCATTAGCTGATGTCAGGATCTTGTTAACCAAGTCATCTAAGGAGGCACATTTTAGACAGGCACAGAGTTGCCTCCATTAGCGTGTGTCAGGATCTTGTTAACCAAGTTATCTAAGGAGGCACATTTTAGACAGGCAGTGAGTTGCCTCCATTAGCGGTGTCAGGATCTTGTTAACCAAGTTATCTAAGGAGGCACATTTTAGACAGGCACAGAGTTGCCTCCATTAGCGTGTGTCAGGATCTTGTTAACCAAGTCATCTAAGGAGGCACATTTTAGACAGGCACAGAGTTGCCTCCATTAGCTGTGTCAGGATCTTGTTAACCAAGTTATCTAAGGAGGCACATTTTAGACAGGCACAGAGTTGCCTCCATTAGCTGTGTCAGGATCTTGTTAACCAAGTCATCTAAGGAGGCACATTTTAGACAGGCACAGAGTTGCCTCCATTAGCTGTGTCAGGATCTTGTTAACCAAGTTATCTAAGGAGGCACATTTTAGACAGGCACAGAGTTGCCTGCATTAAGTGTGTCAGGATCTTGTTAACCAAGTCATCTAAGGAGGCACATTTTAGACAGGCACAGAGTTGCCTCCATTAGCGGTGTCAGGATCTTGTTAACCAAGTTATCTAAGGAGGCACATTTTAGACAGGCAGTGAGTTGCCTCCATTAGCGTGTGTCAGGATCTTGTTAACCAAGTTATCTAAGGAGGCACATTTTAGACAGGCACAGAGTTGCCTCCATTAGCGTGTCAGGATCTTGTTAACCAAGTCATCTAAGGAGGCACATTTTAGACAGGCACAGAGTTGCCTGCATTAGCGTGTCAGGATCTTGTTAACCAAGTTATCTAAGGAGGCACATTTTAGACAGGCACAGAGTTGCCTCCATTAGCGGTGTCAGGATCTTGTTAACCAAGTTATCTAAGGAGGCACATTTTAGACAGGCACAGAGTTGCCTCCATTAGCGGTGTCAGGATCTTGTTAACCAAGTTATCTAAGGAGGCACATTTTAGACAGGCAGTGAGTTGCCTCCATTAGCGGTGTCAGGATCTTGTTAACCAAGTTATCTAAGGAGGCACATTTTAGACAGGCACAGAGTTGCCTCCATTAGCGGTGTCAGGATCTTGTTAACCAAGTCATCTAAGGAGGCACATTTTAGACAGGCACAGAGTTGCCTGCATTAGCGGTGTCAGGATCTTGTTAACCAAGTTATCTAAGGAGGCACATTTTAGACAGGCAGTGAGTTGCCTCCATTAGCGGTGTCAGGATCTTGTTCACCAAGTTATCTAAGGAGGCACATTTTAGACAGGCACAGAGTTGCCTCCATTAGCGGTGTCAGAATCGCAGATTCACTTATATTGTTGGTGGGATTAAGCTGGTGCTGATGGGTTAAAGTGGTGATTTAACTGACATTCAAATCGTTCAGAGCATCATTATGAGTAAACAAAAATAATTCCAGCCTCCCTGATACCAGTTAGCCCGACTCTTATATTCTCAACTTTGGCAGCACCTTTTTCACAAAGACGTTGGTGCCGTGACGATCACAATACTTAGTCAACAGTTCAAGCACAGTTCAAGGTTTATAATCATAATAAATGTGCATTTGTAATGCGCCTTTTCCATATACAAGGCATATGCTCAAAGCGCTGACATGTTACAATTATATGCAAATGTACAGGGAGGGAAATATAGTTAGTTGTAATGAGAGGAAAACAGGTGGGTCTTCAGCAAGTGCTTGAATAGTGTAAAGTCAGCTGCTGATCCTATGGCCAAAGGGAGAGAATGTGGAAGATAATTCCACAGTAGAGGGGCAGCAACAAGCAAAGGAAAGGTTTCTCTGCTAAACCACAATCTTGGGTATGCTTGGTAACGATCTTCAGTGACAATTGTGTATCATTCAGTAATAGGCCGGGGCTAACATACTAAACTCCTTCAATGTGATCAGGATTTTAAGAGAAAACAATTTCTTATCTAAAATGTGAGCAGAACATTTTGATTTCCATGATACCTTGAACAATGTTTATGATGGGTTATTATGTGAGAATGTAGAGTTATTATGTGAGGATGTAGAGTTATTATGTGAGGATGTAGAGTTATTATGTGAGAATGTAGGGTTATTATGTGAGAATGTAGAGTTATTATGTGAGAATGTAGAGTTATTGGACTGCCATATGTGTTTCTGGACTCAAATGTTACTGCGTTGCCCCCTGTGGTGCTTATTGGTACACCTCTACACTTCAGTTTGTCATCTCTGCCTGGCTGCAGCCGGGGTTCAGTCTAACCTGTCAACCTGTAGACTACTCCAATGATCCTATGGCGGTGCGGGTGAGTAGCCAACAGTTATTCTGCAGATGGGGAACAATTGTCGAAATTGGAAAGGGATACATCCTCGATAATCTCCGGGGTATATGTTCCGATAAATCTCATCTTAGTACCCTGGATGCATCTACGGCTCAGCCCGATAATTAGATTACCTTCCTTTGCTGGCTCCAACTTCTCACTGTAGCCAATCAGATAAGTTGTTATAACTGAGCTTGCCAGTGTCAACTAAGATTGCGGCCACAGCCACGAAGGTTTGTTCGCTGTGGGACTCAGTTTTAGGGAAAAAATAATACAGACAAATTGACAGGTTTGAAACCTTCAAAAAATATATGCAGGAACTCCTTCTACCACTTTCCAGGTACCTCAACGATTGTGTTGCAAAGTTTAATTGGTTAGATAAAGGAAGTGGAATTGAGTTATGGTAAAAGCCTTGTGATTGGTACGCTCGACTTCCCTGTGTATTTCCTTCCATGGTATCATAAAACATCCCAAACTGGTGCTATCAGTAAAACTGTTATACTGTACACTCTTCTTATGGAACAAGATAGAGGGATGATATTTAATTCATCTTTGTACCCTGAATGCTGCATTTCTGCTGTTTTATCACTGACTGGAGTATGTGTTGTGTTTCAGCTGGCACATGTGTGTTGGTGGTTTTACTTCTCCAAGCTTATAGAGCTGCTAGATACCGTAAGTACTTACTGTAGGTATTTAGGAGACATGCCTAGTTTATGACTAATAACATTAGATGACACTGGTTTGTATGGAAGGTAACCTTTCATGGCTAATCTGTGCCTTTCTCTAATGTTCACAGATATCCTTTCAGAGGACATGAGAGAAATAGATTTCATTAACACTTTGACAAACCAATGAAATGACTTCAGGGGGAATCTACATTAGCCAATCACTAAGTAGGTTTTTTGAGCCTTAGGGACCGTTCATAATTTATGAGGGGTGGGGGGATGTGATGATGATTTTAAGGGGGTCATCCATTTTGTTCTTGGGAGGTAGGGGGTTATCAAATTTGTACACATGTTCTAGGGGGTCAGCAATTTTGTACATAAAAATACTTTCAAGTTATGCTTTAAAAATATGGGAAGGGGAGGGGGCATTGATTTTGTACATGACATGTGGGGGTCACTTACTTTGTACATAAATTTTAGGGGGGGGCATTCACATTGTACATGCTTCTCCATTAAAATCATCATCACCCTCCCTAGCCATAAATTATGAACGGTCCCTTATGGCACAAGATTCAAAATGGTTATTTCCATTTCACACAACACACTATGAAAAATACTTTGACAGTGGATCATCATCTAAGGGACCGTTCATAATTTATGGCTAGAGGGGTGATGATGATTATTATTTTAAGGGGGGGTCACCCGTTTTGTTCTGGGGAGCTAGGGGGGTCAGCAATTTTGTACATAAAAATATGTTTAAAATTATGCTTGGAAATTATGGGAAGGGGAGGGGGGGTCATTGATTTTGTACATGACATGCAAGGGGGTCACTTATTTTGCACATAAATTTTAGGGGAGCCATTCACATTGTACATGCTACTCCATAGAAATCATCATCACCCCCAACCCCCCTAGCCATAAATTATGAACGGTCCCTAATAGAAGACATCAGCTAGTTTGACTAAAATAACTTTAGTTTGAGGTGAAACATTTGTAAACTCTAATCAATTTCTTTCTTGTGTTGAGAAAGAGAGTGTGGTTTCTGTGACCATGTCCAAGTATTGTGTTATCAGTTTAGTAATATAAGTGGGAGCACCTGACTGACTGTCTTTTCTGCAGGTGTTTTTCGTTCTACGGAAGAAAGGTAACCAGATCTCATTCCTCCATCTGTACCATCACTCTACTATGCCCATTCTCTGGTGGGCAGGGGCCAGGTTCGTCCCAGGAGGTGAAGGTCAGTGTCAAACTGTTATGCCACAACAACAACATTAAAAAAATCAGTTGTTTTAAGTTGTCTTTGTCCTGACTCATACGTTATTGCTTTATCTCCCTTTCCTTTCGAGGTACAGTGGAAACCTCTGTCCTGTTGTTCCCTAATGAACAGTCAAAAATAGCTCACCCCAAATGGGCCTCTCCCTGCCTCAGTGCCAGCATCCCATGTGACAGCTAGCTGCTTGTCAGTCTCTTGAACTAAGTTGTCTGTTAGCAGTCACTGTTCTCTAGTTGTCATCAATGTCATTATTTGTTTGGATTTTATGGTGCGTGTAATGAGACCGTGAATGTTGCAGGTTACTTCTCGGCCAGCATCAACTGTTTGATTCATGTGATCATGTACCTGTACTACCTCCTGTCTGCCATGGGGCCCAGCATGAAGAAGTACCTGTGGTGGAAGAAGTACATGACCACAATGCAGCTGGTGAGTACTCACATTCACGTCCATGCTGGTGGGAGTCCCTGGCCATGTACACCCTCCTTGACGAGCTGGAATCTCTTTGAACACTTTTATCTGTTCTGGAAAAACATTGTCAGGATTTTGCTAACCCAACTTAATATTTGAGTGAGTTCTAAGAAAAATGAGTTATTCGGCTGAGTACTGCTGAAATATTTTCTGTGCCTGATGCACTTTGACGTGACAAATTATCACTCCTCTTCCTCTTCCCACAGATGCAGTTCTGGGCCATCCTCGGCCACACCACCTACTCCATTTACCTCGACTGTGGCTACCCCCTCGGCTACAACATCGGCTTCCTCACCTACATGATCTCACACATCGTCCTCTTCTCCAACTTCTACTACCAGACCTACATCAATAAGTCCCAGCGTCCCACCTCTCTGGAGAACGGTAGCGCCAAGGCCAAGCAAAGAATGGCATCATTAACGGCACCGTCCAAAGCGGAGTGACAAATGGCAGTCTGCGGAAGCGGATTGAATGATGAAGGGCCAGAGTAGTTGTTAGTGATGTTTGTGTAACTGAATATCAGATATAACTAACTGACACTCATGTCAACTGACAATCATCCTGCCGATAGTGCTTACAACATTCATTGTACATCACTGTTCAGGGCTGCTAAACTTGTCATCAGGGCCCCTACCAAGCTCACCTATATCACATAATGTACTTATGTCACATGCAGTCATGGCTCAATATTACTTCCTCCTCTGCCAAGGGATCTCACACAGACTGAGACATACTTTCAGCATACCAGTGTTATCAGTGAATCCACTGCCTTCACATTGTAGAATTATTCTACTGCAGGGATAGTTTTTAGGGTTTCACTTGTGTTCATTGCTCACCTTCCAATGAAATATGCCAGTACAGTCTGCAGAGGGAATATACGTGTGGCCTGTCATTCATTAGTCCAAGGAGAAAGGTGTAGTGATATGTTTGTTGCACAAGCCTGGTGAAATGTCCATGGAAGATGATATGTAAATTACATACACCCGTTGCTATGTGCATGGAAATTGGTGGGTGTATGAATGTATATTACATACACCCGTTGCTATGTACATGGAAATTGGTGGGTATATGAATGTATATTACATACACCCGTTACTATGTGCATGGAAATTGGTGGGTATATGAATGTATATTACATACAGCCATTGCTATGTGCATGGAAAATGGTGGGTGTATGAATGTATATTACATACACCCGTTGCTATGTACATGGAAATTGGTGGGTGTATGAATGTATATTACATACACCCGTTGCTATGTACATGGAAATTGGTGGGTATATGAATGTATATTACATACACGCCGTTGCTATGTGCATGGAAATTGGTGGGTATATGAATGTATATTACATACACCCGTTGCTATGTGCATGGAAATTCATGGGTATATGAATGTATATTACATACAGCCGTTGCTATGTGCATGGAAATTGGTGGGTGTATGAATGTATATTACATACACCCGTTGCTATGTACATGGAAATTGGTGGGTATATGAATGTATATTACATACACCCGTTGCTATGTACATGGAAATTGGTGGGTAGATGATATGTATATTTCACACATCTCTCATTATATACATTAATGGATGTGTATTATGTACACTCAGTGGTATATACAGGTAGATGCAGCTGTATATCATACGCATATGACACACACTGACACACACATGAGCATGGAGTCACACACACACATCATGCATACACATCTCACCCACACTCTCTCGCGCACACGCACACACAGAGGTAAGGGAATATTGGTACATTATGGGATGTTGCGACACCAGCCAATTTTGAGTCCATGTATTGCACGAGTCAATGATGTGGACAAGTCGATGTGGTTTGGGGAGAACACTACACATTGTCCTTGAAATGACATGAGCCTTGGTGCAGTTATCATTGATATTAGACACTCATCATTCAATTCTGTATGTTAATTTATTGTAAATATCCCCATCTGCACTTTCATATTTTCATGAAAATAGCCCATCAATGCAATGAGATTAATGGTACAGATAATTTCAGAGTTCATGTTTTAATGGTGATTATTAAGCTGGTTTAATGTATTTGCTGTTATAATTATTGTGTAATCATTGCAATAATTCTGCTGGACATAATAGCTGCTCTTAATTATGCATTCATTTAGTTATGACTTTGCAGGATGCTGTGTCTTAGAACTGTCAAGCCTTAACTAAGTTAAAAATATTGTTTTCCCTGAGTTGACATTGTCATCCACAGAGAGAGATTCTACATGAAAGCTTGTCAACAGTGTGCATGTTTTCAGCAATAACTATTAACTATACAACCATTACTCACCAACTCCAATCTAATATGTTGTGTTCTACCATTCCAAACATATTGGTGGTTATATTTTATTTTGTTTGCACATAATTGAGTTGTGAGTTGTTAGCATGGTTACACTGCTTTTCCTGTATGGTTGGGGAACTTTTCACGGTATATCCCAGTATATGTCAACTTCAGTAATTTCATATACCAATATACATGACATCCTAGGGGGATCTGTTGAAACATATATCCCAGGTTATGTGAAGATAGTTGGACATGTACCATTTTATCAAGTATTTAGATTTGTTAATCTGTGTTTTAATTTCTGTTTGTTACACAAAACTCAGGACAATCAACAAGGGGAGACCACTCTTATGTGTGTCCCATTTCATATTAACCAAGGCTAGAAAAAGGTTAGAATCAAAACGATGAGAGAAGGTCAAGGTTATGGTTAAGAATAATTTGTCATCAAATGCCAAAAGTGGTCATGGTTAGGTTTAGATAAGTTCTAGTTGCACCATTTGTGACTTCAGTATATAAATGTGTTGAGGAGCATGTGTGACTGTTGCTACTAGCTGTGGTCATTCTTGGTATTCCAGTGAAATATGTAATCAAAGTGCTACCTCTAGTCAGCAGACGTCACTCAGGGTGGCCATCGCTAGCAGCGTCAGATCACGGGTGGGCATGAGTAGCTAATGGTTGTTATTTTCTTTGTTAAAGGTTGTGTGCATTACAATATAGTACAAATTATTAGAATTCTATTTTACAGTTTTTTCCCTTATGATATTACACTCAGATGTCTTTTTGACTTTTTTATGCACTTTTATATCACAGTCACTGATGTTTTTATTTGCATTTTGTTATTTTCCTACTACTCAGATGGTTTGTTTGTACAAGTGCCAATGTGTAATAACGACATCTGTTTTATACCAGTGAACAATCGAAATTCAAGTGGTTGTTGTTGAATGCATATATTCGATTACATTATTGTCATTTTTCTTATTGCATAATTGATGAGACTGACCTGAAAAAGTACAGGTACCTTATGACTGCTTGCCATCTGTGTCATGACAACCCAGTGTGTCTAGAGACTGTATTTATTTATGAAGTATATTTGTTTTGGATGCACTGTTGTTCATCCGTTTACAAGGCCAATGATAAATAGAATATTGAATATATAGGCTTGAATGCAGATCCTGTAAAGTGTCTTAAAGTGCGGGAATGTTGCAGAAGTTTCTTGTCCACATTTTTTTGCTCTGAATGCAAAAATAGAAACCTTTACTTTGAGTAATATCAACATCCAAGAGCGAGACCGTTTTTCTTTAGCTAAATGTGTGCTGTATGCTCTTATTTTGTTATTGTTTTGAAGTGAGAACAGTATTTATTCTTCCCACCGAGCTGATTTCAGTAATGAAGAAATCTTCTGAAGAGGAATGTTAAGCATGTGGTTTTATAAAAGTCTTTTAGTGGATAATGAGTAGGATGTGGGTGCATGGAGAGAAATTAAGACTTACAGTCTTCTCTATCTTTACACGATGAAGATTGGCGAGAACTAGTCATAAAGAAAGCTGAGATGTAACAGCATTGCCAAGAGCTCTTTCATTATAATGTCAAAGTTGCTATAATAATAATGATCTTGTGTATTCTTGTGAAGTTAGACTCACAGATAAACATTTTGTTCATGCTAGATTACTCCTGGTAGCACTTCAACATTTGCAGTTTAAACTTTCACATTTGATATCTGGACCCAGTAAAGAAAATTCCTTTTAATGCACATGGATTTATAATTGATGTATTTGACAAGTGCACAATTTGATGCATTTTTGTAAGAATTAACAGATAGCCTTTAACAGTGTATGACATAAAGCCCGTCCGACCGACCGAGACGGTCTAGATTTCTGACGGACAGTCTAAATTTACAGCAAGCCAGCCCGATGGTCTGGTAAATTTTTTAGATGTTCCTTACATCTGAGTATATTCACCATATTTGGTCTGGTTAAATCCATTTTGGGCTGGTAACCTTTTTAAAGTTACCAGCCCTGATGTCTGGCTGGAAATTTGGCTTATTTCATACACTGCCTTCAATCATATTTGGTCAGTTGTATTCACTAGGATAAACCAAAGGGAGATAATCAATGTGTGATTAGATTAGGGCATTTTTGTTCTTTGATGGAAGGTTGTGGCAGATTGTTCTGGACAGGAAATTTAACCATACCAAAGAAAATATTTGCAGACCCATTATTAGACGGTGAAATTAATTGTTTTTAAGGACGTAAATGACATGTTTTCACCGTCAAATATGAATTAAAAGTCAGCTGTATTTTGCATTTTGTATTTAGACATGATGTGTGGAGATGCACAATAACAGGTTGGCTCCGCATATATCTGGGATGCAACTAGATATCTTGGGTGTGAACATTACATGGTGCTCATGTTTCCAAACAGTGTTATTTACCCTTCAGTCAGATTCACATTCACATCTTTATTGTTGTTTTTCTCTGCATACAGATTCTGATCAATTTTACGCATAAAATGGCAATCGTCACTGGATTCCATGTTGCTCTAAGTGACGATAGAAGTCATATCTGTAATGAAACACATGGAGGTTTTAAGGGGTTATCTCAGATATGAAGCCCAACTATACATCTTGCAAATAAAATCTGTGTAATGGTTAACTGCTGAATTTATATATGTTGGCTCAATCCAGATACCTCTTTAAATAGCCATGTGTGGATATTGTTATGAACAATATTTTTCTTTACTTAGATAATGACTGTTGCTTCATCAGCATGGATATCTAGAGCTGTGAACCTAGTATCCTGGCTAGCTATTCTCGAAACTTCTTAAGTCCTACGAACTTCTTAAGCCCATTCTTAACACATTGGCTATGATCAAAGTTAAGAATTCTTAGGTCTACGAACGTTTCGAGAATAAGGGCCCAGGTCTTACGTCGTAAGTGGCATGGGTAAAGACATTCAGTGCAATATTAAAAGTCTATTATATTACATCATGCAGCGTGCTCTGCCTATCTGATACCGGTATGTCTCGTTAGATTTAACATCTATAGTCAATAACATGGTACTGTCCGTTCAGAGGTGCCTGTATAGTGTGAATGTAGCTTGTAGCTTATAGCTGTGTTTGAGTGCACACAAATATTCCCCCTCCCCATGGTAATTTACCTGTAAAAATGTAAAACCTTGATATGAACTACTGTGTCAGGTGAAATTGTCACGATGAATGAACTTCCAGACTTACAGCATGTACCACTGCAGCTAGTATATATAGAAGTCAAGCCATTTGGATCATCGGAGTCCTGACTAATATGGCAGTTGTACCTGGGCAAAAATGGCCAAGTTACACAGATAGCAGTGTCAAGCAGTCCTGTGGGTGGATACAACCAGCACATTTCTGTCACTTTTTGCCTGTTTTTTTTTCAGGTGTATGTATGAAAAAGCATTACTCAAATTTACAAATGGTTATATTTTTTACGAGCATAATAAGCCAGCTTCTAACATTTAATCAAAATATTTTCAGCACAAATTACCTGTGACAGACTAAAGTGGCATCAAGTACCTTGATCCATTCTTTACCTGTGTAGCTTGAAGTAGTACTGCCATTGAAGATTTAACCAGTAGATGTTTGATTGATGAATGAATTGCAGTCATGTGCTTTAGATATCCCACTTTACAATGATGCTGAGCATTGAACAAACTTGTTGATATTACTTATTCCTATTTACAGTGGGACTAGTGCGGTTACTTTGGGTTAGCATTGTGCCAGTGCCTGCACCAAGAAATGCTTACTAGTATTTAGATGGGCGTTAAAATGAATGTGTTATATTTGCAAGTACAGTCATCCCTCGCATTAACGAACTGATTACCGCCTCGTCATCCATGGCCCCCTAGACCCCCGTTATTGACTCATTGAAGTCATGTTTGACAATTAATTGCCAACATTTTGTTTTTATGATCAAAGTGGCATGTACCGCAGGAAGTCAATGGTGTCTTGTCAGACTCTCATACAGAGTGCTGAGTCTAAGTTAATTATTATGTTTAATATGTATGTAGAAAACTTGCATAATACTAATACGATAGCAATAAATATTATCCCTGTTAAAATAACTGCTTAGATATAAATTCTTCTGATAATGGAATAGAAATACTTTGATGTTATATGTTTGGATCATTTTTAACTGAATCACCGGTAGATTGGAGCAAAATGTGTACACAGCTGATCGCTATTTCTGGCTTTGTTTTTTCACCTCCGATGATACGACATAGTTTTGACTGGGCACAATACATGAAATAGCAGTTCTGCTATGTCCATGGAAATTTTACTTGACATTCTGTGCTATGTAAAATTGCGTGTGTCTCAACACATCTGGTCGTCCATGGACGCCAAGACCTGCGTTATGGTGAGGGATGACTGTATTTACATACCAAGTATGTCTGGTGATGTTTTTGTTCAGTCTGAAACAAGATGGCGCTACTATTACATGTTTCTGTATTTACTGATTTATAGTCAGAGCAAAGAAATTTTAATGAAGTGTTTAAAATGTTTTCAATTTCATTCTAATGACAGCATAACCTTATGACAAAAAATCAGAGAATAAAATCTAATAATTTCTTTATAGTCATTTCTAAATGGCATTGCGTTTGCATGCTGTTTAAGTATATTATTTCAGAGCGCACTGAGATTACATTTTGCAATGTTTTATCCAACAATGTTATGAAAGCTAATTTTCCAATTTATGAGCACATGGTGCCAAATTTATATTGACCATGAACCAATAAAACCCTCACCCAAATAGTATCTTGTTTTGTTAGTTGTGGTTTGAGCAGTTCACTTGCCTTGTGAAATAGTCTTCCAGTTGCTGTGGTAAGTCATCAACAGACAGAAAGTGGTGGGGAGCAGAAATAAGAAAATGAATGACTATTCAAATTAAGTTGATCGACAAAATCAGAAAAGAAACACTGTCCAACATAGAGTGGATGTGTTGTTGTGGATGTACACGCATCAGAAATAGAGGTCATTATATCAATACCTCTACTGCCAGTTAACGAAGGCATTCTCCAAGAAATCCCAGGGATTTTCTACAGACTGCCCAGGGCTTTCCTGACGAATAGCCATTGACTTTGAATTATTTACTTGAACAAGTTTTGAAGATTGATATTAGTGAATATGATCGTAAAATATCACAATATTGAAAACTTCCTATTTATAGTGTGAACACCCGGTTTTGAACCTGCAACCCTTCGCTTACTAGTTTTATCTACAAGGCTACGTAGGATCACTATGAAGATCATGATTGTTAGTCAGTATGAACCATGTGTTCCTCACAAGGCGGGTAGGGATCGCAGCGCAGTGCAGGACACAGGTAGCACATGCATTGCGTGTCCAAGCCAAGGTATTGGCTGCCAGTCGCATGCCTGTTAATTTCAAATACTGAAATTATATCTAAAGTAAATCTTCTGTTGGTTTTGATCCTTCACTACTAACACAGCAGCTGTATTGCCCTTCTGTTCTAACTAGCACAATCATATACAATATTCTGATGCTATAACTGCACCAGGGCCTTTTTAGCATCTTCCGAAAATAATTACCTTATTCCATATATTAATGGAAGAGTTAATCTCGTTTGACTTCAGCTGAATGTTGCTAATCACCACAGGAGAAAATGCATATTTTGTTAAAATTTATTCTTTGCCAAACTTAGACATTGAAAGCTGGCATTTTTGTGACATACAGATGAACAAGTTTAAAATGTTCACTTTGACATTGGCACATCTGTACATAACAACTGAGTATTTACAAATGTAATATATAAATACACTAAGCACCTTTCTGTTTACTTTACTGACTTCACAACACTGTTGTTCACAATAACATCTACTGCAGTCTCAACACTTCACATCCATACACCATCAGTTTCCGTAAAGCTGCAACACTTAGAAGTATAAAGTTGCCATTATCATATGAGCAACATGTATTTAGGATCTATTAAATGCAACAGGGAACATTGTTGTGAGAATTAACTTTAAACTATACTTTTTGACGTGCCTTTAAGTAACATTTTAGAATTCCATTGTCATTGCCTCTCATGCAAAAGAGAAAAGCTTGAAACTTAAAGCATTACTTAAGCATGTACAGATTTTATTGGGCTTTGGTAAGCAACAAATTTAGACATAAAAGATTCGTCTTGGCCCTGGATTAATTATCAAATCATAAAGGAACAATTAGTTCACTAATAATTAATGGAAAGGAAAGCCTATATCAAAACTATTTTCAGAGAAGTGCTGGGGATATGTGAGATCACATGATACTCAGTAACAGTTATATTTGAAAGCTAAGCAGCATGTTGCTCTTTCTATAACAGAAAATGGTGCATATTTGCAAACTGTCATGGAAAATTTCTTGCCTTCAGTTAATATACATAATAATCACATTCATACACATACACACTATTTACCTCTCATTTGATTCATGCATCATACCATCAGTTCATTCAACAACACTGTGTAAGTTCTCCCTTCTGAGTAATTATTGAAGGTCATAGATACTTCAAATTCCACTTAAATTGTCAAGTATCCCCTTGTATAGTAACACAGAAGGTTGATACATATATATCAACCCAAACCCCAACTAATATGCAAGTTCAAACAGCATGGATATTTCATTTAGACACAACCATTCACAACTACTGGAATATGTTTAGAACATACAAAACTACCACATCTCAAATACACAGAAAACACACTGAGCAGTGCAGCACTATGCTCCTCTTAATATGAAAGAGTATGTCCAAATAAATATGTCACAGCAACTGTGACTGCCTCCAGACATATGGCCTGACCATATTTGTAAGTACCAAGTCCTGTTTATGACTTAACAAAGACTACATTGAGAGACCAAAAGCTTGTATAACATCTGAGTGTTGAAAGACATGAAGATTGGAACTTACACTTAATATCCTCTCATTTGTTTCTCTAACAAGGAAAGAAAGCAGGGTTCACATTATCACAATGTTCATGATATTTTATGTTTACAATTTCTAATTACAAACTCATCAAGAGATGAACAGAGACTTCCTATTGACACTGGCCTCATAGATCCTGAAATTGAACACAATGCGGACTTCAAATCTAAGGAGAGATTTGTGGTGCTTCTTTCATGTGATGAATGCTTTATGATGGAAATAAAGTGTAAAGTGGTGGTGATTGCACATGACCGAACGATAGGAAGTAAGGGGCAGTTAGACCCTAACAGAAAGGGGAAGCTGTGGGATCTATAGACTTAAACAGATCTTTGAGAGGTGGTTCATTGGGCATGGGGACTTGGGGTGGAATCATCACATCAGGAATGCCTGGTGTCACTGAATCTAGCCCCCCAGGTTGTTTGGGAAGGTCTGGTGGTGGTGGTGTTGATGGTTGTCCAGCCTGGGGGGCCGATGGAGCTCCAGTAACCCCTGGAGAATTGCTACTAGTCCTTCCCCAGTTCCCACCTTTGGTGGCGGGTTTAGTTGGATTAGAGCTTTGTCTGTTGTAACTATTGTAACCTGAACTGTCATCTGACTTGGAATCATCCATTCCTAATGGGGAACTATATTCCATACTACTTTTCCTTTGACCAGTAAACTTTTTCACAAGGATCCCCTTCTCTGTGGAATCAGAAGCAGGTTTCCTCTTGAATCTTGGATCATTTCTATAGTCAAACCTTTTCACAGACTGATCTGATTGAGAGTCAGACATGCCAGATTCTGATTCACTAGTATCAGCAGTTTCTAAGTTAGAAATTCTAGGGTCTGATAATTTTGGGGGTTCTAATAATGCTGAAGGCATAGCTTGATTCTGTCGAGGATCTAACTTGTTTTCAGAATTAGCACTTCTTGGGTCAGAGTTAGTTCTCTGTAGTCCTTGACTTCTTGAATCACTACTTACTCTAGGGTCACCCAACAACCTTGGATCATGACCTGCACTTAACCTTGGATCATTTTTGGGTGAAGAACCTGTTCTTGGATCAACTACTGATCCAGGCCCCTGCCTTGGATCTCCAACAATCCCCATACTGTTATTTGGGTCATCCTGAAGAGGCCCAATACCTGATCTTGGATCACCTCCTGATCCAGGACCACATCTTGGATCACCCCCTGACCTCGGATCACTTAAATGGGGAGGTTCATTATGCCCTCTTTGATCTGCATTCATCCTTGGATCAAACTGCATTCTCTGATCTGGGCCCATCCTGGGATCAAATGGCAGTCTGGGTTCAGGACCCATTCTCGGGCCAAATGGCATTCGGGGCATAAATGGCATTCTGTTACCAAATGGCGGCCTTGGTCTTGGACCCGGGCCCATTCTTTGATCAAATGGCATCCTGACATCTGGTCTTATCCTTGGTTCACCACTCTGGAATGAACCCGAAGCTCTGGGGTCATTAAGTCTCCCAGATCCATCATGACTATGTTGGCGGGACATATTTCTGGGGTCCTGTCTACCACCCGACTGTGGAGTGCCCTGTTCCTGAGTCGGCCTAGGCGAGGATCTTTGATTGGTCTGACAGGTAGGCTGTGAGACATGGGATTGGGTGTAGACTGCACTCTTTGTAAGCGGGGATCACTCCCACGAGAATCCAAAGCCTTTGCAATCTGCTCTGACACAGCTTTTTGCAAGCTTGAAAGACTTGGGGGTTGACTTGGCTGTTCACTGCTTGTTTGCACCCTTGGATCTGCTCGTCTTAACCTTGGATCTTGTGGTTTGGGAGCAGGTGCTTTTTCCTCAATGCTTAAATGGCGTGCTCTTCTAGGATCACTGTTTATAGGCTTTGGCACAGTCAAATCTTTTTCTCCATTCTGTGGTGAAGACAAAGGAGGTTTCACTTTTCCTACTCTGGAAATGTATTTTTTTGCACACGAGGGTCATTCTGGTAAGTTGGGTCATTTGGATCTACACCTTGTGGCATTGAATGATAGGGTTTCTGACCATTCAAACTGAAGTCTTTGATCCTGTATGTCATTGAAGTAAGGACTGCTTCTATCACAGGGAAGGAACCATTAATAACATCCTGGCTGGGTTGCTCTGACATTGAGTAATCTCGTATTATGTCTTTTGGTGATGCAGATCCCTTCATACTTTCTGTAGAATCATGTCTCTTTGCAGCCCTGAAGTAAAAATCATATTATTAACTGTTTTATTAATTTGTTTTGTAAAAGGAATTTTATGTACTATCGATGTAGGAATAGAAAAACAGTAACATTCTTTAGAAATTTATTGATACATGCATGAACTTTCTGATTAGAGTAGGCAACTTGCACCATACATTTATATCTTTCCTTAGTCATTTTTTTTCTCAGCACAAACCACCAGTCATAAAACAGCCAGGAACAATTAACTTTTAAGTGCAATGATCACTTGACTTTCAAAAGATATTTTGTGTTAATCACAATCAGAGTATAAGGAACAAAGCCTGTGGGCTTTTGTTAAAGCAACCATCACAGGGTTATTAATTCTGTTTGTTTGCTGTTTTGTTTCTGACTGCTGTCACAGAAACACAAAGGAAGAATCAAGATTTTCACTCAACGTTTTATTGTTCATATAATACAATGTAACCTGAAGACCCTTTATCTTTACTTTGTTATTACTCATAGCTACTACTTAGCTTGAGGCTCACAGGGTAGTAGAGCTGTTGGACCCTGAAACAGGCCAATAAATGTGTGTATTCGATGAATGTATTCATGCAAATTTTGGTTGCATTGTGAACCAAGCCTTTGATATATATTGAACACTTACAGAATTCATTTTTAAACTAACATAACTTCTATACCAAAACACTAATTTAAATAGCATAAAAACCTCTAGAAATAAAGTGTAATTGACACTCACAACCCATTTCAAAATGACTCTGAAACCGAGTTACTTACCTTGGTTTGACACTGTCTCTGACACCAGGGGGTGCTGACTGTGCTTTTTCTGGAATTGTCGGAGCCTGGTTTTTGATGGACTGAATCATCTGCATGATGTTGAAGGTGGATGCTGTGGGTGTGCTGCCCGCTTAGGGTGAACTGTGTGGTTGAGCTACAGGCTGAAGCAACAGACCAATGTTCATTAAAAGATGATTCAAAAGTTTATCAAATGGAATATGCTGCACTAGTAATGTTCACTGTTCATTTTAAGCTGTCACACAAAAGAAATGCTGCTTGGGTACCTGTTTGCTGAGATTCTTCAAGACATCCATTAATTTAGGTCCCCCTTCCAAATCTTCATCACTGGAGTACCAGTCATCATCTTCAGCATCCTGGGAACCTGAAATATCAAGAGGTAAACATTGTCATCAAATGTTGAACAAACATGACAACTGGAGCCAACCTACCACTGGTTCAAGGTGCATACTCATCTCAGATCAAGAATTATTTTATAACTTCTGAAATATCTAAGTCTTCTTTTGTTTCTGATGTTCATCAAAGATTACTAGCTAGATGACATAATACTGAAAATACCTTGCTTTATACATAGTCATGTTCAAATTAGTGAAGCGACATTGCCACTGCTTTGATTTAAACTCTCTATATCCATTATTCCAAGCACATTATTGTGTAAATTGATCAATTATTATTACAGCAAATTTTCTCATCAGATTCATCTTAGGAAACATCCTACCTTTAGCTGCACTTGGATCATCGCTTGTCTCAGTTGTCTCCCCTTGTTCACTCAGAGCACTGTCTTGTTGATGTTGTTGCTGCTTTATTCGCATGAACAAATTCCGTTGGGTTGGAGGTAAGTGACTAGGAATTTCCATCTCAATGGCCTTGTCACCTTCATTTTCACCTCCACCTTGTTCTTCAGAGATTTCTTGTGTATCTTCATTACTCGGTGTCTCATCTTCAGGTTTGTTTTCTTCTTTATCAGTTTCTTTTGTTTCAATATTTGGAACTTTACTGGAGTCTGTACTTAAAATGGGACTTTCTGGATCCTTGTCCTCTGATTTCACTGCTCTTGCATCACGATGAGCTGAAGGACTAGATATTGTGTCACTGGTATGGTTTGGAGATGTTTTGGGGTCTGCCACTGACACTCTTGGATCTCTACTTCTTCGTGGATCTGAAGCTGTTATTCTAGGTTCTTCTTTGACTTTAGTCTCAGATTCCTGTGGTGAACATCTTAGGTCACTGACTGATTGATTGTCTTGTTGTTCAGATGAAGCACTGCGAGGGTCTCTGTTAGGTTGAGCTTTGGCTCTTGGATCTCTTGCAAGGAATGGCACATTTCTTGAATCTTGAGATTGACCTCTTGCCTCCCATGAGTCTTTAGGGGGACCATCTACATCAAAAGGTCCCCTGGGATCTGGCAATAACGGTCTCTGGTTTCTTTGACCTAATTCTCTTTGTTCCATGGGATCCTTGTTCTGATTTCTTGGATCTGCTTGAACAGGAGGGCCCATATTTTGAGATCTAGGACCTCTTGGATCATTCCCCCGCAGATCTCTGGAATCAATGGACATACCCCTTGGGTCCAATCCTGATGGTGGACCTCTTGCATCCATCCCCGGTGGTGGCCCTCTTATATCCATTCCCTGAGGTGGACCCCTTGAATCCATTCCATGATGTGGACCTCGAGGATCCACACCTGGGGGTCTTCGTGGGTCCATTCCTTGGGATCTTGGATCTCTAGGATCCATGTGTTGGGCTCGGGGATCCCTTGGATCAAAAGGAGGACCTCCTTGAGCTCTTGGGTTACGAGGATCCATCATTGGCCCTCGACCTTGAGGTCCGTTATCTAAATGAAGAGGCCCTCTCTGGTCGTGGAAATTTGGTCCTGGACCTCTCATGTCAGGAGGTCCACCTGGGCCCCTTGGACCTCTTAGATCTTGACCATGCCCTGGGCCCATGAATAGGCCTCTGGGTCCTGGACCCATTCCTGGACCTTGCATTCTGGGTCCTTGCATACCAGGTGGAGGTCCTTGGTTCGGTCCCGGAGCACCTGCCCTAACCACCACTTCTGGTGGGGCGCCCCTCAATATTGCACCTATCATGTTGAGAACTGGAGGAACTGAGGCATGCTGCTGGGGAGGAGGGAGATTAATAGGAGGTGGTCCTGGGCCAGGAGCTTGTGGTGGAGAACCTGAATCTTGGTAGAAACCACTTGGTCTGAAAAAGACCAAATACAAAACACATTTCAGCATGGTATAAAATCAAGAACATATATCTCACAACACAATCAAAGAAAACTGAAAGAAAATGAAAGAGATGTTCTGCTCACCTAATGGACGGTGAAGCTGGGGTGGGTTTACGGGGACTAGGATTCTGTCCTGGGGGAAACACTTGAATATCAAACAGTGATGGGATCTTCTTTGTCAGGTCTCCTCCTACTCCTCCTTCCAGCAGGTGGCGTGGAGGGGAACCTAAATATAATCATTGGGTAAACTTATGTCAGGCTAGAGATATCACTAACCATTTGAAAGAACATGTGAATGTAATGTGGTCAGATGCAATTCAAACATTAGTCAAGAACAAATCTCAATCTGTTACTTCTGTTAAACAGGCAAATAACACTGTATACAATACTGTGTATGTGAAATTACCCCCTGATCTTTAAACTACAAAAAGAAAATAAACAGTATGAAGTTCAGTAAGAGTATCACAATACACTTACCAAGTAAGCAAGGCCTTGGCTTATCTGGCTCGTCACCATGTAGTATCTGAAAAAGAAGATTTTATATGTAACCATGGTGATGCCATTTCCCAAACAAAGCAGATTATGCAAAAAGTCATAGAGTCCATTTACTGTCTTCCTGAATGCCTCGAAAATATCAACACAGCACAATGAAATTCATGTATCCACTTCAGATCTCATGTCACATAAAGTTTTGTTGGAGGACTTTTAACTATGTCTTTTAATAATGAACATGGAAACTGGCATCAAAAACTCAAAGCAGCCTAGAATTCTCTGTCAAAAACATCTGCCATAAGCATGTGTTAGGGAAAAGAAAATCATGCCAGAAGCAGTCACAAAAGTAAGCCACTGAGGGGCAAATGTTACCTTATCCAGCAATGCCTTTGTTTCATCAGTCAGGGGTTCATGGGAAAACTTGCAGTTATCACCCTGGTAACAGTCTGCTCCGGTGTGGAAATACTTGCATGGATAATCATGTAACATGTTAAGGAAGACTCACTGAACAATACTATTGTATGCACTAGCATAAGTTAATCATGCCACACTGTTGACCTAAGTGGACACTTACATTTGAAACAAGTGGAATAATTTTGGACTTTGGCCTCAATAGAAGCATTTTAGCATGAGGTTTCAGCATGTAAACAATCATAACATTAACCTTGCTAATATGACTATTATGCTCAGACACACCATGTTTCATTATTATCTCTTCATGCAATGTCAACTTTTTATTCACTCAGCCATACAGATTATCAATACTGAATTTCAGGCAACAACAGTAAGTATTATAGTGGCAACACAAGATTGCCACATGGGACAGAAAGGATATCATGCATGTAGATACAGAAGTCTCCCTTGGAACAGTTTGACTGCAGGTAGAACTTGCACACTTCTGGTTTCTTAGGTGGTCGGAAGTCGTGATTGAACGGGCAACCACTTCCCTGCAAATGCATAAAGACAACAGAAAGTAAAGTAAACATCTCATCAAGTTTCCTAGATTTCAAACAGCATGACAACATATACACAACCATGAAACACAATAGGTTGACACTGACACTGCAATGGGATTCTTGAGGTTTTCTATGGTCGTTGATTCTCTATCTTATAACAATCGGACATCTCGACTTTTACGTTTAATTTCATACACTGCTTATTACATACTAATATTCTGCAAATAACTTGGAAATTTTAATATAAATTGTATATTGTATATATGATCATTCAAGGTGGGCAATTAGTGGAGCATGCTGCAAGCTTTATTAGGAACTAGGAAGCTAATTAAGAAGAGCAGCATGGAGTGCACGGGCGAATGGACAAGGAAGCCTATGGAAAAAAGTTTACAGTCGTTCCACTAAAAGTCCAAGCAAGAGAGAGAGGTGCAAGTCGTGAGATAGGATAAGTTTAAAAATTCAGTATCTATAAAGCTTACCTTAGCACATTTTCCTTCCATGTAGAACTTGCAGTGTGGCCTTTCATGACGAGGTATTTCTAACAGTGGTTTCTTCCTGGGTTGCACCGGGCCTTGGTTTTCACCTGATCGTCTTGGAGTTCTACTGATGTGACCTGCTTTCCTCTTCCTACCATGCGTTTGATTCTAAAACATAAAACATAAGTTTTTTAAACATTTTCACTATACCTTATGTATATGTATACATGGCAAACAAGTGTAAATACATTAAAATACTCAAGACAATAAGCATACATAATCACTAGCGAGTAAAAGTGGTTTTACACTACAAAGATATTCCAGTTTTCTGCTGCAAGAAAATATTCTACACTGGGTCAGTAAAACCTGTGGCTGACAGCATGAGCACACAAAAAACACTACCAGGGTACAATAACACTCTGCTAGTCAGGCCACACACTGTGGTTGATCAACAGTCATTAGTTGACTCACAGCATTGGACATCTATTGTTTATTTCACTAAAGAATTACACTGCGCAAGAAAAGGACTAACTTAAAACATGAATGAGAAGTCTGCATACTGTCGAAATACTTCAAAAGAGAAACAGTTCAAATGTTACCTGACTGTCAGTGTCCATGTAATCTCCATCATAACCAGGTCCGGGACCAGGCCTTAGTAAGTTATGGCCCCTGAAATGAGTAAACGTGTTGTTTACAGACACAGCATTTAGACAACATACCTAGCTGTATGCTACCAAATATTGGACTTCTTTCCCTTTCAACAGGTATATCACTGCTTACTCTTTAAGAACATATCAAAGGTTTTTGAATGTAGTGTACTGTTTAATGTTGCAATGAGCAGTTTTTCAGCTATGCAACAGGTTGCTGGTGAACCAAGCAAGAATCATGACCACAATAACATATCTCTGTAAATGAACACTTTATCAAGAAAGAACTCTCACCCGTCTTCAGAGTCTTCATCATACGATGGACTATCATAGAGTCCTGGAGGGCTGTCATACAAGTGGTCATATTGGCTAGGAGAGCTGTGTTTCTTTGATGGACTACGGTTGTGCCCTGGGCTGTCATATGGTCCAGATGGACTGTCATATCCAGGGCTATCATATGGCCCAGGTGGGGACCTGGACCTCTTGTCAAAGGACATCATGTCTTGATCTTCTGGGCGATCAGGATCTCTGTATTCTCTACCATGTCGCTTCCTCTGTGAAAATCATAAATCTTTTTTCAAACAATGTTAAGGACAAATTGACAGCAATGTCAAACAAAACATTTGGAAACTTTGAAAGTATAAATTTTATCAAATGTTCTGATTTTTCTACGACTTCTTCAAGTCTGTCATACAGCCTATATTTGGCAAGTCTACAGTTTCCGAAAATGAAGAAAGTCTCTTGGTTATTTCTTATCACATTTTTATTTTTATTAAGATACGTAAAACTTGTTTTTTTCTGTAAATATGTTCATTTCTGGAATAGACTGGGCTATATATTAGTCTAGGTTTCAATATCTTTTATCTGTAAATAAATCCACATTTAACCTTTTTTTCGCGATCTTTCCGATCATGTCTGTCTTTTTTGGACTTCTTTCTTTTCTTCTTCTCCTTTCGAGCTTTATCCCCTGATTCTTCCTCCCCCTCCTCGTTTCCCTCTCCCGATTCCTTCTCCTCCCCATGATGACGCTCATGTCGGTGACTATGTCGGTGCTCTCGGGACGAACTTGGAGATGATTTTGATGCTGAAAGCAAACCACCAGTGGTTGCATCACTCCATAAAATTAAATTTACCTGATTAGCAAAATGTAAAGATACAGTCCTTATGGATGCTGCTCCTTCACAGCTTTCTGCATACTTATCACCATTGCTTTTTAGAGGTCTCGGCATGATTTGCATGCTTACATGTTGTTTTGTTTGTTTAATACAATCAGAACAATAAAACACTGTATGAATATAAGTTACTAATTCAATTTCCAGCTTTTTAATGTCATAACAGACATTTGGGCTTGATGAAGTTCTTGGTAAATTTCCAATCATTAAGTTAGTTTTGTATATAGACCGATTTTTATGGTATTAATTTATTTACTATGTTGTTTTCATGATGCAAAGATTCCTTTCAAAATCTCTCCCTCCAAATAATCTAATGATGCCATAACATTTCAGAATCAATTTCCACCATTTAATTTCTTTCCCATTCCCTCGTCATCAAACTGTTCAAAATTCTGTCTCAGTAAATTCTGTAAATATAAGTTAACTTTAGAATTATTGTTCAGGATCTCACATTCATTATTTGGATCACTTGAGGCTTTCTTTGATGGGGGAGGCCTTTCTTCATCTTCTTCATCAGCTATTTCTCCATCCTCCAGAATCTCTCCATCTTCTAGGTCACCAGTATCTTCATCATCATCCTCATGTCGATGTTTTCGAGAACCTGCTGACCGCTCGGCCATCCTTAGCTGATGTCTGCGGAACTTCTTATGTCTGTGTGTGTGCCTGTGTCCACCTGGGGAGTCATACACACTGTCATTCTCCTTGTTGTCATATTCCAGTCCATTCTTACTGACCTTGCCAGCATCATCCATCTCATCAGGGTAAGAGTTGTCTCCCTTGACTCCAAAGAATTCATGTTTCCTTCCATACTCTTTCTGGTCTACAAAGTCATCTGTCATCAGTGGCTGTGTATCATTATCATCCTCGCCATCACTGGGATCAAGATGTTCCACATCATCTACTTCCATCGTGATGGATCAGTACTCATGAAAGTCCTTGGATTTCATCTGGTGTTATCTGTGGAAATTTTAAATAAGGTTCTTAACTGGGCCCATCCAACTATCAACTTGTGAATAATATAACGTCATATCTTTCACAAGAAAATATTACACATGAAAAAGCTATCTTGATTTTCAAAAAACAGTTAACATGGTTAAGGTATCAACTGAAGTTACTTATGGAAAATGAGCTCCTACAGCTGAAAACAAATGTCAACCTATCAGAAGGCAAAACCAATATTCTGAATATTTGTGTAGTGCTTGCAGTGTGTGAAGGGGTTTTTTGAGCCGCAATCAGAAATTTCACAGGGGCAATAAAACCTCCACTCATAACCACCCCACCCCTTTTTAAACTTTAGTTCAGGGGTAGAAGGGAAGTAAGTAATGGAGAATCAATAATGCAGGGCCAGGATTAGGTTGCCTTAACACAGATCAAATTAGAGCATCGGTTACTGACAGAAATCTCTCTAACAGCAGCAGTGAGCATTGAGTCTGCATGAGAAACCAGTGCTTCATAGTATGACCAATTATACCCACACCCTGTGACAGATACACACAATTGACTAAGTCATTGAATGATTAATCTCATTATCCATCTTACTCAGCTTTAAAAACAAGCATTGGTCCTACCTATTCTGACCAAGAATACAAATGAAGTATAAAATTAACTTTCAAAATTCCTAAAAATTTGTAAATGTTTCACATTTTCACAGAGGTTATTCTTTTGAATTTGAAGTGCTTCAGAAAGCTATTTGGGATTATGATTATCTTTTGTGTTCTCACTAAAAGATAATATTTTAATTTATGATTTGGGTCATAAAGTCAATAATCTGAGAGTTGGACACAAGCTGAGGCAAACTGAAATAATAAACATCATCCAATTATGCTTTTGGACATCTTACTTTGTTTACTCTCACTGTAACAAGGGTTGTGTCACAAGGACATTGTAAATATCTGATGATGATGAATAAGTATGTTACATGTATTACAATATTTTAAGGGATAATTGATAAAACAATGGATGTACTAAGTTGTTTCGAAAACTCCAATAGGAGGATACTATATAATATGAATGTATTTGTAATAATTTCATTTTTATGTCCTTTTCATATCATCACAACTGATTCTCAAAATTTAAAATTAAAACATGCACATTATTTTCTGACATTATACAATTTGATTTTTTTGGTTGGTAACTTTCAAATATCAAATAATTATGGAGGAAAGTGTAAAGAAATGTGAAATGTACCTGGATGACCTTTGCAATAACAAAGGGATAATACTTGGGTTTTTACCTCTGATGTTAAACTTTTCTGTTCGAAATATCTCTTCACAATTCAAACGCCAGATATTTTCAATGTTGTATCTCAAACCTGAAGGTTCAGAGATTACGTTTGTTTACAATGTTATTGTTACACTGTACATATCCACATCAATGTTTGTGTGACAAAGCAAATTACATTTCATTCTCAAGGTGTGTGAAAACATTGATAGCTGTCATATGCTGTTGTGGTATCCAGTTACTTTCATATGTCAATCTAAAACAACAATGATACGATATGTCGTCCGAAAATAAGTTTGACTGAGCATGATTGAACTAATGTAGACCATGTCTCTGTGTGCGCGACAATGTTGTGGCAACAGCTGACGGATATACGACCTTCCCCTTCATGACGTCATAAAATAGGCCATGCGTATAATGTTATCGAAGTCCTAGTGAGTTGAATACCGTCCTTAATTTTCACTTTTGTTAATATGTACTCACTCTGGTTATATGGATATAGATTTAAAGAAAATAATAGATGCAGTAGCCACACGAAATATGGTAAATGTGTCTTGTGAAAGGATTTGTCACGTGCGCACCGAACTACTTCCAACGGTATTACTACACAGCTTATGTTCAATGACGAACGGTTTTCTCGTGGAGAGCGGGAGGCGTACTTTTCCTCTACTGCCGCGACAAATGAACTTGTAGCATTCCCTGAACAATTAAATTTGTCATGTCAATTTACCAGATCACATAAACAAACCACTTATAAAATCCAATTCACAAAAACATACTGCCTTTTCAACAGATTTGGCATGCATCGGTGTAGATATTTGAACAATGTCTATATCCGACATCATACAATATTATCTGTGAGCGCAGAATCATTTATCATACTTTACCAATTTACATCACTGATTTCATTGCTGATATTTTGTCTGAAATAATTTCACCTTTCCGTGATAAAAGCACGGTCACTGTGTAAACCCGTTTACGCAGGTGTGGTGGACATGACACGTCTACACCTCATTAGCATAATTTATGCATAAACTTTGTTACCTTCGTTTTCAGTTAAATTGCATCCTTGAATCGAAGTTTTACTAGCCTAGGCTTACAAATATTGCCTAGACTTCAGCAGAAGAAGTCTCGTCGAGCTTATCAGGTTATTTCGTCCGATATTGCAAGGCCTTATCCGAGTTTCCTTTGTCTGCTAGAAATGGCTTCTCTCTGTGAGGAGCAAAGAGGGGTCGTCTAGCGAGGGAACTTTTATCGGAAAAGGGAACTATACCGGACTACAATAAGTCTCACAGACTTAACACATCAGACATAGATAAGATGAGGAATGACATAAGTTTTCAGCTCCAGACAAAGTCCGATTAAGGTGCTTTTTTCCTGCTTTCTTGGTCACATACCATTCCTCACAAAACGCAATATGGCGACGTGATGTCATGAATCACGTGACCTGAATGTAACTGGAAATAACCCGTTTAGGGCAGCCTATTTATACTACAGGGGTGTGGAGCTTTTTATTTAAGGTTTTATAAATACGTATTAAGAAGATGCATGGTGATAAAGCCCCGCGAAGTCGATCATAAATATATATATTAACATTAATCGCAACATCTGGTATTAGTTTTTAATCAAGCGACATATTAGATTTTGGTATTTTTCCACAACATATCCTTCATAACCTATAGGTAAATATGGACTGTACCATCTACGTAGGGCGCTTCGGCACACTTAGGAGAATTTAGCTTCTTGTAAAATGCAACGATATTACGTACAAGAACATCAACATTTTTACAAAAATAGTAAATGCATGGGGGTATGTTATAAGGGATGAACTCACAGTTTATGGATGTACTGTGGATTAGTGATTGATGTTGGTTGTTAAAACAGGATGTGATTTACGCATCGCTTGTGCCCCCACTATACAGATTCTCACATATTTGTATGTAGGTCACTGGGCCTGATAATAACAGTTATTCATCAAGCCAGTATTTCCTAGGGATATCAACATTATCCTAATTACGTAGTCAACGTGTACGCTATCAAATCATCTTAAACAGATGACATAGTAATTTAATGTTAGGCATAAACGTTTAAGTATAGTGAAGAGGATAAGAATGAGATATTATAAGATTACATAGTACACGAGTTCAACTGCAACCATTAAAAGTAACTGTCTCCTATGATTTATCTAAAACAAACTAAGTCACAAAACAATTACCAATTTAGCTTACAACCGATTTTCAATAATATACTAGCAACCCAAATGAAGTACGGTTTTTAAGAAAATGTGAAAACGACCGTTAATATAGTCTGTTGTTTAACCCACTTGTCGTGTCTCCTGTCATCATTTCTCATCCCTCTACCTCTAAGGTTTACCTATGTCAACCAACCACACTATCTCCAGTATCTTCGGGTAATATCACTGTTGTCAGAAACAGTTCTTCTCGTTTGTGTTTGTCCATAACAAGAGGTTTACCCTATTTCACGACGAGCAGCAGTCTCCGAAGTTTATAGCCATCCATTTATACAAGTTGCGTGTCACTAGAATAAAAGCGATTACCCGCATCTGGGCCTGAGGCGAGTTGAGCCAGCCTTTGTTATTGTCTCGAATGTCACAATTCGTAAACCCGGTACTGTCGGCTTACATACGTGACATCGTCTATTCATATTATTCGAATGAAGATAATTTTATGGTGCTTTGTTATTTGTATTTTATGGACTTTGACTAACAAGTCAGTTAGTTGTCGTTTAGGTCGTTAATCTGAGTCAAAATATGTGCACGTTTGTTGCTATTATACAATTGGCATTTCAGTTGAATCGAGACTTTCAGTGTACACCACCATCCCAACACAGTACAAACAAGTTACGTTTCGGGGTAAACATGAGTGCAGACATGAAAAGTAAATATGTATATATTAATATATATTGTATATATATTATGAAGAAAGATATCGGAACTATTATTATACACGATAAATATAGTATGTGTAGTTGATTGAGGACCTGCAGTGGATACAGTCATACAATATTTTGATTGAAAATTACCTTCATGACAAGCATTGTCTATAAAAAGAAAAATGTTTTTAAACAACTTTACAGGAGATATTTAAAGATATTTGAAGTTGTTTTTTTATAAGAGCAAGGAATTAATGCATGTGCGAAGATTTTGTTATTGTTTGGACAGTCAACGAATGTCTGAGGATGTAACTGTATATTCACCATAACTTAGACAGTTTCACCTTCTACCCTGTATGGTTCAGGGCTGCATATATCTGGTATTTAGGTGTATCTGCCTCAGTTTCTATGTCCAAATTTCGGAATCAGGATCTTAATTAAGGTAGTGGTAATCTATGATCCTTGCTATTTACTGCTGAAACCTCACGTATACATCTTTATAACTATGTTATAATGTTTCATCGGAGATCATCATACCGTCTGCAAGTATTAATAATACGTGCATGGAGTAGAACTGAAGATGGTTGGTGACGGATGACATATATTTATTACTAATCTGAACAGATAATGCATTCATTTAGACATTTACTATAATTATTAGATGGTCACGGCTTTGACTAAATTATCATTGCGATATCTATGAAAATTTAAATATTATCTGCACTGCAGATTGTAATACATTACAATGAAGCTTTGTCCAGTGCTATTGTGCTTTGGCAATGTAATACATATAAACATATCGACACAGGTAAAACAAGGTTTTCTATCAGCTTATAATCTGCTGTACATCTGAGGAAATATACTAGCCAGTCATTTTATCTAACTTAATGCCTAAAGGGTTGGAATAAATTTGACATTTTAAACTTGCAAATTTTTCATGTCATATATATATGCATGCACATATAGTGCACTTTGAATCTTCAAAGAAAATACATTAGTATGATATCTGGGTGAAATGGGACGTTCGATCTATTTTGAAACAAAAGCGAAATTTATTTGGTGGACGACTGAACTGGTGAGTTGTTTTCTCCATTTACAACAGGCGATAATTACTTGACAAACAGACTTGTTTTGAAACAGAAGCGAAATTTATTTGGGGGACGGTTGGACAGGTGAGATGTTTTCTCCATTTACAGCAGGCGATAAGTACTTGACAAACAGACATCTGTAATTCTCAGGGTATCAAAGGATGTATTTTCATCTGTGTGCAGGATTGTGTAACACCTCGAGTCTGGGCTTAGCAGGTATATGGTGTGCACGCTGAGTGTGCGGGGTATCCCTGCTGGCGAGAGCAGATGGCTGACCTAACTATTCACGTCTCAAGCTGCGTGCGCCCTGGCCTCGGGCCGCCTGGAAAACCGTCAGGCCGACATCGCGCTGTGATCATCATGATGTGTTGTCGGAGTTGCTTCCCTTTAACTGTTTGGGATTAATGTTTCGTTTGCATGACACATGTACTTAATGAAAAATCCGCTCTGCCAATTCAGTACATCCTCGATTGGGCTGCATGACAAAATTAAATGTCTTTCAGGCACATTTCTTTCTCAGTTTTGAGTAGGACAACATACCTGCTTTATCAAATGACCAGCGGGAGGAACTCTTATTTTTCCCACCAACTTACTTGGGCACAACACCAACATACTTGGGCACACGGCTTTTTAATTAGGATTATTATGTAGATTATATTAAGTAGTAAGGTGTATGGCACTGTTTCCATATAATTAAATTTAGCAATAAGAACACCTCGTAGAATCTTAGTTATGTTTTATACTTCTTTATATTCATGTTCCATAGATCTGCACAGTAAGCTTTACTCTCAGTTTAACCTTCACTAATTGTCACACTCTGCATGCTTACATCACGCCTTGCCCCAGCTCCCGGTCATTTCTGTTGTTCCACTGATAGGCCAAGTTGGTCACAGCTTAACTTGAATGTGAAGATTTAAACTCACTTGCTCTCTATTACTTCTGAAGGAAGGAGACCGTTATTTCTAGAGATAGGAATTTCATATGAGGATTTGAGGTAGGTTCATATTGTATAAAATGTTGTATTTTGTATGGAATAGTTTCCTGTTTATTATAATTAAAAATATGATTTACTAGAGGATACAGCTTTTTGAGAAAGGTTAGGTGCACGCTCTTGAGATATAGGGGGTGGGGTGGGGTGGATGCACACTTCATTTTCACGAGAGTTTCAATGGTCATTTAATAAACTTTCAGGACAAAAAAACACTGTTGTGTTTGGGCGTTTGAATCAAATATGGTGCTGGTGTGTTTCAGCACCCTTGTTTTTCGCTGTTTTTAACAATGTTTCATTTCACTCAAACTCAACGAATATTGAATCAGTTGCTTCACTGCATGTTCCAACATGTCGTTTAAAGTGCCCATTAAGCACACAAAAAGTTGCATTTACCTTAGAGTATAAATGACCTCACCACGTTTCAGTTTATATATGACTATCAAATTTTAGGGTGTTCCCATATTTTTTGTTTGTAGTATATATATTGTTCTCTGCATACCCACTTATTCGTTATGCAGATCTGTGATTGTGCAGTCACCGTTTTATCAGCATGGGTATAACCAGGGATACTCTATTTATGAGTCTCCCTGGTATAACCAACCTGGTATGTAAAGCCAATACCGATTCATTACATGTATGCTATAAATGAACTCATTATAATATTTCCTAATTGTATAAATGTATTGATATTTTGTAACACTGTAACTTGCTTTACAGTTCAGATGTATTCAACTAGATGTATATTATAGACTTACTGAGTAATTTAAAAATGTGTACATATTTCTCCGCTCCAAGGAACAGAATCTTCTGTGCATTCAGAACAGTTAAAATTTGTCTTATGCAACAGCCTCAGAATGGAATCATCTCCCACAACATTTGAGAGAAATAAAAGAACTATCAACCTTTCGAACAGCACTAAAGACCCACCTTTTCAAAAAAGCCTTTTCGTCCTGACATTAGCGCTTTGAGTATGCATTGTGCATGGAAATATACGCTTTATAAATGAACTATTATTATTATTCTTATTTATCAGATTCTGTTATGTATAATTCTTTACGTTCTTTCAGGCTGTCTCATACATAGACGTGAAATAACGCCCCGCCGCACAACACGCAGACGCTTGTATTCTTTCCACTAACATGGCGCTGTTATATATATATACTAGCCACATAAAGAAACTGTGCATTGTCAAAATATTATCCCAGTTGATAAGTACGATAACAATGTCAAAGGTACATATAAACTTTAATGGAGGGATCATGAGACCATAACAAGTCGGGAGAATTTCAATTGAAAAGTCAATCACAATGATGTCACGAGTCCACAAGCGGGACAGGGGTCAAACGACCATGTCACAAGCTCAATAACGGGTATGTCCATCATCGGCATTGAAAACAGCAGTGCACCGACGACGCATAGAGCCTATCAAACGTGCAAGGAAGGCTTGTGGGAT